TGTTTCATTGGCCAGTTCAATTCCGTACATTTGACGTGGCCCCGCTGGATGAACAGCCCCGTATCTTGCGGGCCCCGGGCAAATCGTAGTGCGCTTTTTGACAACCGGCCGGACAATGTAGTTAGTATCAACAGTTAGTGCCAAAGTTGCTGAACATGACAACTTTCAGAAGAACTGGAATGCAGCCTTCACCAGGGCCCTCAGGTTTGCAATGAATATGGTTCAGGCAAAGTGTTGATCATCAGGCTGCTTTCCTTGGATCTGCTGACACTCTGCTCATCCAAAGCGAAGAAGAATGGAGGCCGCCGGGCTGCATCCGCAGGCATGTGCGCACATTCGCCGCATTTTGCGGTTCTGGATGTCCACGCGCAATGGGGATCTGCATCGACGGCTGCATCGTAATACAAGTTGATCGAACGGCTGTCAATTGAAAAGACTCCGATCGAGGGGGATCCCTGGTGTACTCGAACAATATCGCGGCCGCTGCGACTTTCCACCGGAGCGCGCGCGCCTTGTTTGATGTCCAGCAAGCCTGTGCACTTCAAAGAATCCCCAATTGCATTGTCAGCAACACGCAATGGCGACCAGCATGGCGCTTGACCTCGCGCAATCTGCTTCAAACCACGCCTGTTGGGTCCCTGGGGAATTCAGGGGACCCCAGTCCCTGCTGCAGAGGCCTTATCTAGCCCCTTGCTGGCGCTCATTGGAGCGGCATTGCGTTTTACAATGGACGCCGATCGCCGCCGCAAATGCTAGAGATTTTGCACATGGTTTTAAGCGAAGACAAGCTCTGATTTTTGAGGTCAGCAGAGAAGGTGGTGTAAGAGCTGAGACTAGGGTTAGGGCGGCCAATTTTGACAGTTCCTTGCAGGGGCGTGAAAGAGAGCCCACTTCTGGTGCTGATGAAGCAGTCACTTGCAGTAGGGTTGATGAAAACCTTGAAGGAGATTTACATGGGACGCCTGCAGGTTCGTCCAGCCAGGACTCGGTGACATATTCACGAAGAAAACTGGGGTTGCTGGCAATTCCGCTGGTGTTAATAGCCGCCGAAGCGAGGGCAGAAGAAGCAGATGGTCAGAGCGCACCACCACTCGCCTCTAGCCAAGAGAGCAGCTCGATTGCAGACAGCAAGGCTAGCGAATCTCCACAAACAAAAGATGAGTTGCTGGACGGGGATAATATTAAGGTGTCTGGAGGAACCTCCAAAACGGGAAGGCTGGAAGTGGGGCCTGACTTTCGACGATACCGGGCGGAGGACTTCTCGATCTACGTGCCGAGGAGCTACGAGAACGTGACGGAAGTTGACGTGAGTTGCATTGTCTGGTGAAAGTCCTTTCCACTGGCAGGAGGGAGAACTGCTGCATGTCAGAAGAGTCTGCCATGAGGGGATCATGCTGACAGCCATAACTGCAGACAATCTGCCCCGCCAGTCAGGACTGTTTGAAGTGATGAGACAGGAGACTAGGATCATTTGAAAATAAACGTGGCTCATTGTGCGCGGTGGTTCAAATTTGAGAAAGGAAAGCTTCAAAGGAACCTATAGTACTATTGGAAGCCAATTTGAAAATGATAGCAAGTGCTTTGTCAGGCCCCCCTGTCATTGCTTAACAAGGTCCAGTTTGCATACGCCAATATTGGTCAGTGAGTTGGGCCTTAGGTGAGAACATCCATTTGACCTCTCCAGAAAGTTTTCAGCAAACTATTTTCTCCTTACTCCGTACTGCTTGAGCAATGGTTTGTTCTGTCAAGGGGGCTGCAAATAAATTCTCAGTGCAGAAACACGCTGTCTCTGAATCGGGGCTCTCTACTGACCTTATTGAACCAAGTGCAATAATGTTCATACAAGGAATCTGCCTTGGCTCTATTGCTTATTACTGGAATCCTTTTCAAGCTTTCGGCCCCGGGAGGCACCAAGGCTTGACTCAAAGTATGACGTATTACGTATTCCCGTTGCTTCAGTGGGTTGGCGTCACCTGAAACAAGCACAATGCCTCCGTTTGTTGTCTTCGCCTGCTGCCTCAATTTTACCAAGTCGGTCCCTTCAGAACCTTGATAAAATGTTTCTAAGACCGATGGATGCACTAAGACATGCGCTGGTGAGCATGTCATTAACATATAGGTGCTAACAACCGCTCGGTGAAACTTTTCTGAACGTCGGCTCCAAGTCAACTTGGTTGCCACTTCATCCGCTTCCCGCTCGTAGCTTGGATAATTGGTCTTCTTTTGGCTTTTGTAGGCCCTGCATTCTGGCGTCTGAAAGAGCCAAGTATTCCTTACTTTGTCAAGTTTCCCGGGGTCTTTCTGCTGACGAATAGCGAGAAGTTGGCGTGTGGCCCCCTTTACAGCACTCCTTAATGAACAGTCACCTACGGTAGTGCCTGGCAGAAAGGTTGTGGCTTTCAAAACATATGCTGAGCTCTTCCGCCCCGTTTCCCACTTCTTCCCGGTCGACTAATGCAGGGCTGGAAAACCGTAAAACCATCAACCCACTTGAGGTCTGCATTGAGTCTGGCAGTCTGGCAGTGGCAGTGTTCTTGAAAACAAACAGGTGCTGAAGGAAGCGAAACCTTTGCAAAAGGCTGCACTGAAAGTTGGGGTTCTATGCTCTAAACGTTGGGCTTCGCTCACATTTTTCACATTTTCCCCCCAGGACAACCCCCGGTCGACCCTCACTATGGAACAGAAGGCTGCCAACCGCCCGTACGCCGCCCGGTTTGCCTCTGCCGACCAGGCCGAGGTCATCACGGTCGTCATACGAGACGCCTCGACGTTGCGGCTGTCGTTTCTGCAGACCAAAGATATCAGCGACTTAGGGTCGCTAGATAAAGCGGCACAACTATTGCTCCCGCGTGAGTCACGGAACTTTCTGACCTGCATATCTCTGGTGGTTTTAACAACTGTTTCACTTGTTATGATTATGGCGTTCATCGTCCTGACATTCGGACCCTGTTTGAATCTTTCTTTCATGCAATAGGGCGCTGGCAGTCGAACAGACGAGAGAAGCGTTACAATACCTGCATAGTTCGCAACCACGAAGCACTGGCAATCTTAACTCAGGAACTTGAAGTAAAGCTGGAATCTTCTGCAAAGGGCCCGACGGAAGCAGATACCGACAAATGGAGAACGCGCCTCGAGGACGAATGTTGGTTTGAAAGGCACGACACCGCTTTGTTTGGACAAAGGGACGCCTTTTGACAAATGAAGTAACTTAGAGGATCACCTGCGGAAAAACGCGCGTGCAACTGTTTTGTACTTCAATGCAATTGTCCAACTTGCCTCCAACAGAAGTCAACAAAGCGCTACTACTGAAGAATTGCAGGAAAGTTGAAGAGAGCGTCATTGCAACGTCTTTAGAAGGTAATATGCAGCAGCGTCTTGGGCTAGGTAGAGAAGCGCTGATACCGCTTTTTTGGGTGACAAAAGACCATACTGGCTTGCTTCTCTGGCGCCCTATGACGTCAGGCGTGAAAGAGGGCGTATCACCAGGACGTCGACGTCAGCACCGGTCTGCGTTTAGCAGTGTCTCGCAATTGGAGGCACAAACCTGGACACTTGGCTTTCGGCAACGAAAGAGCAGAGCGACTTTTTGAGCCGTCGCCATGTGCCGTCCTTCAGATGCGACTGATTATACGGCCTCTTAGTGAGGTTCCAGAATGCCCTCAAAGCCTCTGTTAACCTGTTCCAACTAATTCCCTCCCAAGTTTCTCCCAACTTTCCTTTAAAGGTACCAGCACACCGTCAAAGTCTCTATTAACCTGTTTCAAGTAACCCCGCCCGAGTTCCCTTTTACAGTATCGTCAAAGTCTCTATTAACCTGTTCTGACTAACCCCTTCCATTTTCCCTTTTGCAGCTGGCGCCAAGATCCTCAAGTCTCGGGTTGTAACCCAGGAGGTTGACCGGGGCCAGGAGCTCGAGAAGGTGGTCAAGTCCCTGCCGGTGGACATTGACACCAAACTCAAAAGGTAAGGCGAGTGCCGTGCAACGTGAGGCACTGGTGTCATGCTTTTGCTAGTTTGGGAACGCTTCGCGGCAACCCTTCCGTAACATAGGTTTACATCGTTGGGATAATGACCGGTGCTGACAAATAAGGGCGACCCGAAAGCTTAGAGATAGCAGTGATGGCCGCCCTGGAAAGGTAAGCCGCGCCGCCTTGGCGAGTTGCTGTCCTTTACGCAAACTGTCGCCCTAAGACGAGGGACGCATCCTTTGGCGCAGTTCTTGGATGATGCGTCCCCTCACATCTACTAAATTATTCTAGCCATTTCCATCCTGTCGATCAGAATACTAAACATTTGAGCGTCCGCGCTTTCACCTCTTTCTTTTTCCCGTACCCTACGGAGTCCGTAAACCTTTTGGTCCTTATTCTGTTCCTTATCCGAGTATTTTACAAGCCCTGTAACAATAGAAGCACGAGTAACGTGCAGATCAGTTGCACCCGCCCTTGTTTCTAAATTCTTAACACCCTTATCACGTCCTTAATCCTAACTTGAGTCCATTCTGAAAGGCTTTTCAACCTGTGTTGCAGAAACTATTACCAGTACGAGTTTTACGCCCGGGGTCAACAAGTGGCGCTGGCTGCCGCCGCACAGAATGGCAAGGTGAGGTTCCAGGCTTCTGCATTCTCAGTGTCACAGATGCTTAGCGTTCCGGTTTCAGGGTTTAGGATTCGAAGATTTCGGGTGCGCTTGTTCTGGCGCTCATGTGGCAAAGGTGCTCGCCTTCATGGCGGGTTCGAGCAATCAACAGCCGATCAGAGAAATCTTCGACGTTCGTTCAACTAAAATTTCACAAAGACTGGCGCTCGTTTTCGGTTCATCGACTCACTCGGGAGGCCATTTGCAACAAGTTGAAGGGATATTGGCTTGTTCTTGACATCAGAATCTGTTGCCCACCTTGCAGATTTACGTCGTGGGCGCGACTGTTCCAACAAAGAGGTGGAAGGACCTTGCGAAGCAGATGAGGACGATAGCGAACTCGTTTGAGCTTCGATAGCGGTGACTCCTTACTGAAGCCCGTCCTGAATCATGTCAAGTGCATTTGCAAAGGTTTTGCTAATTTGATTTGCGTGCGGTCTCATGACTTTCCACTATTTGGTTTCCGGTCCAACATATCGCTCTGGTAGTACCATCCTTCTGTATCCAAGCCCCTTGATGATTCAAATCTGATAATGCACAGCGGCATGTAACAGGTTACTTACATAGTTAATGCATTCGCCGGACCACCATGTAATGTTTGCTCTGACTTCTCTCGCCAGGCTGGTTCAATCAATCAGAATTAAACGACAGACCTGCTGTAGCTAATGGCTGACGCGGTCCTCAAACACCGCCGAGCTGACCGTCTGCCCCATCGGGGCTCTCCCGGGCGGCCCTCTGACTTGCTTGATCCTAAGATGTATCGCGGGACATGTTACTGAGTCAGAATGATTGAATCGTCGGATTGATCTGACCCATAGACTGTTCGTGCGAGGACATTGCTCAACATGCATGCCAGCCGCCTGATTCGTGCGCGTGACCTACGTATATTAGCTCGTGAGAAAGCCCCGCTGCTTCTTCGAGACAGTGACGCGCCGAGTCATGCATAGTGATGGATATAAGTTCCTTCACGTGCTGCGCTGCAGTGACGGGAATGTGCGCACGCAGAACATATGTAATACAACACGTTAATTGGAACGTATCTGCACAAGGAGAAAACGTCGGGCTCAGGCTGCCAGCTTGTGATCGAATGATGTTAATTAGACGGTGGATGAATGATTGTATTCAATAATTCTTTGGCCGCGTCGGACAGCCGAGCCAGGCTCCGGCAAACTGGCCGCCACGCAACTTTGATATGGAGATGTTCCGGGCGCGCACAAACGTACATCCAATACTTATAGATGATGTTAGACGGTGGAATAATTGAACCTAGCTGTCTGACGGCCGGCCGAGTCGTGATCTAACTGATGTTGCAACCATGTTCGATGAAGCTAGCAATTGCACACGAGGCGGCCGCCATGATCGAGTCACTCCTAGAAAAAGTTATATTCTACTGCGCTGAGTCCGCGAGAAGATAGCCGAGTGACTCAGCTTACTAGAGTTCAGTGCATCCAATCATCATGTGCCATACTATACAACGGTCAAATATCATTTCAAAACATGTTGACCGTCGTCAGCGCTTCATAATTAATGAACTTCAGGCGGCCTGCATGAGCGCATGCATATATGAAGGTATACGGCGTGGACGGATGAGTGATCGACTGTACGACCAACTTATAACGGCCGCCCAAACTTTGGAGCTAGCCTGCGGCCGCCATCTCGGCAGTTGCTTGACCGCTATACGCGCGGTGGCCGGATGATTAAGAAACGCGACAATTCAGGGACATAAACCGTGATCGACAGCGGGCCCTGGCCATGCCTGATCGATTACTGAGGTAAGTTTGACTGCTTTGCTCATCCATATTGAATACTCTTTGAACGAGTTATGAACTGGTGATGCAAACGAGACTGTCCTTCGGTACTCCTTACTCCTAATTCCTAACTGTGACATGCATGAACTAAGCTACGAGTCATACTTTCAAACTTTAGCTAAGCTATGCATCGTCAGTAAAAAAAACTTTTCATTTTACATCCACAAACATCTACATCTACAGCCACCGGCCTAGGCACTGCCAATCACCCCAACAACGCCCGGACAGTTGCTAGAGTTTCAGTGCCAGTTGCTTCTCTTGTCACGCTAAGCTACCGTAGTAATTGCAAATGATCGCCAACTTAGTTGTTAGTGTTACCTATGCATCTGAAGGAACTAAGCTTGTAGGATGTTGGCGTTGGGAAAAGAGGTCCCAAGCTGCTTGAACCTGACAAGATTACCAATCTCCAACTTGCTTGTTACCCTAAACCATTGCAAGCGACTGTGAGACACACTGCTAGCCTCCGTAAGGTTCAGCAGTTGTAAAAGCCCACTTGAGACTTTCAAAGATGTCAACCTGGGCGGGAGGTGCCCCACGAACACCTCGAATGGCAACGTGTCCGACTCGGGCGTAAGCTTTACTTCCCCATCAACAAAGTCAAGCGTCTGGAGCTCTGCACATTGCCTCAAGAGCGGCACCACCTTCACTTGCCAATCCCCGAGAGTCTCGACTCCCTTGAAGCACAGATGCTCCAGGCTCAAGGGTTGTGCCCACCGCACCGGGTTTTGAAGCGAGAGGCTTCTCGCATCAATGACGACGTTGGCGAGTGCCGGAGTTGCAAGAGCCAAGCGCTCCGATTGATTCTCCAAAGAGACAAGGGACTCAGACTTGATCCGCGCCGCGACTCCAACCTTGCTGTTAAGTACAAGCTTCTTGAGGGTTCCCGAGCGGATGGAGACAATCTCGGGCTCGTTGCTAGGAGGCCACCGGTTTGCATTCCCTCCTAGTAAGACCTTGAGCACCTCGATCTTTGAGCATCTCATGAGCAAATGCTCGAGAGCCTCCGGTTGTATGCTGACGCTGTTGAACTGGAGGCTTTTGAGCTGAGAGGGCGGCCTATTGTGCATGCTGTTGACGGCCGGCACCGCACCCCCCTCGCTAGAGACACTGAGGTGCTCGAGCACCGGGCTTATTAGCACATAGGCTATGAGCATCGTGATGTCAAGCTCTGGCTCTCCCATCTTGCCAATAAAGTGGAAGTTGACCCGCTCCGGCAAACCCTCGATCAACTGGGTGGTGAAAAGAACGTGGGAGGGAACCGCCTTCACCTCGCTCGTTGTCATAACCAGGCTTAACTCTTGAAGGTTAACTTCGGGGTGCTCTAAGAACCTGGCCAGCCCAATGGATTGCTCCATATCTCCAAGCTGCCAATTCAGCTTCTTGACCGCCCTTGTTAGCTCCAGAAAACGCTTGCATACACTTTGAGCCCGCACAAAGTCTCTTGCGCTGGTGGTCACGGCTTGGTCGCCAGTGTTCCGATGCGGGGAGTTGACCTCTGTTAGGACCTTGATGACCAACTCATCAGGCAAGAGCTGGAAGTAGTCTATGTCTGTGTCCATATCTGCAAAGGGATTGATACATTCAGCTGATTCCGTATTTATTGAAGCTCTCTGAACAAAAATCCGATGAGAGCGCGTTATATTGATGTCTAGCGCCATGTGATTCTGCGCCAACAATCCTCGCAAGCGCAATCCGCTAACTTGTAGCAAACCCCAGAAAGTGCTGGTGAAGAAAGACACCTCACACAAACTTGACAAAGCCTGCTGACTGACATCTGATTTATCTGAACTTCATCAATACAGGAACAGTGACACTTAGGATAGCCTGGGAGTTCAACACCAAGGAGAAGAAAAAGTTTTTGAGGAGCCTAGGAGAATTCTCATGAGACAGTCAGACCATTCTCTATTCATTTCTAAGGGCAACTGTATTACAAGCTACTCAACATTTACTACAAGTGTTTGGGGACCTGCGCCCGACAGACTCAGGTCAGGTCTGTCATAGTCCAAGGCAAGCAGGATGCTCCAGACAGAGAGCAATGCAACGCCATTCACTACTGTCTACGCTCTATCAATGTTATGTACCATACCCATTGGAAGGTACAACTGACATTGCTTGAAGATATAACCGATTTACAGCATCCTGAGCGAGTTTCTTGAAAAAGGAAGGCAACAAGCACTGCGGAATTTGAGGAACTCTCACCTGATAATCGGACAATACAGACAATTTTTCTTAAAGAAGGGAGAAACGTTGTCCTGCTGAAAGCTCTTGCACAGCTCAGGGCTTCAGCTCCCTTTCCCCTTGATGCAGCATGCAGTGCGCCAATGACCTTGCCTTCCAAAAGCCGACCGCCCCCCCAGCTAGGCCTCTTAATCTGAATCATGCATGAGAAGCAACGAGTCAGGACTCAGGAGCATGATGCAATCGACAAAATGTTTGCCCCGGCTCGCTAGCGAGTGCGCTGACTCCTTTGTTGATCGTTCCGCTCGCGCAATTTCATATTAGCGAAGGACTAGGCATACCAGTGTAGTCAGGGTAGTCAGGATGCGCGTGAGATAAGAGGTAGGTTGTATTGCGCATTCAGAAACAGTTGAGTGCCACGTGGGCCATGTGATCAAAGTCACTGAAGTTGATTGGCCGACGGCCTGACTGCTATTGTAGGTATCCAGCTCGCAAGTTTCTGCCAGGTACCGGCCAACCAGGCCTTAACAAAAACACATGGAAAGGAATGCTTAGTATCCAACGAACGAATCATATAATATCCAATAAATAATTCACATTGTAGCTGAGGGGCAGGCTGCGTGACTGATTTGGCTTCGATCACAAGTTGCAGTAAGTCCGACAGCCCCAAGTAGATTGGAGCAAAAGGTGGCTCATGACATAAAGAAGGCTCGACTACGGTCGACTTGACAAAAAATCAGGAAGGCGTTGACAAGGCTAGTTTGGCGATGCACTTGGAAGCCGCGAACGCTGTCACATTGAGGGACAGAAGGGAGCCCCTCGAGGGGAAGGACACTGTATACGCCTTGACGCAGACATCTTAAAATTGTCGACGTGATCTATGCATGCCCTTCGCGCTGGTTGTGAACGAGTTGATAAACTGGCACACCCTGATGGGCCGTCTGTCCTTCAAGTTGACTTGGAATAGGGCACAATATGACTGGGATCACAATTTAGACTTTATGCCCCGCTTTCTTGAGCTTCTTTTCCACTTGCGTCAGCCTGGCTTTCATCGTCGCCAAAATGTCCTCAATGTTCGCGGCCATCTCTTCTTTCTGCGATAACACAAGAGGGAAAGAGGTCAGCGCCCACCAGATAGCCTGAAATTGTTAACTGCTGCACAGGCATCTCAGGCTTCCAAACTTGAGAGCAAGCCTGTAAGAAGACAAGTTCAGCTTACATTGCTAACGAACGAGGGCGAGGCTCATGCTCCAACGTCTTATGATACGGGCGTTCCGTTGTCTTTGCATAGGTCTTTTTGGAAGTCATCACACAGGTGATGTCGAGTCGCATCATAAGGGCAGAAAGATGGATGCACTGTATATCAATCAGGCACAATAGTTTGTTCAGCAGGGTGTGATATGACTACGGCAAATTTTACTCTAGTAAAACGAACGCCTGATGTCTGCGCGTTCACCTCGAAGACTTTTTCCTGGGCCTCAATGCTTCTCATCAGTTTTAGATGCCTCTTGCGAAAGCAGCGAGCGAATTGAATGTCATCCTACGCCCGCTCCTGGTCTCAATGTCGCAGATCGATTGTCAGCCTGAGCTCGAAGAGCGCAGCTGAAACATTGGACTTCATATAGTAATAATCGGCGTGGGTTGGATATGTTTGCACCGGCGAGTCGACACTAGTGTCTAGTTGTGACGCTTCGCCCCCACGAGACCACGTATTGTCTTGATGGCGGCGACCATCACGTGCATGTAGAGTGCTAGTCCGTCGCCCAAAGCCGCGTGATGCCCAATGCACAAGCACTCCCTCACCTTGGCGTCCTGGATCGTCTGCTCAATCTCCGTCCGGGTCAGCTCCCGGGTGGGGCTGAGCGGAACTTTCCGGCGGGTGGTCTCGTCCAGTCTAATCTTCGAGATCGTATTCAGCTGCTGGTGGTGCTCCGGAAGGGGGTTCGTCTGCAATGAAAACAATCCAATTCGTTCCACGTGTCAATAAGGAAAACACGTACTCACAGGCGGAGAGGTTCACTAGTGTCTTGTGAATCTTATGGCCGTGATCTGAGAGGCCTTGGAACTTGGCATACTTGGCAAAAGAGAACGCTCAAAGTGGTTTTTATAAACAAACCTTATTGACCATTGATTACCCGTGGCCTGCTTTACAAAATCCGTGTGCATACAATACAGGCACCGCGCGTTCCTGGAAACGATATGGAAGTGCCTCCTGACCTGAACAAATCATAAGGAAGAATGTTTCAACAAAGACGAGGCCTTTGTACGACACGGCCTTTGGATAAGAGAAAGCCGAAAATTCGCAGACCATTATGAACGGGAAGCGACGTCCTAATGTCCGGACTACAACGATCAAATTTGCGGGATTATCGAACTTTGGCCAGTGCATTTCGTCCTTCCGTATTCCCAGGTAGGGAGCGCTTCCTCATGGCAGAAGACCTTGATTGGGCTATTGGAGAAGAGGGCTTGGCCGCTAATCTTACGTCTGCGTTACACTTACCTTTACAAGGGGATGCTTCAGGGCGAATTTCAGCGCGAGCACGGCCGCTGACGTGTCATCAATGTGCGGCAAGCCCCCGGCTGGCGTCGGCGCATTCGCCAACTGGTACAGCTCCCTTTCAGTCACCATCGGTTCGTCATACTCGTCCACCAGCCCCTCTACAGCTTCCGAAGTCCCCGCTACAGAGCCCTCTTTTCCGTCACCTTGTAAGCTTCCTTCCGGCGACCTGGACAAGCTCTCGCTCGCCAGACTGGTCGCCTCAAACGGCGCTTCGAAGCGTTTTTGCACCCGCTCCAGCGCGGCAATGATCTGCGTCTCCGGATACGCCGCCGCGAGATCCGCTAGCTGTTCCTTGCCGAGCTCCTCGACGGTCGCGCCGATCTGCGCGCCGAAGAGCGCGGGTTTGGGGCGCGGTTTGGGCTTGGTTAAGAGCCACCGCTGGCCGCGCGCGGCCGCCTCCGCGACCGCAGCTAAGATCGGGACTGCACTTTCAAGGGGCTCTCCGTTTCCGTCGGAGCCGGCTCGAACAGCTAAGGGAGTGTCCCAAAGGGCGATCTGCAAAGAGGGCGATTGGAATCAAGAAGTCGACGGGTGGATATGTACCAGACGCTCTGGTTGTGATCATTCGCGTTTCGTGCTTATCATTCTCCGTACTGGAACCATTCTCGTGTGGGGTGCGGATGGTAAAAGATTCTTTCGCCTTCATCGTTTCAAAGGTCGGGTAAAAAGAGAGTTTGCAAAAGCTTCCGCGGTGAGGCGCTGCGGCCAGATTGAGGTTTATAAATGACGAGATGGATTCTAGCCTCCCAGAGCACATGTGCTCGACTCGTTGAGAGCTGAGATTACTCACTCGTCGAAGGCTTTTTGAAAGGTGCACAAGCCCTGCGGCGGCTTCCGCTTCTTCGATGCGGGTTGCCGCCAGGTCTAGTTCCGTCAGGCTGGAGAAGAGCGTATCGTGCGCAATGCTCTCCCAAGGAATCCGCCGGATTGGGTTCCGCGCGAGCGAGAGGGAGCGGAGGCAGGGCAACTGTGAGAGTTTCAGGAAGTGTCAGACAAGAGTACTTGAAACGAGTCATTGACGTCTTGGCGGAAGTCAACGAGGCATTGATTGTGGAGTGAATGCTGATTACTGCTTCAAGAGGGACAGCAGCCGTGTTGGTGTGTCGGAGCAACGCAACGAGGTCTTGTGACGAGAAACGTCGAAGTCCTCGGTCCTTGGCCACCAGATTGCTAAACTTTTCTCAGGAACAAAACATCTTCTCTCTAGTCAACTTAAGATTCCTTCAGGGCAACAGCTCCAGGGCAAGAGCTCCATGTTACGGCTTGAAACGCGCTGCATTGTCCGCTTGCTCTTCGGAAGCGAATTTCGGCGCAAGAAATGCTTAACGATTTTTGCCGCGACGTCGACTCTGCGTCCGTACCTTGCTCAGCGTAGTTAGTGAGCTCGAAGGCAGCCCGTTCGCCGACAGCGACAGCTTCTGCAACCGGTGGAACCTCCCGGGCAGGGCCACGTCCGCAGGAAGGTGCCCGGAGAGTCGATTGTGGTCAAAGTAGAGCTCGAGCAACCGGGGAAGGGTGGAGAGGAGGGAGAGGTCGGTGCGCGTTAGGTGGTTGAACGAGACGTCGAGGACCTGCAATGCAATCAGTGAGAGGTTCAAGAACCGAGCGCCTGCCAAGATTCTTGTGCATTTATCCTTTGCTTCCCCTTTCCCGTTCCTTTTCACGATCAGAATCATCAAAACGGTTCGAGTTGAACGTGGTGATGGAATACTGTACTCAAAACACGCTGGAAGATGGAGATACTGTTTTTTTTGGGGGTAGTCAAGAGTTCAGGCTAAAAGGGAATTCAGGGAAGGGGGCTTCGGAACATGGTGTAAGTCAGGCCTTTTGAAGCACTGTAGACGCATGCAATCTGGTGGTATGATCGAAGCGCGTATGATTTCTCTTCTTTTTCTTTTCTCAGCAGTACTTCTGTAGTCCGTGTAATTCAGAAGCCGGAATGGATTGCAACAAGAAATGGACGAAAAAAAGTACGAAAGAAGAAAGAAAAGGAAAGAAAACACCAAACTCTCAGTGAAAACAGCGTCCTTGGGATAGAGTAGGGTAGACGGTATCCAAGACATGCTCACCTCAAGAATTTCAAACTGCCCCGGTTGGAAGCGCAGCTTGTCCAACTTGTTGCAGGGGAGGAGGAGGCGTGTGAGCGCAGTCAGACCGCCGAAGTTCTCCTGCAAGCAAATTACAACGGAATGGGTTTCAGTTGACGAGATAAGGAAAAAGAGCCGTACACTGTGCCTGGAGCGGCCAAGTGAAACCGAGACGGTATACGCGTCGCTGGCGCATCGGACATTCAAGGTCGACGTCGAACACGATAAACATGCTTTAAAGACGAACCTAGAAATCGAAAATCTGTAGTCTGTCCAAAGAACTGAAGGAAGCTTGTCCGCTTTCCTAAGTTAGTCACAAACGGATTTCGATCAATTACGGTGACAGTCGGAATATTGAGTCCGATAGCTGTCTGCTTGTCGTCTCGGTACCTGTCCATGGCATGAATACGCTCGGAGAGGCATAGACTCCAAGATAATACTATGACTACACGACGAGTCTTTCGCTCACCATCTTGAGAAAGTCGTTGCCCACATCCACGGTGTGGATCGGCTCAAAGAGCAGCGATAGCACGGCAAAAAACGAAAATCATTTGCTGTGGCCGCACCCAACTTTGTAAATGATTTCACGGCGGAGTCGGCAGAAAGGTGGTGGCCCTTGCTCACCATTTTGAGATAGTTGTCGGCGGCACTGACAGCCGAGAGCCGCTCGAAGAAGCGCATGTCATCCACCTCGACTGACGTCAGGTGACTGCCGCACAGGTTCACGACCTCGGCCTCCTCGGGGAGCTCTACACCGGCCGCATCACACTGCAAGAAAGAAGCCCGGTTGTTTGTTCCGGTCAGATGCACGAAGTCCAAGATCGAAGTGCCAGTTTTCTGCTACTCGAGTGCTTTCAATTCAGAAAGGGCCGCAATACTCTTTGGTGGGGACTGGATCTTGTTCGAAAGCATGCCAAAGGATGGCAATCGGAACTTCGATTTAGTCCAATTGTCTACTTGTAATCTCCTATTCGTGTACGAGTACCTTCCAGAAGGACCGTCTTGAAATGTCTAGATACTCTGAGCCGTCAGGTCTTGCTTTGCGATTTCTAGGTCAGGGAGAATAGAGGGAGACATTTGTCCCGTGTTTCACATAAAGAGCCAGCAAGCCTTGTTACGATTGAATTTAGTAAACGGCAGAGAAAGACGGCTGATCAACCGAGGTTTAACAACACGACTTGGCCCACTTCTCCCCTTGCCAGTGATTGCAGTACAAAGTCCCCTGTGTACCACCATCGATCCGACATACCTGTCCAATCTGCCGTCAGTGCCGAAAAGTTTTGAAGAACTGCAGATTCAATGAACGAGCTTTGCAAAACTCACCAGTAGGAAGCCATCCAGCAACACCTCCCCCAGTTCGCTCCTCGCAGATGGGGGCCTCCCAAAGCGCCCCTCCTGCACCCCCCGCTGTTTCGCCAGGACCGCTGGGGGAACCCTCTGCTTATGCAACGGGTTCCGAAACTGGAGTTTTTGGTCTGCAAACCTACTGAGAGCCCCTTCTAGAAAGTCCGCAGACTGGAGGCTGGTTGGCCCTTGGCCCAGAACGAGCTCGTGCTGGTCTGAGGAGTCCCAGTCTAGAGTCCTGGACATACTGAAATGAGCCTCCGGTAGTTGTAAGGTTTGCGAATGGGGTGCCTCTCTTGCAAAACGAGAGGCGGGTAAGCCTTTCAGTGGTGGTTTGACTTTACCTACCGGAGTCTTGGTGTTGTTTGCTTTATTTCCAAGGTCCAGATCGGACACTCCTTGAGATATGCTTGCTACGGACAGTTCGTTTGTATAAGATGTACTCGGGGTTTGAATCTGCTCGCCACCACTGTCCCATCTGGAAGCCTCGCTGATGCTGGACTCTTCTCTAACAGAGGACTCTACACTTGCACCGCTCGACATCACACCTGGCGTGACAGCCGCTCCCTCGGCATCCCTAGACGTTTCACTGCTCCTAATGCTATCCTCCGAGAGCACTGAGGTTCCAATCTCCGTTGCTGGCAAACTGCTTTGCGTGCTGACTGCAGATGGCTGACTTTCCGGCTGCAAACTTTTCTGCGGCACTGTCTTTCCACTTGAAGCTGCCTCCGCATCTTTACCAACCTGTACGGCTCCAAGTTTGGAACCGCTTATGCTTGCCAGCCCTTTACCCGTAAGCTTGCCAGGTCCACCCAGCTTCTCTTTTGACCCCTTTCCCTCGGCACCCCCAGCTTTGACCTCACTGACCTTTCCTACACCAGCTTCGCTTTTGCGTCTTTGTCCCTCGTTTACCTGCCCCTCCCTAGGCACCTTTTTGACCCCTTTGAGAGACTTTGAACGCTCCAGATTAGCAGCTGTTTTTGTAGCCACTTTGACTGAATCGTCATTCTTCCTGAGCAGGTGCAAGGGAAGTCGTGGCAAAACTGGAGCAGGCGGGACTTTGTTTGCTGGAATGAAGTCGAGGACTGTTCCGCCCTCCATAATTGATTTTTTTAAAGGTCTCAATGAGCGACTCCCTACAAACAGCAAGCTAGCCTGTAGCTTACCCCAACACATATAAGTGAGCTCAGGCTTGTTGCGTGGAAGGATTGCCAGCTCTATTAGTAGCACGGCGGACTTGCGAACCTGCGTAACGATTACAGAGATTGCAATCTGGACTTCTTGACTCGGACCAAGACCAGCTGGCTAACTAGCTCCACCCACCAAGAGCTGGGGGCGAATTTCAAAGCCAAAACTGTTCGCTTCAAGTATCACACAGATGGGTCCGCTTCCATCCGCTGCCACTGACGTCTTCACCAAGATGACTACTCATTGTCATTGACATGAGCATTGGCTCCGGGTTAAGCTCCTGCTTCTGAATTATTGTACAGGGCAGGAATCAGGAGAGGAGATTCAATACGGAGGCAACCTAAGTCCACTTCTCACACAACGGAACCATAACTTTAAGGTTTGGAGGCAGCAAATTAAGAGAATCTCTTGGGTTCTCGAATGCAAAACCCAATTTCATGCGGACCAAGGTGAATCAGAAACGCCCAACTAACTTTACAACCGACGGTTCAGATGTTGGAATCAAAGGAAGGCCTTCAATCCAACGGCTGGGAGCTGCAACCCAAGCGCTCGAGTCCCTTCGAGTGCATGAAGCTCCAGCTAGAGGCTAGATTCTAAAGGATAGAGCTTAGAACTCGGACGTTTTCTCTCCTGGCAAAGCTAGACAGCAAATTGCACCAGCAGGTCAGTCTACCTGGAATCCTCTTTCATTAGGTGCCTAGCTCTGTTTGTAGTCTGGCAGCATCTGTTTGCTGGCGAATAAGCGCTCTTATTCCCCGCACCCCCACTAAAGAGCTGGGAAGCTTGCGAGCTGTCCCAGATGGCTGACTTTTTTGGTTCCCTGAACGACGGAGGCGCTGCAGAGGGTGGGAACACTTTGAACCTGAGCGAGAAGGAAAGGAGGGAGTTTGATGAGATCACGTGAGTCTTCTTATTTCAACAAGCAGAGGGCATGCCTTCACCACCCTGCAGTTGCCTGCTAATCCTGGGGTGAAATTGTGCTGCAATGTGTTGTGATGGCTGCTAAGTCTCAGCCTTGCTTGGCTTCATGTGGTAAGATGGGGATTGCTGCTAAATTTGGTCTTTGTACCTCAGACTGATATTCAGAGCCAGTGACTCCTTGGTTATAGTTCTCGATCAAGACTACCACTAGGGTTCATGCAAGATTTCCGATTGGGTTTACATTGCTCACCTCACCTTTGATCTCCTTATAAAATCAAGCAATGTCTGCAGAAGATTGTTTCTATCACTCCCCTAAGCAGATTAGACGCCCTGTGCATCATGGTCCTGCTGGTGAATGTCTTAGTTGTTCTTGCCCACTGTTTGTGGTGCATGCTTTATTTTCCAAGAACTTTTCAAAATCACAAGCGTCAGCTCTGCTCCCTCCAAATATGATGTATCATCAAAGGCTATAGGGGGCATACTAAAGAAGACCTGCAGTTCAGCACGGAGGCAAAGGATACTCCAGTGCGCTTGAGCGGACGCCACCCTGCATCAACACTTTGGCAGCAACCATTTGAGCAACAGTTGGCGGAATTTCTTTTTAGAGCAGGCCCAAACAGAACTGCAGCAGAGCAGAGTAGAACTTGTACCAGAAGTTGATTAAAACTGGATGAATATGGAGCAAACGGACAAGGTGTGAATTCTGAACATCATCAGACCCAACTGCAACCTGCTCAGGGACACTTTTCTTGTGACAGGTTTGACAAGATCCAGGCCTTGACAGATGTAAACAAGCTCGCCCGTTTAGCGGCGTACATGCGCATAGAGGATTTTCACACCACAGCAGACGTGGCACAGGCACGCCTGCAAAATCTGCAGGGCTCAGCAGGGAGAGAAGAGAACCCCGTCCTTCCAGCAAGGTAAGCAGGGCCTTACAAGGAAATGTGTCAGAGAGGTGTGCCAATTCACAGTACATACAGCAGATATGTCTAAGAAAAGCTTTCATTTTCATTTGAGAGGGCGCTTTTGACGGCTGGTGGATTAATTCGAGGCCCCCGCGCATGTATGGCAGGATTTGAAAAGCAAACTGTTTCAGTCGCAGAGCTATGGTGAACTATTGGTGTGACTGCTGAGATGGCGGTATCATGAGAGTCTTTTGGGGGGGGTGGTCCTTTCAGCGACGGAATTGACCTTCTTCTACATGAGCGACTGTGGGGTTGTTGGGCAGGCTCATGCTCCCGCGGGGCTAGCATGTTGCTGGTGTAGATTACTTAAAACCATTTCAACATTCAGAAAAATGAGCATGAGATTGACCTTTTGTATGAGATACATATCAATCTGTCAACCCGGCTCAACATATTTTCTCATATTGGTGAAAGACAGACAAAATGACGGAACTTTGGCGGGCTCTGAAGTTTGGCACCCTGTTTGAATGCAGAAAAGACGCTGACGCAGAACTAGACAAGGTGCTTCAGGAGCTAAAAAGCTGGGAGGCATCAGTGAAGGGAGCAGACAAGGCGCTGAAAAGCGATGCACCTCCAACGGAAGAGGACGCCCCTCCGGTCCGGCGCCATATAGGGGGAAAGGTAGGTTGCCGTCAGCAAGGAAAATTCAGGACTAAATCTGTGCGGCGACAGGCGCGGCAGAATTGTCCTTTTGTTAGCAAGCGGCAGATGGTCTCTTTCTGCTTCTGGTTCCGAGTAGCGATTCTGCCTTCCTTCGTGGCTAGCCAACAGCTTTTCTGGACCGTTTCTAAAGGGCCCAGGTGAACCATTACTCAGGTGCCAAGTTGGACCCCGAAACCAATCAACGAAAGCACTCACTAAGCAAAAAGAATCCTGTATGGTCTTGGCCCATGTCCGTTTTCCTCGAGGGAAGAAGGACAACACTTGGCTGGCAAAGTTTTGCCGCCAGCTGACGCTAGTTGATAGTCAATTGTTTACTCCGGAATTGGACGTGCTGTCGTTGTTAGAGTTTAACAGTAATAGCGATTGCTTATTTACTTCGTTAGTAAACGCGGGGTTCGGTAAACGGGTTTCAAACATGCAGGTTGGCAAGGCGGGCCTGATAGAAGAGCCCGAGGAAACCAAGCCCAAGAACGCGAAAGAGGTGATGGAGAAGGCCAAGCGGATGAAGGACGCAAAGGACGTGCGGAGCGGGGCCGAGTATTATCAAAAGTGGGACAAAGTTGCGGAGAATCTTGAGAAGGTGAGGGTTTTGGGTACAAGCGGCAGAAGCCAACTCTTTTTCTGAGCTGTTTCACATTTCCACCCCTGCTTTTTTGTTTGTTCGGGTGGCCACTCTGCTTGGCAGGATCTCCTCCTTAGCATGCGAAGATCAGTCTGTGCAGTGCCATAAATTCAACCTCAAGTATCTTCCATCCTGTAGACAAGGACTATGGCGAGGTGACCATACTTTGAAACACCCACGGTCCTGAGCAGACGGAGGTTCCCTGAACGGAAGCCAATACCTTCTTTTTTGAACAGGGGGTCCGCTTTGAAAACTGCCGGCAAAACTGCCGATTCTGTACCAGTCGTTGCTGCAGGCACCTCGATGGTCGGCTCGGAGATTCAAAATCGTTCACACTCACCCGGGTCCTGCTCAGCTCAGAGAATGTGAATACTTCTTCGTGGGACCGGCCAGTAATCGCGATCGGACTAGAGAGCGCGCCGGATGCCCCCGACTCATTGTGCTCTTAGCTGCTGCAGCCGGCAGATTGAATGTGCCGATTGTCACATGTACTAAAAAGAAAGCTCCAATACAATCGTTCAAACTCATACCGTTTCTTCTCACAGGAGGCGGAGGGTTCCCTTAAGAAAGCCAAGCCAGCTGCGAGCAAACCGAAGACCGAGACTGAGGAGATTCCTGAAGAGACTTCGGCCCCCGTGCTTTCCGCTGCTGCGGCAGACCGGCTGGTAGACGCCGCATACAAGAAACCAGTCGTCGAGAGGAGATGGCTTGCGAACCGAGAGCGGGAGAAGGGGAACGAACTCTTCAAGGTGAGCTCCGAATGGCCACGCCTGGGACGGTACAAACTGTGCTGCTTGGTTAGAGGCGATATTGACTGGAGTCTGTGGCGAATTGGTTTTGGTACCCATTGCAAAGAACATGGTAAGTCTGTGGTGTTGTCTTCCTCCGGTTTTGAGCGCCATTGCTCTATAGGCGCTCTGCTTCCAATCCAGGTTTCACCAGCAGTTTCCTTGGCCGCACGTCGAACCAGCACTCTAGATCTCAATAAGCTGATCTATACTGACCGATGTAAGTTAGCAATTTGCTGCACAACTTGGCCTCTTTGCAATTGTTTCCAGCTGCATTGTTGAACTTCTTTATCAGCTCTGCCTAAGAACCCAGCCATTCACCGAAGTCGGTCCTCAATGACAGGCAACAAATAAGGCAGTGCCCACTGTCGACTCTCGATTCCTTCGTGGGAGATTGGTCTCACGTTGCGGAAGAAAATGGTCGAGAACATGCAGAGTTCCACAAACGAAGCCTTCGCCTTTTCATTTGCAGAGTAAAGAATACCAGGGCAGCATTGCAGCGTACACGCTCGCGATCCGGCTGCTGCCCTCGTTAGAGTCCGCGTTCTGCAACCGAGCGGCCGCGCACCTCAAACTGAAGCAGTACAAGGAGGCGGAAGCCGACTGTACGGAAGCGCTCAAGATTGATCCAGGGTACTTGAAGGTATGACTAGTCTTCGGGGTCGTAGCGGTCTCAATCCTTGTAATTCACCAAAGTTGATTAGCATCACATGTGAAGTGGAACGTCGGGCCTTGGACAATACCGTTCCAAGTAGAACGGCGAAACTCCAGGCAGGCTTTGCGCACCAGCTTTCTTATCGCCTCTCCCCTTCTAACAATTCAATCATCCTCCACTTTTTCACCTTTCGGCACTGCAGCTTACCGATCGCTTCGGTGCCTGAGAAACGCACCCTCTTCAAAGTGCTGATCTGCTCTTTCGTCCGCAGGCACTTCGTCGCCGTGGCATGGCAAGGCTCGAGCTCGGAAACGCGGAGGGAGCGATCGGGGACTTGGAGACCGTTCAGGAATGCGAATACGACAAGGAACTGACGGAGTTGCTTCGGAAAGCGAGGGCGAAAGTGGGAAAGAAAGCCGGGGCAGAGAAGCCGATGAGACGGATGCAGATCGAAGAGGTAGAAGAGGAGGAGGGTTCGCCAGAAACGGCTGCAACGGAACCGGAAGTGAGGCCGGAAACGGAACAGGAGGCTGGTAGAGCTGGGAACGGGCACGTGAGTGCTGCAGCGGAACGGACGAAAGCGGAAGAGCAGCAGAGAGCGGAAAAGGGCGGAACCAACGGGGACAAGAAACGGATGAATGCAGGATCGACGGGGCCGGAGCATTCTCAATCTCGAGAAACAAACGGTGGGGCTCGGAAGGACCCTTCTGAGGCAAGTACGGGGAACGCTGCAGAAGTGAAGACTAAACAGAATGAGAGCGACGGGTCAGGGAAGAAGGAGGCCGGGTCACCAGTCGTGGAAGCTTCGGGAAAAGATGGGACTGCCGCAAATGGAGGGGCTTCCCAGAAGGAGGCCGACGCAGCGCGGCTTGCAGAGGAGTGGCGGGAGAAAGGAAACGTGCTGTACAAGCGGGGCGACGTCACGGGAGCGGAGGCCTGCTACTCGCAGAGCCTGACGTACAGCGAAAATGCGGCGGCCCTGAGCAACCGGGCGATGTGCCGGAACCGGTTCGGGCGGTTCCGGGAGGCGGAGGAAGACGCGTCGGCGGCGATCATAGCGGATCCGACGTACGTGAAGGCGTACCATAGGCGGGCGGCCGCGAGGCGGGGGCTGCACAAGAAGGAGCAGGCGATGGAGGACTACAAGGTGAGGAACTAGAGTGGCGGTTCCTTCTGTTGAAAATGTTGTTTCTACAGGCATTTGCGGGAAAGCCCGTTCGAAAAGACGTGGTTTGTCGCGTCCGGGTGAGCCGATCCAGCGGTCTCAGGCGGCGGTTGTGCCAAGACGCCTTGAGGACCGGTAGTTACTTGATCATACGTGTACCAGCGCGCACAATGTCTCTTTCTGCTGATGCAATTGCAGGCGTCGACAGACTTGGTTCAACGAGCGCGGATGAATCTCGTGACCTCAGGCTTGGTACACCGCATCTTTGCTGCAAAGATTCTTTGCGACAGCGCTCAGGTTTTGTTTTCAACTTCATGTAATGAAGGGAGACCGGGCCATGCCGCCTTCTGAAAGCTCAAAGCTGGAGAACTTTGTGGAAAGAGTGGTTGCAAAGGGGAGGTGTACAGGAAGCAATCCTTCGTGAGAACATCTTCTCAAGCAGGGTTCATTCTGAAGGACAGCGGCGATAGAACAAGCTCCCCTTTTGTGTTTTTAAGTCTGCGTTTGGCGTACAAACTGCGACCACTTGAAGCATTCAATAATCAACGTAGACTAACACGCTCTCTTCGTTTCAGGTGGTTTTGCAGGCGATGCCGAACAACGTCGGCCTGCAAGAGGAGATCCGGTCGCTGCAAAGCGAGCTCGAAGACTCCATGTACATTCCGCCGAGGAGAGGGGCGCCCGTCATCGAGGAGGTACGTCGTTGCAGGACAGTACACGGCGTCGCTGCCTTTCCTTTTCCACTTTGCTGAGTTTACACAATCTTTCCTGTCGTTGTGTAACATCAGACGTCTGCTGAGGGCTGCGCAGTTTACGGCAAGTTCTTTCCGCTTGCCCCTTCTTCCCTTCGGTTCACGTGTCCTGTAAATTTCTTCTTTCCTCGTTTTTATCGCTTGTTGTTACTTGGTCCCTCTTTGAGAGCCTCACAATACATCTTCGCATTATTTCTGGTCCTCAAGAGTGCTCATTGTCAAAGATCCGTTCTCCGAATTCCGGAATCGTTTGTTGTGGCGCCTCAGCGTCTGGTTGCTACTGACTGTTGGCGCTTAGCACGTATGATTACTTTCTGCTTATGCCTTCACTAAGCTCTGTCTCTGGAAGAGAGAGTTCAGCTTGATATAGACCCGCTGGCATGCTTTGCGGGGCTTCACGGCAATGACGAAACCGCTCCGGGCAAATTGAGTCCACGGCATGATAGCTCCAGAAGCCACAGCCTGTCTCCTCTTGATATAGCTCAGCCTAATCTTCTCACAACTCGTGTATGTCATAATCTTCTCACAACTCGTGTATGTCAGATGTGGTGCCTCAGGCTAGGGCAGCGCTTTTATCCATGAAGGTGCTTGTGTGCGTCACACTGTTGGTGAGCCCGTCAGGTCATCTCCACCAGACAAGTATCGAGTATCGTTTCACCACAACGAACCTGTATCCGTGAGCGTCTTGATTTGTACTAGTTGGGCGGTCCCTGTCACTATGTGACGTGTACTCTGAAGAAAAATTCAGGGATTCTTGCAGTACTCAGTAAACGAGCATGCGGCCAATGTGGCTGTTCTGTTGTCCGTTTCAGGGACCTTGTTGCAAGATAGCTGCCTGGATCTGGCCTTATCATAGCAAAATTCATGGCCTTCAGTTCAACATGCTGGTTTGGCTTCCGTCATACCACAATCACGCTTCCGCCTCAAGTTGGAAGAACGGCTTAGGAGCTGGCGTCGCTCCAGACAAAGCTTGAAACCTTATCTTGGGTTTGATCTCCTTGGATGCAACCGTCCTTCTGCGTTGGAGGGAGTTCCCCGCACGGCGGTAATGCAAAAATCAGTTGCGTATCTGGATAAATAGCAGCGGACTCTGGATGCCGCGGCTTCTCTAAATGTGTTTGCTTCTTTGACTGTCCTTTCTTCATCGCGGTGCCTTACAGTGCGTCGTGTCACTTCGCCTGCGTTGACGCCATCATTGTGTCCAGCCTTATCCTAAGCTGACTGCTTAGAGCCGGCTCCGCGTTGAATCACGCGTGAATTCTCATCATGTGCACTTCGTTTTAATGTATGTAATTGTCCAACGCAGTAGAGGCTCCCTGCGTGGCGGCAATGGAGTTTGATAGATGGCGACGTGGCCATTCCTCTGTTGAAATATCTGATGCCGCTACCGCTTTGCATGCACTTGCTTCCTTGACTGTCGACCGTACATACCGTGCCCTACGATTGGTTGGTCCGTCGGGCCGCGTCCTCTATGGTGATACCACAATCCTCTTTCTCCTTTGTTTTGTAAAGATTGCTCAATTGCCAGCTTTGCTCCGGCCAAGTCCGGTCCAGGCTTAGAAGTTCTACCTTTAGCTCTCACGGTAGATGCAGCTTCCCATTCTCATCTGTACCGCGGTCTCCTACACAGTGGCAATGAGAATTGAACGATGGCTACAAGGCCAATTAGGATGTGATTCTGGCTGATGCTCCGGTCTCTTGAGACGCACTTGTTCCTCTGCACTGTCCGTTTCATGCACACAGTCAACGTCAGTTAGTCGGTCATGTCACGTCGCCTGTGCTGACGCCACAATCCTTTGACGGCCTTGATGTGTGAGAAGTACTCAGAAGCCGGTTTCGCTTCGGCCTTGGCTTGGGAGTACGCTTTTGGGCTTCTTGTCTTGCGATGCAACTTCCAGCTTTTGTTGGTACCGGCTCTCCTCACTTGGGTAAGAGAGCGGTAGATGGCTGCCTTTCCATTCGGACGTCGTCTATGTTTGTTACTGCTGGTCTTTCAAGAGGCACTAATATCTTCACCCTGTCCGTATTATGCAAACGCTCACCTACCGCAAATCTTCGTGGGTCAGTCATCCCTCTGTGGCTTGGTGATGCCTCGATCATGATTTGCCTTGATCGATAAGAAACCCTTTGAAGCCGGCTAGTTTTTGCCCAAGGTTTGAGCGTTTATTCTTCGGTTCCGAGCTTTTGAATGCAGCTTTTTATTTGTGTGGTACCGGCTCTCCACACGCTTGCAATGAAGATGGACAGATGGCCACGTGGCCACCTGTGCCTTCGCTTTCCTGATGCTGCTGGTCTTCAGACGCACTCTTTCTCTCACCTGTCCATATTTTGCACACGCTCACCTTAAAATACATTGAAACGGTCAAGTCACGTCCCCTGTGCTGATGCGGCAGATCGCGATCCCGCTTCAAAAGTGAAAATTGCTTGGAAGCAGGTCGTTTTCATTCCAGCCAAGGCTTGGACATTCTACTTGGTGTCTTTTGTTGTATTAGCAACTTTTCACTTATGTTGGTACCAGCTCTCTACACAAGTGGCAATGGAGATTGACAGAAGTGCGACGTGGCCAGATCAAGGATTCTCGTTTTTGATGCTCCGGGTCTCTTAGATGCACCTGATCTTTCAACTTCTTCCCATTGTTTACACGGTTTAGGGTTTAGGGTTTAGGTCTGTCACGTCACAGTGTCCACTGTCGTATCAGCCTGCTCGCAACCTGAAGAGATGCAACTTACTGGCGACGCCCACTTTTTGGTGCTTCCTTATCGCAAGTAAACATGCCTTGGCAAGTTTCAAGCACTCAACTCATACTCTTGGCACGCCTGGCGAACGAGCGGGCCAGCACTTGGTACGTGTACGTTTCCGTCACGTCTTTGTTTAAGGAGAATAAGAATTTCCTGTGACCTTAAAGGTTCTAATTGGGCTCAGATCTCACACCTGGTGGACCTCGCTGTTCGATCCTTGAATGGTTGCTTTGAGAAATGTCAGTGCGCCGTTGTTGCGATGGCAAAGACGAGATCAGTTCTGGCATTGGGGCCATTGAGTGATTGTTTCTGAAGCCCTGACCGGGTAGTCCACCAGTCGTTGATAGCAACTCTTTGGAGTGCCGCCTTGTTTAAGAATGTTTGTCAGCCTGTTAGGCACGAGTAACCTTTTCCATGTCATTTGCAAGTGCTCAAAAGGGGCGACTGCCGTTCCTGGATAGCATCATTGGCAGGTCTCTGAGAACTTTTGATGAGCAGTATCAGCAGCTTGAGCAGTAAGCTTACCCTTATTCCCGACAGCATTACATGCTCGTTGCGGGGACAGCTCTCGTCGACACGTTACCCCGGTTGTTTGGTGGCGTCCCGGAGCCCTTTGATCAGAGGTCGGGGCTGCCTCTGTTTGTGTAACGATTCATCGGCCCGGCCCACTCACGGTTGGCCGACTAGACGCCAAGCTGGCTAATGTGCATTGAAAGAGCGAGCTTTGGGACACCGTGTGCTTTCCACGTTGGCGCCCAAACGTCAGGTGTGCATATACCTGCAGCAGTTATGAAGACCACTATTGCTGGCCTTTCTGGCCATGATTCATTTCTTGGGGCCTTCCGACGCTGCCTTCTCGAAAAGCTTGGTAGGACCACACCTTGAAAAGCCTGCCTGACATTGCACATTCTGCAGTAGCAGGGATTGATCGAGTGGCTTTCTAAATCGTGACCCAACCGTCAATTCAGATGCTCAACTCGTCCAGTCTGTAAGCCCTTCTCTTCGCCCCTTTGCCATCAGTATATCTGAATGACTCATCAAATCACGTTGCCTTCTCTTGTGCTATGTGTATCCACAGAGCCGCTGGCGAAAGTCCCCTAACAAGGTCTTCGAGGCCAAGCGCAGCTACAGAATTGGTTGACGTCACGTGTACTGTTTTGTCTCTCACCGCGATTTCTTTGGCTGAATTCCAGTATATGGGGCAAGGATCTTGTTATTGTTCACGTCCTTTTTCGAGTAAAGAGGCGGTCACTCTTATGCTTGCACGATCAACCATTATAAGAACGGGTTGTTCGATTCGCATTCTCCAATGCCACTTGCGTTCGATCGGCATCGACTTCTTAGCGTTCTTCACGTGCATTTGCACATGCGGCGTGTCTGTCTGCACAGCGAGGCGTGTCTATCTGCAAAGTGAGGCGTTTTGTCCGAAGTCAAGCTTCCAAGGAGACGCTTTAGATCGGAGAAGCAAGTAATTGTGCATCACATTGATGACGGGATGAAGGGCTTTCCTGTTGTTTTGAACTCATTGAGAGGCAATGAGGACGTCAAATGAACAGACCTTTTGGCCATTTTCCAGTTCAGCAATCCAGATGCCTCCCTTGCGCACCTCCTTTCTCTCCTGGTAAGCTTCGGGTTTTAACCGGGTGCGATCTTTTCAATGATGACTTTTCAGTAAGCTCTGAGGAGACGCATGTGACATACAAATAGATGCTAGCATTGGTGGGCGCCGAAAACCTGGAATCTCTCGTAAAAGGAAATTGTGATGTTTGCATATTGCAACTGCAGTAATATTCTGTAGGAAAGTGAGGAGGCGTCACTTTCTCCCACTTATATGTTGTGCTGTCCAGTCGTCTTGTTTATGAGGGTTCTAAGCGCACGGTTGTACGTCCACATCTCCCGTTTCATATTTTGGGTCCGGACTTGTTCTACAGGTTCAAAGTTCCAAGGGGCAATTGCGCGGTACTCGATGATTGTAGCAGGAAAGGCAGGAAGAAAATGACGTGGCACCTATAGCCAGGAATCGATCGTCTCGTTCTTTCAGATGCTTTCAAAACCTGAAAGATTTTCAGCATTGGCTATTTTAATGTGTCGACCGGACATTTTTATTGCCCTGCCAGATGCTGAAGGCTGTGCCTTGAAGCTGTTGTCACATGCTGGTGGCCCGTATTTTGGCAAGGGTATTGGAGCTACCTCGCTCTAGTCAACATGCAGTGTTTGCACCGGGTCGGCTTTGGTGGATCTTTAATGAAGGAGTCTATTTCGGCGTATTCTTGAGTCGGAAGATCCGTGGTCCTTGTGACGCTTTTTTTTCCCGATCGCAACCCCATTTATCCTTGAATCAAGCGGCTATGTCCCCCAATTTCCATAGTTCCCTTCCGTAAATGGAACGGAATAAAAATGCTAAAGCTTTGTTTATCGGGCCTTGAATCTGATGCGTGGTACTTGCTAGATCCTTCATGCGCTCCTTGACAAAACAAGTATTTCAACTTCAGAAATTCAGCTCTAGCAATTTCCTACACCCCTTTCGAAGCCGCTATTTGACGGCGCACGCCTATCCAGACGGTCGGAAGGCAATCCCAGGAACTGTCAAGCGTACGAAGTCAAGTGTAATCAACAAGACCGTCTGCCTCTCTTCTCAAGACGTGCTTCTTTCTTTCGCAGGTAGAGGAAGAAGCTCCCGCCGCCACGACACCGGTGCCCCCAAAGCCGGCCCAAAACATGGTTAAGCCACCCGTTAGCGATGCACGAAAACCTAAACCCAACACCAAGCCAGCGGAACCAGCCAAGACATCTTCTGACGAAAAGCCGGCTTTTGAAGGAGCACAGCCCAGTCCACGGAAAGCTCAGCGGATTCCGCGGCCCACTGAAAGCATCTCTTCGGACGGAATCCGGCCGGAATCTGACGAGAAGGCGGAGTCCCCGGAAAAGGTGGAGGAGATGCAAGCGGAAGGGCAGGCTGTGGGTTCGATGTCGAAGGGGCCGGAGCAGGCGGAGGAAGGGGCTTCGTTATCGAAGTCGAAAGAGGGGGCTGCGCAGGAAACGGAAGAGAACCGGCCGGCAGTTCGGGAGAAGCCAGCACCTAAAGAATCGTTTCCGTCAGTCAGCGCAGAGAAGGAGGTAACGCCAGAAGAGATTCCTCCCGCCTCGAAGAGTTCCGCAGCGGAATCAGGGCGGAAAGAGGAAGCGGAGCGCGAGAAAGAGGCGGGCAACCGGCTGTTCAAAGCCAGGGACGTCGCCGGCGCTCTGAAGCACTACTCCCGAGCGATCGAGCTCCAACCGGGCAACGCGGCTTTCTACGGCAACCGGGCGATGTGCTATCTGCAGCTGAAAGAGTACGAGAAAGTGGTCAAGGACTCCTCCCGGGCACTGGAATTGGACCCGGGATATACGAAGGCGTACTACCGCCGGGCGCTGGCGAGGAAGGGCCTGGGGCAGTATGAAGCGGCGCTGGAGGATCTGAAGTTCGTGCAAGAGAAGCTGCCCAAAGACAAGCAGGTGAGGAGCAACCTTTGCTGCGAACTGCACTCTTCCTTTGGAGTACCTGCGAGTTCCGGGGCGCCTCGGGTGCGACCGTTGAAACTCTGACGAAGTTTGTAAAGGCTTAACGTGGACTTCCCAGCATTCAAAAGGATTATTTGAGCCTAAGTTTGCCCTTTTGAGTTGCCATGGCGGCAATCTAGCAAGGAGGAGGTCAATCAGCTGGCAGTCGAGCATCGAGTTGCAGATCTGGCTGCACCGAGAACACTGTCACATGACGAACGGTGAATGAGAATGTTGACACAATTGAGTACTGAGCACGGCTTTGTTTCTTGCTTGGGTTGATCCAAAGAAGCCAGCAGCTACTTGACTCCTCCTACTCACGACTTCCTCAGCGAAACACTGGCTTCCAGCCGTTTCAGTCACATCCCGCAGATGTTTCGTCTTCGGCCTAAGCCCGAGACTTTTGAGAGTTCTCAACCCGGTATCGATTTTCCCAAAACACCTTCGCCTAAGTCTTTTGCTATTACATGCCCCAATGAAACGTTTTTGCAGGTGACGGAGGAGGTCCTCGCTATCACCGACCTCTACATGCGCCGCTTTGAGAACCTGACGTCAGCGCCCCCCGTGTCGTCACCGACTGCTCCGGCCAGCCGGGAAGCACCGGCAGGGGGCAATAACCCCCAAGGACGTAGCCCCCCGGCGCAAAAGACCACGGAGCCTTCGGTCCCGGCAAAGACGGTTTTGCCCACGTGGTTAAAAGAGCAGCTAGCGGAGCAAGTCAAGCAGGGGGCGCTGAAGAAGGACGAGACTAGCGGCGTTCCTGCCCCCCCAAAAAGTTCGTCGGAGAACGAGCCTCCCTCGGGGGGGGTGGCGAGAAACGTGGGGTCGCTGACGGACGAGGTGTTCGAAAGCAGGCCGTCCTTCTTCGAATCGAACGGCGGCAAGGCGCAGTTCAGTGCGGGGAGCTTCGACAAGAAGGCGGTGTCGCCCAAAACCTCCCCCCGGGGTGCTTTGAAGAAGCGGGCATCTCCCCGATCGGTCGTTACCACGGCAACGGAAGCGAAGACCCCCCCTAACGAGCCCGAAGAAGAAACACTGGCAGCTACCCCCCCGGAAAAGATTGCCAGAGTACGGGGGGTAGGATCGGTGGATTCGAAACCGCCGAGTGCGAAACAGGGGGTGGAAACGGCTACTGCTCCCGCCAGCCTGGCAGGGAATGGTGCAAGCCGGGGGGTAGAAAACGGCGGACGCGTCGAAGCCGAGGAAGCCCGGCAAGGGGTGGCTGCATCTTCGACGCCGAAAGTTGAAAGGGAGAGTGCGGAAGGGAAGGCTCTGCCAGCGAAGCCGCGAAGCGCTTTGGAGTTCGAGCGGGCGTGCGCAAGCTTGGGCAAGCCGGAGAGAATAGCTGCCTACCTGCAGGTAAGGTCCGTTCTATCTTTAGACTTGAGGCCAGGGAGGGTCTGGCTGATGCGCTTTGGAGATTGATTGGTGCTTTAAGGATTAGTCACGCCGTATAGGCCGAGTCTTTGATTACTTAGGGCTGGGTAAAACCTGGATTGCTTGCCGCGAGAACCGGCCCGGTGTTCAGGTGCCAAGGAAAGCTTCAAGTTTAGTACGTCATATGTTGACCGTTCTGTTTGAAAGTGTCGCCGAAACCATTCTGAGACACGGGCGGGTTCGAAAACCCTTGAAGTGCCCGGCAACCTTGCCTTGAGCAGCTACGGATATGCCGACCCCTCAGACCCATACACGCTTGCAATAGGGCTTTTCCATAACCCGAACACGGACACTCGGTTCTGCCTCTTCTCTCCCCCCCCCCGGGTTGTTGCGGAAGGCGTTTTGCCCGTTGACGCTGCAAAGATGCAAGCGCTTTTTCCAGCCTACCCAAATCTCTTTTTACTTCGTTGCAATACCGGAACCCGCTCTATATGGCAGTGCCCGTCTGCTCGACTTTTGGTTTCACTGCTTTCAGTATGTCTGCAGTCTGTCGTTCCAACACTCCCGCCAGGATTGAGAGCTAACCGAATCGGACCCACCCGATCTCAAAACTCATTCAGAGGACTCGTCGAAAATCGAAGATGAAAGATCTGTTTGAGCACTGATTCCATTGTGACCTTTCCATGCAGATCGTGGGTCCTGCCAGCTACCCCTCCATCATCAAAGAGAACTTGAGCGCTGTTCTTATGACCCATATCGGCAGTGCCCTGTCGGCACTCCCGGCCAAGACGTCCGCTGACGTCATGAGCGGGCTCGCTGACGTCAGCCGCTTCAAGCTGGTCTGGATGCTGCTCCCGCCCGCAACCAAGAAAAGTGAGAGTTCCTGCTTTCCAAATTGAACCATTGTCTTTTCTGTGATTCTTCTTCTAACACTTCGCGCTTGATCTGCTCATTTCCCTTGGCGTCTTCTAAGTTTTTTCTGTTCCGCTTGTGTTTCTTCCGTCTTCGAGCGTCCTCGCTTATGGTTTGCACTTTCTTCTCTTCTCATTCGCTGCATGCTCTCAACTCTTGTTTTCCTGATCCTTGGTGTCTAGTGAGGCATTTGAGAGGGCACTTCTGTGCTCCAGCCGCCAGAAGCGTACGCACCGGATCTCAGCCATTTTTAGTTGTCGAACCCGAAGCTGTAGGCCCTGCACGAATGAATCGTCCCTCGTTGCCTGCCGCCGCTAGAACCGACAGCTTCGCATTCTCCTCGTCTCTGGAGATCGGACCGTCAGTACCGTGTTTGTTTTGGACTTTCTTTCAAGAATCTTCTCAGGAGAAGGCAAGGAAGGACGTCTCACGAGAAACCAGGGAAGAACATTTTAATCGACAATTATGAGTCACTGGCCATATCGGAAGGTCCGCTTTCTTCCTCTACCTGGCTCTACCTGGGTGGCCCACAATCAGAATTCAAACGGTCGGGTTTTTGTTTTTAAAAACATTTTTTTTATTGAATTCAAGTTTCGCTTTCCAAGTCATTTCCACTTTTTTCCATGTGCAGATTACGCTGCAGCGCTGACGAGGGGACGAACGGAAGACGTGTCTCCGGAGCTTCAGCAAAAAGTGGAGAGAGTGTATCGGTAACAAGAACCGGCAGTATTGGAATGCCGACAGGAAATGCTAGGCCAGGCCGTGTGTAGCGGTTTCTAAGAAGGTTCCGAGAGGACCAAAGACGTTAGTTGATATCATTGACAAAAGAGAGTCCTTTGTTATATTGGAGAAAACGATCAGGCCATTATTTCTGATTGAATGTCAGCGGGCGCGGCTGATGTGCAAGGGATATGAACCACTGGGACTCACAGGCCATCACACTTTCAGCGACTGTCAATTGCACAATAAGACTAAAAACTTCTGTTCTTTCAGCGATGAGCCGCGTCAGAATGCTGTCACCGTTTGCCCAAAGACGCATCTTCTCAGCTTCTCAGCTTGCATGCTCCTTCAAGACCGCCCCGGGGGTTGTAATGAGATTGGATCGTCACCGTACTGCATGACGGAACAGCTCCAGGACATACAGCCATACTCACTTCGGCACGCCCAATCGTTAATCGACGGCACTGTCGTTCAGTGGGTATAAAGCTTGCGCCGGGCTTTAAGCATAGCTTGATATGTAAAGCCCGGCCGCATAGAGGAATCACGGCTTTGGGCGATTATTTGAACTTTGAAAGATCCGTGTCTGCCACATTGCGTGGTCCACTTTATACGTGTCGATCATGGCATTCAAAGCCAAGGAGTGAAGCAGCCTTCCGGCACGCCGCCATCATTGCTGACAATTAGTTCCGAAGTTCAAGTTTGCCATCGCGCGCGGAGCAAAGTGTTGCAAGTTTCTAGCTTTCAACGCGGAACCAGCGTGCGCGCACGGTGGTCGTATCTTTGGGATTGTGTATATGCCTCCGGCGACCGGCGCCAATCTCAGAACCCTACAATCTAGCTAGATATGACCGTAGCGAAAGCTTAGGTTGGAACAGGTGTGCATCTCGATCATGGCGCGACAGTTCAGGAATAGCAAGCTCAAGGAATCATTAGTAAGCTCCATCACTATAAACACTGAAAACCTAACCAACTAACCCACAAAATCACCCGCTCCGTACCCGAACCCACCCTAACCCCTAAACGAACCCCACCCGTCCCAGGCTGGTATTATCTTACTATTCCTGAAGTGTTTTTTCTTTCAATTCTGCATTGCAGACTCCAGAGTTTTTGCCGGTTTCAAGTTTTCAGTAAACTTTACCGGCCTCTGATGGCTGTTGCAGTGTGCACTGTCAGACTTGGAAGCGTTCCTAGCGACTAGCGTGTAGTACTATTCACCGAGTCAAGCGTGTTTCTGACGGTAGCGTGTTCAACGCAGCAAGAGCGGCGCGATTGGTCGCACAACGCAAATACGTGGCCATGCAGGGAATTGTACGGAATTGTTCCTAGGGGGTTCCCACAGCCGCAGGGTTCAGGCCGCACTGTACGGCTGTCCCAACACTCGCGTATCCAGTCGACACTGCGAACGCTGGGGATCGTCTGCCCTGCATGAAGCATGAGGCGCATGCGAGGAAAGAGCATCATGCAAAAAGATCAAAAAGTTCTGCCAGTCTGCTGGCATGATTGGCTGCCGACTCCGACAGCGGCCTGGCAATATGGGGTCCTTCATGAAGAACGGCCAAAGTCTGTCCTGAGCTTCGGCAGCTCTTCTGTCTAATCAGTTGTCTGCGGATTCTCTGCGCATTCTCAGGTGTCACGGATGTCCCTCTAGAGCATCTTTCAGCAAGTCCATCTGCTGCAGGGGAAAGTGGGGCTGTGCAGGGGAACCCCTTATTGGAACCGCTGCTTACCTGTGGCTCACCACAGTCGAGGAGTTGCAGCATATGATATCGTCCATGGCCCCGTCCATGGCCTAAATCTGGGTCCTTCTGGTTGGTCATTTTCTGAAGTTTGTGCCTTCTTGATCATACAGTATTTGGGAAACGATGCAACTTTGAAAGACTTCGCTTGCTTGCTTGGTAGGTTAGGTCAACAGGAATCAGATTGTTTGCTAAAGAAATAGAAGGAAAATGTCATTCTAGGGGTGTCCTGCCGGTGCCAATATTGGTTAGGGTTGCGATGCCGATAATCAAGAATCGTATCTCGGCAGCTTCAGATTGGTTTGCGCAACAATGTAGAGTTGCATTGTAGCCTTGTGGATGGCATTGCAGGCTTGCGTCCTGAGGCCCCAAAGACTTTGGCTTCGACTTGTGGACTTGATCACTGGCAAGTGATGATCAGGAAGATTCAGCTACACTCAAACTGATGGTACGCTGGTGTTGGGACTCGACAACGACACGTTGTTTATGATTCTTGCAATTGTGGTGACTCATCATGCACCTGTGCTTTTGGTCGCAGGATACTCACAGCATACAACAGCCTAGCTGTGCTTAAAGGATTGGCAGCTAGACGTCTATATTAATACAACGTCAGAAGCTGCTCTTGCTTGCGGAGGCATTTGGGTGGGAGGTGGCATTTGTTTGATTCACAAAGAGGTGAGCTCGGATTTGTGAGGTAGATTCTGAGGATGAAGGAGTCTCATACTTCTCAATTTCATGTTGACTAAGCCTCGTTGAGGAAAGGTTCCGTAGCTGTATTGTTGTCCAAAAGCTTGTCGATGTTTGATGCAATCAAGGTGGTGTCCCCCCAGTCATGTGGATGGCGCGGCGATTTCCTGGGCCCCAACCAGTCCCTGTTTCTTGGCTAGCTTGTTCACTTTGTGGATGGCACTCCTGTCAAAGGCACCCCCTACTTTGCAGGGTCTCTCTCACATGTCATGGCGTTTCACTGATTGCACGGACTTTGCCTTCATCTAGCTAGCCATGCAACCCCGGAAGATGCCTAGCCGGAAACTAAAGTTCTCATCAGGATCAACAGCTCTAGTTTCAACTTGTGCCACTGGCTGGCTGGCTGTCTGCACATCTCAGAAGTTCTCATTAACTTTTCTTTTTTTGGCCTTGAACCAAGGGGTGTGCTGCTTTCAAGGGAGTCTGGGCAAATTGGGTCAGGAATATTTCTTGGAACTGCTGCAGATAAGCCAAGAACCTGGCAGGTCGATCGCCTTTACAATCAATAGGAGCCTAAACTGAAATTGAAGTCTGACATCCACCTGCAATTGATATGCTGTGCACCATTGATATTGTGACACAAAGCTAACTCATAGTCTGATTAGAATTATAGGCCTTGGTCAGAAATGTAAGTGGAAAATTCCGGGGACTCTAGGGGATTTTCTATGTGTGTTCGAATCCTCAAATTCTTGGTCACCTTCAAGTTATTGATGCCCTGAATTGGCTCTTAAACAGGTACAAACCAGTGACCTTTCAAACATGATGGAGGCGCTATGGACAATGTTCGCAGTCCTATTTATCTTGGTGGGCCTATTTGAGGGGAGTTCCTGTCTTACGATGGACCAGGTAGCTAGCCTCGTTCCTGGAGGCTTGGACGCTACGACTGCGCTCAACCTCAGCTTCCACGGTCTGACCGGGCCCATACCCCCCCAACTAGGTTCCCTGAAAAACCTTCAGCTCTTGGACCTCTCGAACAACCAGCTCTCCGGCCCAATCCCCCCTGAACTGGGGAATCTGACAAATCTGCGGATCTTGTGGCTACACGTAAATGCCCTGTCGGGGCCCATTCCAGCAGCGCTTGGGGGGCTTGCTTCACTAACCACGCTGGCGCTCTTCAACAACAGCCTCTCCGGAGATATTCCCCCCCAGCTGGGAGAGCTGCAGCGGCTCCAGTATTTGGGATTTGCGTCAAACGGGTTGTCGGGCGTGATTCCTGCGGCTCTGGGGGGTCTTGCCAGCTTGACCTACCTCGACTTAGGTAGAAACTCTCTCATGGGCGCCATTCCCCCCGAGCTTGGCAATCTAACCAACCTCGAGCACATGTATCTTTCCTCTAATTCCCTATCCGGCCGCATTCCCCCAACGCTTGGCAAACTCACCAAATTGGTCAACCTTTCCTTGACTGGTGACTACTTCCAGTCGGCCAGTACCAGTCTGAGTGGCCCCATACCCCCCCAATTGGGCGCCCTAGTCAACCTCCGTTCCTTGGGACTTAGCGGCAACTCGCTTAATGGTACGATTCCGCCAGAATTGGGCCTCTTGCGAAGTTTGGAATACCTGTGGCTGCAAATCAACTACTTATCTGGGGGTATACCGGACGAGCTTGGTGGCCTTCAAAAGTTGCTCGTTCTCGACATCTCCAAGAACAGGCTGAGAGAGCCTATCGCCCCTGGCATCGGGCATTTTCTGGCACTGCAGGCTTTAGATCTGTCCAGCAACTACTTTAATGGACCTATCGGGGGGGGAATTGGAAACATCGTCAACCTTGAGCAGCTACGGATTGAGGGTTGCAACATTACTGGGGCGATCCCCTCCAGTCTGGGAAAGCTTGTGAAACTAAGAGGGTTGATCTTGCGGTCAAATAGAGAACTCTCCGGACCTATCCCTGCGGAACTGGGCAACTTAAGATATCTGGAGAATTTGGATCTGGGGACTTGCAATCTAACGGGGACCATTCCGAGGGAGCTCGGTCGCTTTAGTCAACTGACCAGCTTGAGCCTCATGGAGAACCCGATGCTTTCGGGGCCAATCCCTGAAGAGTTTGCGGCGTCGCCTCGACTCTCTTATGTGCGCCTCAACGGGTGCAACTTGACCGGGTCGATACCGCAGTGGTTTGGGGAGTTATCCGGGCTAACCCTCTTAGACGTTTCCAACAACCGCCTTTCCGGGCCTATACCGCCCGTTCTCGGCAACCTAGTCAACCTAACCTCGCTCAGCCTTGCGAAAAACCGGCTGAGCGGTCCCATCCCCCCAGAGATATTCAAACTCGGCCAATTGACGACCTTGGAACTTGGCACCAACAATCTTTCCGGCACTATTCCCCCCGGTCTTCGGTCCCTCACCAAGCTACAAACCCTGGCCCTGCAAGTCAATAGCCTCTCGGGGGTGATCCCTTCGTACCTGGGCAATCTAACCGATCTACGAAAATTGACTCTGGGCGCCAACCGATTGACCGGAACGATACCTCCCGAGCTCGGACGCCTGACCCAGTTGGGCTATATGGACGTGTCCGACAACAGCTTATCGGGGGGGATCCCTTCGAGCCTGGGTAATCTAAGTGCGCTAGAATATCTGTGGCTGGCCGGCAACCAATTGACCGGCACGATACCTCCCGAGCTCGGACGCCTGACCGCACTCATGGTATTGAACTTATACAACAACAGCCTCGTGGGGCAGATCCCACCAGAGCTCGGCGGGATTGTAGCGTCGGGGTCCTACCGTCGTAATCAACTTCGCCTATCCCTTAGTAACAACCAGCTGTCCGGGCCCATTCCCTCCCAGCTCTTTCCAAAAGGGGCCTCCTATGACATCTTCGACCTGTCCAACAACAGCTTTTCCGGCCCCATTCCGCCCGAGCTCTCCGATCTCAAATATCTGAGGGACCTAAACGTAGCCCATTGCAACCTGACCGGTCCCCTGCCACGGGGCCTTGGCGTCTTCGCAAGCATGATTTTGGAGATCGACGTGTCCCACAACCGCCTCTCCGGTCCCCTGCCGGACGATTTGGGCGCCCTCAAACGGTGCGGCCGTTTTGACATCTCGAACAACAGCTTCTCGGGGCCTATTCCCACCAGCTACATGGATGGGACGCGCGATTCAAGCGGATGGCCGGTAACGGGGCTCGGCAACAAAGTCTTCCACGCCGCCTACAATCGTCTTTCCGGCCCTTTGCCCAGCAACGCATGCGCCTGGGACCTAGATCTGTCCGGGAACGCTTTGTCGGGGCCCCTTCCCGCTGACCTCGCCACTTGCCTTGCCGCCCGGATGGACCTGAGTGGGAATATGTTCGCTGGCGTGCCGCCTAAGCCGATTACCTCACCTGAGGTGCTGGGGCTTGACTACCCCCTGCCGGGCTGGTTATCCACCCAGAATATGACCATTATCCGTATGGCTGTCAACGATCCGCGGGTTTATTCTCTAGACCTGTCGCCACTTTCCGTCAAATGCAAGCTCGTTGAGATCGTTGGCCCCGCCCCCCAGTTGACCAACATCAAATTCTGGGACGCTTGCGCGTCCGGTTGCGCGATCAATCTCATTGGCACTGGTGCCAAACTGTCGCGGGAAACGAGGCGCGCAGCTTGCCTTGGCAGGATCTCGGTCTTTGTGGAGGGAGATGCTCCCAGTGTTGTTGTTCCGTACATCGGCTCCTTCTCGCTTATCCCTTCATATCCACCCTACCTGCAAAATGACCGGGGAACGTACTTCTTTGCGAACGACTCCGACTTCGTCGACAAGATCGACCTGGGTCCGGGCGGCCGCGCATACACGGGCGTCTCCTTTAGCCGCGTCCAGAACGGAAACCTCTGCCAAAACCCCGAGGCGAGGTACGCGGTCGCTGCCGCTTGGGGAGCCTTTGCGGCTGCGCTGCTCGTTGGCTCCGTTGCTCTTGCGCTCCTGGCGCGCCGCCCGAAAAAGGAGGGGGGCCCTGGCTGGCTGAGCAAACATTTGCTCTTGGCGAAGTGCGTTGCGGGCGGCTTTTACCTCTGGGGAATTGTATCGTCCGTTCTTCCGTACGCCGATTTGTACACGGACGTCGCTGTCTTGAGGGACGTTTGGGGGGCCTGGCCGGCATGGGTTCTTCTCCCGTCGACTATAAGCCCCTTCGTCATCTCCGGCTATTACGCTGCCAATGCCTGGGCGGCTGGGGGGGGCATTTTCAGCCTGCCAGCGTGCCCCCCATTCCGGTGGGTCTGGCCTCCCTCCCTCTCCAGCGATAAGTGGGCCTCGAGCATCAGGGCCGCTCCGGTTCAAGGGGTTTCTGCCCGAGCGCTTTTCCTGTGGCCGGTTGCCATGTTGCGCCTCCCCGGGTTCGACGTGCTAGGTGTTCTGGCCCGGGCCGGGCTGGTCATGCGGTCGGGGGATGCGGTTGCGGGCATGGACGAGTACCTCAGCGCGCGCGCGCACCTGGACGTGCTGCTCCGCGCGCTCCCCCAGGCGGTCTTTCAGGTGAGTCGTGAATTTGGAAGCTTTGAAGAGTGATTGATTGTGATTGTCCGGGTTGAGCTATGACGAAGGGATTGAAGGACCGATTTGAAGAGTGTCAAGCGATCGAGGTGCTCTTAAAAGCTGCGGGACGATTGCAATCCTTAATTGTTCTCCGTTTGACAAGACGCATCGACTGTTTTCGCGTTGAAAGGGTTCTTTCAAATAGGTAGTTAAGGAGGCAAACGAAGCAACAAACTCACTTCGCGTCTTGTTGAAACGTTGTGCCCATCCTTCGATGCTTAGGTCTTCTGAGTAAGCTACCGAGAGACATTAATTGCAACATATCTCATTCCGAGCCGTTGGAATCATTTCTCATTCTGCCCTTTGGCCATTGCCATCTCTTTCAATCCTCTAAGGTCTCAAATGCCGGCTAACAGATTCGACGATAAACCTTCTCGAAGCGCCCCCGTTCTTCCAATGTAAAACCGAGAAGCGACATTCTCCAATATCTGCATTTTTGCTTTGCCAGTCGGTGATCTACTTTCTGGGCAGTTCTCGTGCGACGCGCATCTACATCGACGTGCGGATCTTCGGCCCCTCCATCGCTCTGTCTCTCGTCTCGCTGGGCGTCTACCTCGGGACCATGTTCTGGGAGTCGCTCAAAAGTGGCGACAGGTTCCTGCTCGTCTTCTTGCGCCGGCCGCGCAAGATGCGCGAGATCACGCTCTTCACGGAGGTGGCAGCCCAAGACGGAGGGAGGGAGCTTCTGGCGTCAGGGAAAGCGACAGGCAGCGGTGAGTGGTCGCCTGGAGAAAGCGAAGTTGCAGTCAAACGCTCTTGGATTCCAAGCTGCCATCTTCACTGTGCGCTCGAAGTTGCTACGTCTTCAAGCGGAAGCCAACACTACATGATGGCGGCAAGCGGTAGGCATGGGCGAGTTAAATTACACGGGGAACTTTGCTCCTTAACCACCTGTTTTTTGCGGATGATTGACCGGACGCGAAGTGTGTTACCAGCCCTAATCAGGTTCTGAAGAATGGTGACTTTTCCTGCTGAAGACTTGCTAAGCTCAAAAGTAACGGTGTGCAGCTCTTGCTATCAAACATGAAGCTGCTCCCTTCAGATTTTAGCAGACGATGGAAGTGCTGTCCTGTCCGGTGAGGCTTCATGTAGCCAACTTCGATTGTCTGGCATCACTACGCAAGGAGCTATGGGATTGACGCCCAATTCTGAACGGTTCATCATTGTGTCTCTTAGGAAGTGCTGTTCGTTGGCATGCAATACTGTGGCCCAACACTGACGGCCGAACTCTTCCTAGCTTGTAACAAGGTATTCATAGGAGGATTGAGGCGGCAATGGTTCCCAGCTTAGTATGAGTCTACCAGCCACGGGTGAAAGGGATGGGTCATCAGAAACCTTTCGCCGGGTTCAATTTCCACTGATTGCCAAAGTTGAAACGAGCTCATGTTCTGCCTGCAGTCGACATGGCGTAGCCTACTGGTGACCAAGAGAGGAGATCCTGACGCGGTATCCATCTATAATTAAGACCATTCCAAGGTACACCTACAAACAACCTATAGCTTTGTCTTCAGTCAACGGCCGCCCAGCCATGCAATTGTTGTCGGTGCATGACTCAGTGATTGCCACTGTCTCTTCAACACACTTCGACGCCCAATCAGACTTCGAGCCATGCGCTGCTTTCTTATCGATTGGTTGTATTTCGATTCATCCAACGTACTGGAATTCTGTGGCCATGCTTGCGCACACGCCAGCGATGAGTGCAGTATCCGACCTTTCCGACGTTTGTAATGATCTGCGTCCTATCCTTCAAACAATATGTAACTGCAGTGCTGACAGCACATGCATGAGACACTGATCGATCGATGGCCCTCGTGCCACCTCGCGAGCCTGTCGGGCCATGACGCCCGGGAGCTCGAACCGTCCCGGCGGGCGGGCGGGTGGGCGAGCGGGCCGCCACCGGGTGACTGGCTCAGTGACTGCAGAGCTTGGCCGGCCCGGGCGCCTGCAAGCTCGTGCTTCAAACTTCCAATGCTTGGTCGTCGGTCCCACGCACTGCAAAGCTTTAGTATGCAAAACATGCGAAGCGCCCGCTTGGCGTGCGGTGGGTCCAGTCGACCTATAGGGCCCGGGGTGCGGAGTTGGTTGTTTTGTTTCATGATGCCAGCAGCTAGACAGCGCGTACGGTTCCAGCTCGATCAATGCACTTTTAAATCGAGGGTGGTCTAACTTAAGTTTTACATGATACGCACGTAACGGTGCAGAGAACATCAAACGTGACGGGCGGGGCGCAACTGAGCTAAGGCCCCCGCCCACATATGGTATATACCGGCAGGCTGGCACGCGTGCCAGACGGTGCCAGGCAATAATGTGCATGCGCACCATCATGCATGTTAGAGCACGCCGTGACGATCATACGACTCATCATCAGAAGCCGTTGCCAGAGCTTGATCAATTGTCGAAAACGGATACATCTACGAACACGTAACAACCTAATATGCATACTATGATTGCCTAGATAGATACGACTTCCTTATGCCGTAGGCAGTGCTAAGGCTCACACTGTGCTGAAGAAGGCAGGAGCGGATGAAGGCCACTGGCAGGCCAGCGCTGCCGGGCTAGCTGCCCGGAGTGCCACGTTGCAGACCAGAAAATCGGCCGACTGGCCCAAGCGGCCAAGTGTCGGGCAAGCAGCAAAGTGCACCTGTTGGCTCGTCTCAATCTACTCCAGCTGCAGGCTAGCCTGTAATCAATTGCAGGTCGACAATCTAGCTTTCGTGCTTCAGGCCTCGTGATGACTACGCGGGCGGTAATCTTCTTGGCCACTCTGCACAGGGCTCAACCGTCCGTACCTTTGTCAAGGAAAAGCATCCAGAACCACCCTACTAAAATCGCCTTGGTGTATCTAACCCCGCAGCTAATGATCGAATCTGAAGATGGCAGCGCCTCCCGCCGGCTTCGAGGCAAAAACTACCGACTCCAAGTCGCCCTCTTTTATGAGACCCCGCTCGACTCTCGACTTGTAGAAGTCCTCCTGCAGAGCAGCATGCGAAAGACCTGATATCAGCATACGATAAAGACCATCAGTCAACGGAAGACATCGGCGGAAGCAAATATGCACCAGGATTTCTCTGAAATCAGGCGACAGAGTCATATCCGCAGATGCGAAGTCACATAGCAACCAAGCACAGCTCTCGGTTGTCTTTTAGTAGACACGTTATTGTCTCGGCTTCTCCAAGTTTTTGGTGATTTGAGCGGAAGAGCTTCTCCGCTTGAGTAAGAAGCTATCACGGAGGCAAGCAAATGAGAACTTTTTGCTGGGAAGACGACGTTGCGGTTTTGTGTCGCGCGAGTATTCCGCTCGCAAGACGCAAAATCGCAACGTTGTCGTCCAGGCGACGATCAAGCCCTGATTGTAATAAGGTGACGGCCCCCTTTCACCGGTCAAGAGGGACGCTCACCGTCATTAAAAATATTGTTTCACCTGGTATAAAGAAAGCACTTGCTTCTCACTCCAGAAACGCGGTCTCTTACGAAAAGGGAACTTCTTTCTTGAGGAGCAGAAAGCACACCTCAGGAATCCAGGCTTCATCACAGCTGTCCAATGCTAAAAATGGAAAGAAAAGACGGGCGAATGATCACTGCAAGAAAGATCACAAACGAGGCTAGGGGGAAGAGACACAAGAATTCACCTTCAGACTCTCGATGAAACCTGCCACGTGGCCGTCCCTTACGAGCGACACGGTGCAGCCCCCCCAGCCCGCGCCCGTCAGCCGCGACCCAATCGCGCCGTTCTTCCGACAGACGCCCACCAACTCCTCAAGCTCCTTGCAACTGAAGGGAAGGCAAACGCGGGTCATTTCTCTGGTTATTGCGGATGATTCTGAGTAGAGCTACGCCTAAAGAGGTGATACCTAGCTTCGTGATGGCGAAAGGGGCTGATTGGAGGTGTTGGTCGGTGTTTGCGCCGTCCTCCAACAAACGACCACCAACTCCAGCTCCTTGCAACTGGAGGGAAGGCAAAGTGTGAATCCCTACCTTAGAGGTTGCACAGAATATTCCAACTCAAGCTACGCAATTTAGTGTTTGGTCAGAAGCTTCTTGAAGGTGAAATGAGACGACTGGAAGTGTTGGTCGGTCCTTGCGCCGTCCTCGGACAAACGCCCACCAGCTCGTTGTGCTTCTTGCAACTGGAGCAAAGCAGAGCATGAGTCCTTTCTTCAAAACTTGCAGATTATGCTGACTCAAACTACGCCAACTTGTGTTTGGTCTAAGCTTCGTGAAGGTAAAAGAAGAAGATTGCAAGTGTTGAGTCGGTCCTCTTGCGCTGTTCTTCCGACAGACGCCCTCGAGTGCCTCAAGCTCTTGGGAATTGACAAGGAGAAGAGTTGAGTTCTGCTGCTTCACATTAGTCTATGTACAGCAGATGCAACCAAGTGAAGTTGTATGAAGCCCAGCTTAGTAGAGACGGGCAGGGGGCGATGCATGATACATGCTATCTTCTTTCGACTGTCTCTCACCAAACGCCCACCATTTTCTCTAGCTCCTCGTTACTGGAGAGAGTACGAAGGACGTAAGTTTTCAACAATTTCCGACTTTTTGAAGAGAAAGTTGACCCCTTTCGGAAGGCAGGGTCCCTGATTGGTGCCTCAACTTCTTAAAACTCTCCACGTGGCCAGAGCTCTCGGAGCCGCAGAGTCACCCTATGAGGCCGCTCCGAAAACCGCAACACTGATCTCCAAACACGCCAAATCCACTTCATCCGTCGCTTGGCATCCCATATCGCGACTCTCTGACTGCATGCGGCGTCTGTCGAGATGATACAACGTCCGTATGCTACTTCTTGTCTCGAAAACCTTCCTACAGTAGTCAACGTTTTGAACCCTGAAGTAGCAGCCACGCAAAGATAGGCATTGCAGTGTTCAAACGGCCTGTGAAAGCGGTGGAACCAAGAGGAGGTTTGTTTACCCACCTGCATTCGTAGAGCTCGCTACAGCTGGCGTGGCTCTCGTTCATAAGCTGTCCCAAGTCCTCCAGAACTTGATCGGACGAAAAGGACGCCCCGCTGCTGCAAACGGGACACGTGTAAGTTGCTCGGTGTAGAGTCGGTCACATGTGTATGGAAGTAAAGTCCAACACATACAATTGGCGAATCCCAGTATTCCAAATTCGCCCTGCCGTTACAGCAAGGTGTGGGCCGGGTAACAAGGCCAGTCAATCGCCGAAACAACTTTTTGGTGCGCCGTACTTTAGTTGGAGTAATTTGGATCGGTCGTCCAGCCCAGTGCTTGTGCCAACCACTTTTTTCAGGATCGTTGGTAACAACCAGAGTGGGGGAGGGCGTGCCACGTGGCACTCTCTCGCAGGCTTGACAGATATGATGCAGGGGTAAAGGAGGCTCTACTGAGAAGCGCGTCCTACGAGCTGCCGTTTCAAGTCAGAGAATCCAAAAGAGCACGGAGACACATGGTTGATACGGGGCAGGAAGCGCGAGTGTAAAACAGCTCTCGCTGACCTGGATTGTGCACGCGCCGCGGTGTCCCGGAAGGCGTAGACGCGCTCCTTTTCGCTGAAGACGTGCTTGGCCCTCTGCGGAGCGGTCACTTTTCGCGTGATCAGTATTCTTGAGGAATGGTGCAAAATATGCAATCACAACGGCGCCGTCCGCTCAGGAAAAGAAACTCAGTCTCTGCGAGTTGGTCACGAGGAGTGGTTGTCTACATGACCAAAGGAGTACACGGGGGAGTGTAAGCTGTGCAACGGAGCTCTAGATCGAAGCGCAGACAAGGCGCGGACCCCGATGCTGTTAGTTTAATGCGGACGAGTGGCAGATTCTAAAAGCGCAGGAAGCTTTTCCGGAAGCACCTCATGCTCGCAGGCCTTTTTAAGAACGCCGATGGACTACCACGCAATTTTAAGTGCTCTTATGGTCGCTTAAAAATCGAAACAACGCCTGCAAATTCAAGAACACCCGAAGACGGGAACCCAGAAACGAAAGACGGAATCTTCCGTACTGACTCGGAAAATTATCTTTTGATAAGTATTCATCATTTAAAGATTATTTTGGTTAAGATGGAGATCAGAAACTACATTGGACCCGGCGGGAGAAGAGGAGGATAAACAATATTTTTCGAATTCCAGCCCAGATTGCTGACAAAGAAGGCAAATGGAAAAATTGTAAAGTAGTATCTCTCATAGCCGGGTGAAACCTGAGAATTTTCGAAAACGATTATTCACGGTGCTTGCGGGTGACCTCTCAAGTCACTGCGGTAATTGGTGGAGAGGGCGTGCCAGAAAGTGGAACAAGGGACCCAAGCGGCAGCGTTTGACGACCCACCTTGTACAGCGCAAAGTGCTTCGCTGCCGCCAGGACCGCGAGCGAGGTCGGCGAGCTTTTCATGATCGTCTCCAGCTTCTCACCAAGAAGCTCCTCCAACTCCTCCGCAACGTACGGCTCCGGCTTCAAGTGAGCCTGCGGGACGGAGAGCGGAACCGGAACCGGTGAGTACAATAGCAAGCGGAAATGCCAACGGATTTTCAGAAATTAGAGTCTGCCAGGACGGCAAGCGAGGTGGGCGGGTCTTCCATGGTCGTCTCCAGCTTTTTCTGGAGCAGCCCCTCCAACTCCGCGGCAACATTCTGCTCCGGCTTCGGCCTGCGCAACGGAAAGCGGAACCGGAACCGATGAGTACAGTAGTAAGTGGAATTGACCACAGCTTTTTCGAGGATAGAGTCTGCCAGGACGGCAAGCGAGGTGGGCGGGTCTTTCATGATCGTGTCCAGCTTTTCCCCGAGCACCTCCTCCAATCTTTTGGCCCCATACGGCTCCGGCTTCAAGTGGGCCTGCGCAACGGCAAGCGGAACCGGAACCGGTGAACCCCCTGATAGTCGACTTGCTTGAGGAGGAAAATCCAAGAAGCTCCGATTATGGTGATCGAGGTGGGGATCCCTTTTCGATCGCCAGGAGGCTTCCCTAATTCGACGGCGGTGTACGACTCTCGCTTCAAGTGAGCTTAAGCAACGGGGCATGAAAGCGGAACAGTTCAGTATGCTGATATTCGACTTTTGAGACCCTGCGGGAATACGACCCTGTCAGAACCCCACGCAGACTTTGGATGCTCTTCATGGAGTCCCTGACTTTTCGAGAAGCACCAGAATTGACGGCGACATGCAGTTCCGCCTTGAACAGGGCCTGTAGTATGGAAAGCAAGAATCTGAGAGGAAAGTATGTTATCTTCGCAATTTTTGTAGGACCTGCCCCGATGTCTTAAGGGGCAGAAACAAGGATACAAGAAACAAAAAGCAACGCGCAAAATGACCAAGGAGATTGCGGAGGGTAACTACTGAACCACAGAAGGGATCCGTAAGAAGAAGGTTCCGTCTCGTTTTTGTGCATTGAAAGGAGCGTGGAGTAAGCAGACGAACTCCTACCGTCAGAAGAAATGAGGAGATTTACTTCGTCGGACACATGTCTCGGCCAGAAAAGTATTGTCAACTATACGGTGATTGTCTGCAGGAAATAGATCAGATTCTGTAGCGGCATATAGGTGCCAGTGCTTCAGGAGCAGGGCTGTCGGTGCCTCTCAAAACAGGCTTCGAGGGCGACAAACTCTCCTTCTCATCCCCGAATCGGCCAGCGGCTTTCTCTTCTCTGCTACTCGCGTGCTGAACGTCGCAACCTGGAGCCTGATACCAGACTCCCAAGCGCAATAACTCGTGACGCCCTATTTCCTGCGCTGCAAGCACGCTTACCTCGACGGCTGGCAGAGGCCCCTCTCCTCCCAGGCCGGGCGCAGCCGCCGAGAGCATGTCCTCAATCTCGCCCAGCGTGTTGATCGCATACACCTCCTGTTTCGGCAGCCCCAGTCGCAGTCCTAGCACCATCTGCGGAGATAGTGAGAGTATGGAAAAGAAGCAAAGCGGGTATGAAGGGTCCGTTGGGCAGGGCCGGTTGCGATGTGCAAAGGAGTAAGTAACGGCTCCGAGAGGGCTGTGGGACCAAGTTGCATAAGAAAGACAGCAGCGAAGAGTTCCAACAGGAATCGACTTCCGTGATTATTAAGCAGCAAGCCCCGCCTGATGATACAGTTCTAGCTTTGGACCCAACCCAGGGTGGCAGTCCGCTTCCAAGCGATTTTCGTACTGTACAGTTTCATAAATCCGAAGAGTCACCAAATAAAAGTTTACTGCAAGCATGCGCATGGATGGAGAGTGACAGTTCCTGCACGAGCCGGTGGGTGATGCGAAAGCGTGCTGAACCTTGAATGCGAACCTTTAATACCAAACCTCATGAAATCTGGAGACTGGAGCTCATTAAATCTGGACACTGGAGGTAAAGTGCAATACAGGGTACGGTGCAACGGCAAGGCGCTTACCGCTGCCAGTCTGCATTCTACGACCCGCATGTTGTAGTTAACGGCGGCTGTCTCGGCCTTGTTGGACTCGGTCAGAGAGTTGGCGATGACGAAGGTACCCCCCTCCGGCAAAGCGACGTCGGTGGCTCGCACCGGGTTGAAGTCGATCAGGAGGGCGACTCCGGGCTTGGCCATGATGGAAATGGCCTGCAAGTCCAGGTTACGAGACAATCTATGATCAGTAATTTTTGGGATCCAAGCCCTATATAAATCCACCTCCCTAATATCCTGAGACTCTGAAGCCGTATGCTTGTAAATTCGACCAAAGAGACTTTTGTTAGAAAGATTTCTCAAAATCCAATGCGCACAACTCGTTGCCACATCTTGCTTCTGATTCGTTATGGTCTCCTGTCTTGAACGGTTCTGGCGAATCTCTTTGCTATATGCAACGTCCTTGTTCTTCAAAATCTTGGTATCCGTCAGAAGGGCCCCAAAGCTTTTTCCGGGCACCTTTTTCCGGCAAGTAACCAGCTCTTTGCGGCGGTCCATCCGAGCAATACAAAGTTAGTTGCTTCGTCGTCACGTGAACCAAGAGGCTCCACTTTCTCTCTCAGCGGAGCACGGGTTCCAATCAGAAGCGAATGAGCACTTTACAGAAGCAGTACGGTAGTCTCACCTAGGGATGTTACTCTAAGACATAAAGGATACTCAGCGTGATCTAACACGGGGGATCATGGTCGTTGTCTGAACGCCAGTGGCTGATGACCGGACCCCCTACCGCAAGCACGGGGTAATCACCACCGTAATCTACAGTAACCGTAGTGATGCCCTTATGAAGAATCTAGACCCCCAGTTTCTCACCTGGTCCATTCCGCCGGATTGTGTGCCGATGTGGCGCTCGCACTTGCAGCAGAGCTCCGCCATGTCGGTCTGTAGACACGCGGACACGAGTCAGTTTGAGTACGCCGAGAGGCATCCACAACATACTTAGCAACCACAAGACTTGACGTCATCCACACGTGCATCCGGCATGTCTCCGGCACCCTCCCTGAAATTCTGTGTGCAGCTTGAACAACGAGCCGCAGTTTGCAACTAGGGACGAGGAGACAAGGCCACACTTCGGCGAGCAGGTTGACGATCGGACTAGATTTCGAGCTTCGTGGGCGCATCTTGCGATTGAAGCTCAGAGTTTTTGTGCCAAGGACAACGAAGATGATCCAAGACCACAAAACAGCGTCACTGTCACAGGGTGCCGTCCAGCCAGAGGAAACGCTGCGACAGAAAGCAGCACCGCGCTGGTGTGACGCCTCTCCGAAGCAGCTTGTTGGCTGCCTACGTGTACCACAGCAAAGCGCAGGTGAACACTCGTGGGTACTTGCACAACGAAACGGGACCGGTCCATGACCCGACTAAAAACGTTCACCTTGACCTCTTGGCGTCTGTTTGACAACCGTGTCCATAAGCGTGGCCGATGAAACGGTGCCGATGAACAGGTTAAATACAGCGTTGTGACTCCACAATCCCGCAGACGCCGGCTCACCTTGCTGACGTCAGCACCAGCCGCCGCAGCGACCGCGACGGCCGATGCGCACACGAGCGCGGACGAGCTCGAGAGCCCCGCGCCTAGACAAAAGCGATACCACCCTTAGAAAGGAAACCCCAAAGAAGCACTTGAGCAGGGGACAGTTTTGTCATAAAGGAAGGTTACCTGTGAGAAGTTGAGCCCATGAGCGGCCATCACGGCGCCGGCAGAGGCGCACACAATCGCTGCCGAGCTGGAGAGTCCCGCACCTACAGAAAGCGTCTGACCTTTCAGCCAAGCCGGAAATTCTAGTGCTCCAAGCCCGACTTCCAATGAGAGCTCTCCTACGTTCTTCCGAAAAGCTCAAGCGAAGGCTCAATACGAAGTCGAAGTGCGATGCTTTGGCAAAGGTAACTCGACTTGAAATCAGGTCTCTTTCTGTGGGTTCTAACTTCTAGGATAGAGGGCAGTGAGATGCGCATCAGAAGCTGCCAGCTCATTCTCGCCCTGACAATTTGTGGTGCAGAGAGTTTTCAACGAAGATCCGAATCATCGTTTGAAAAGAACGGCTGAGCAAAGGAAGTGGTTGATGAAGAACGCGACTGACATCACAGGAGGCTTAGAAACAGAGGAAGAGTATTCGAGCTCACAGGAACTGGAAAATGCATGCGCGGCAAACCTCAGTGACGGCGCCAGCAAAACGGACATCCACCAATCGACCCATGACTTGCAGGCTGGCTGGAGCAGGAGCCTTCACGCCCCTCTTTTCAGAGGCCTTCAAGAATGCACAGCTTAAAAATGGGCACGACGCCCAAGCTGGCAGGGGCAGCGACTTCTATTTCACACTTTTCCAAAGGCCTTCAAGAGTCCATAGCTTATCCAGAAACCCATAGCTTATAAAACTGACAAGCTTACCAGTAGGCACGATGCCATCGACCATAACGTCCAGGCTGGCGGGGGTGGGGACTTCGACGTCTTCCTTTCCAGAGGCCTTGAGCCGCTCTAGATGCTCCCAGACGCCCTTGTAGCCGCACACGAAGTAGTTGGCCCATGAGTGGTTGCCACGATCTACCTCCTGCAGAGCACACATCCAAAGGCTGAGGAAGAAATAGATGGATGAGGAAAGAAGAGGGGGGAGCAGGGAGCTGGGGAATAACGTCAAACAAACGCTGTTTGTCCAGAAACGTCAGAGCAGAGGAGAAGGTAAGCTCCATAACTTGGCTTTGAGGGTGAGATGCAATCAACCGGTGCTGTATCACTTGCAGGAAGTGGTGTCTGTTGGCTCTCAGTATTGTGAGATCGTTTAGCAATATGACAGGGATTAAGGAAGCACTAGTGTGGTGCAAGGCACTTTGACTCATTCGAGCATGACCTCAGCTGCCTGAGGAGAGATATGGGATAAGCTCAGATTACCAATGAAGAAGCTCAACTTAAGATGTTTCACCGAAAACATTATTTGCTTGCTTCAGCTCACCAACACAACTCCCAGTATCAGCATCGCGCTGGTTGCGTAAGAGAGACAAAGGGAGCGGGAGTAGTGCCCTCTACATGCACCATGCAAGCGGACACCCAGAAAACCTGGAGCACCAAAGACGTTCGAAGGTTCCTTGAAGCTGACTCGCCCTCTGTTCCTGAAACCTGGACCTATCAAGCAAAACACCAGCAGGTTCCGTGCAAATACACTAGGCTTTTCAATCTCTACCAAGCTCCTGACCTGAGAAGGATCCGCAGGAAACACGACTGCAGGGTACTTCTTGGAGTTGACATTGGCAATCCGGAGCGATGGCGCTGACCCATCGTCTGGACGCTTTCGAACAGCCACGATTGTGTCTTGACGGATGGCCATCGGGAGCACAGAGTAGCCTTCATAATCAATGTGTTCGCCGATCAAGTTCACGCGCCCTGCAAAGGACATACATAACCTGTCATATTGCCTCAGCTGACACAGTGGACCTGATGAAACAGTCTGACCGCAAATGTGAAGAGCCAGCTGTTGACATGCCTACATGTGGTCCAAGTTGCGAAGTTTAACCTGCAAGTGGCACCCTTCACAGAGGGTCGTATATTCAATCTCAATGAGTACTTTCCTATCTTGGAGCACGAAGCGTGGTGGTGGCCACAAATGGTCAAAGCGGGAGTCAAATATGTTCCCACAGACTGAACTGGCTGTGTGGAAAAAATGAAAATTCAACTTTGTGTCGCACACTTCTTTCTCCAGATTAGACTGGATGTTTGAACCGTTTGTAACCCCTGCTATCCTGCCACTGAATGCAAGCAGAGCACCTCAAGCTCGTGCACATCCAGGAACATGCAGGCACATCACCTTAGTTTTCTGCCATCAAGCAACTGCACTTTGAGAACCTCAAATGCAATCACAATACTTGACCTTCAATCAACTTTAGAAATGTGTCCTTCCTTGAGCACTTAGCTCACCTGGAGAGCGGACAAACAGCACCGGCGGCGCGCCATACGCCTGCAAAAACTCCAATGCAAGTCCCTCATAGCGCGCATCCGCTGCAGCAAGCTCCTCCGCATCATGCCCATGCACCGGCCGCAGGCTTGAGTAGACTGGAATTGAACCCTCAGAAACCCCTCCCGCAGTCTCCTGCTTCGCATCTGCAGCAACAAGGGACGCCATCTTTGCGCAGCAGCTGCCTCTTCACCAGTTGATTTCAGAGTAGAACAGCAAGCTGAGCAGCGAGCTGTTCCGATGACTCTGATGCACGAGTCTTCGAGCTAGCTGAGCAAGAGCAGAACCCCGGGTAAACCCTTGCGCGCGGCCGCGGCGCCCACACCCGCGCCACGCGCGCCTCATGCAGGCGCAGCCTGGAAGAGTCTAGTGCGTTCGCCGCAGTAGGTCAAACCTTAGGCTTGAGGCAATCGTACGTCACCAGAACGCACCTCGAAATGCAGAATTAGGTATGGTGAGCAAGAAACACAAAAAGATTGGGTTGCGCAGCACTGCTCCACGACCGCAACTGGCATGCCGCTTCCAAACAGTAGGATAGGCGTACCAGTCGTTTGCCTGATCAACTGTCGAGTTTCAAGAAGAGATTCGTTTGACAAACGATTTGCATTGCAACTGAAGGCCCGATAGTGTTGGTTCGCTAGCCCAGCATGCAGACAAGTATGTGCGGCGCTTCCGGGGGGCGGCCTGAGCCTCAGCCGGCCGGCGGTCCAGACACAGCCCTGAACAAAGACCAAGAGCTTCTACAGAACAAGCGCCATCACGAGTTCCCTCCCTTCTCCGCCTTGCAGCTGATTGTATCTGGCTACCTCCAAGAGTCCCCGTCAGCCTTTTTCAACCAATGCAGACTCGTGAACAAAACCTTCAGGTCTGCCATCAACGCAGCACATCCTCCTTACACGTGGCACCTCCAGGGCGCCTGCCTCAACAGCGAACTTCAGACTGTGCTGCAATGTATGTCCGCTGAGCAGGGCTTCTGGAAGGGAGTCAAGAATGTGAGGCTAAACGGAAGTGACGTCAGCATGACGGAGGGGGACTGCCAGCTGCTGGTGGCAGCTCTTGGTGCGAGAGCGTGGGAGTCGGTCAGCTTGGTTGAGGTGACACCACTGAACCTTTCCTTGGAGCAAACTTGGCCTCATGGCTGGCCAATCGCTACGACCACGTGAAGATTTTACATGGCAGACATTCTTTAGGCACTTACTGAGAGTCTGTCAACGCATCAGCTCAAGCAAGTAAAGCTTGCGTGATCTTGCTCAAGTACTCAGTTCAATTCTCAGTCCAAACCTTGATTGCAAACATATCTTGAACTCTGGAACGAGGAGCGTGAGCAGCTAGACTAAAAGTTTCTGACAAAGGACGCACGAATCAACTGCTCTGAAAAAAGGCTTGAGAAAGTGCAGGTTTGATCACTCACACAACTCTCACGTCAACGTTTTCGAGGGGCCGTTTGATGGATGTGGATGCTATTGTGTTCCAACTCTAGATTCATTCTGGACGTCTTGAGTTTATGTGTTGGCTGAACACCCAGTATTGGATGCAACCATGACAAATTCTTTATAAGACGCACTGCAGACGCCCACGACACTCGATGAAAGTTCATGCTGGTCTAAGGAAACGGCCCGAAACTCTCCAACCTGCATTTTTTTGTATGAAATAGCTCCAATCGTTGGGCTCCCGAACATGGGCTTTCATTTGTGTAACTGCGTCATCCCCGCTTCCTTTTAATCCTTTGCACTTGACAAGCCTCGCTTCGCATGACTGGATTCTTCTTGATCATATGTTCCGATGCCTTTCAGAAGCCATTTTCGTGACTTCGGTGACTGAACCACCAAAACCCAATCATTCTGCAGGTGAACCTTACTCACCCCGCCGTCATGAAGAAGATTCTCCACACATCAGCCGAGCGCGGCACGCTGCGCCACCTGTCAATATCCGATTCGCCCGTCTCGGAGCGCGGCCTCCAGCGCTCGCTCGCGTCCGTCAGCCACTGCTTAGAGACGCTCCAGATTCTGCACGGGGTCACTTTTTACGGACAAGGAGCGTCCAAAGTGGAGTGCCCGAATCTCCGGACACTCGTTCTCGCGAGTCCGAACGGAACCCGCGAGACATTCCTGGGCTGGCTACTCTACGACATCACTCCGCCCCCTCGAGGCCGGGTTCCGCTCTCCTTCTTCCGCTGTTCCGCCCTGCGGACGCTGTGGCTGGTGGGGCTCGGGACCTTCTTCGAGATGACGGAAGCTGACGTCATCGGCATCTTCGAGCGGGTGCCGCTCCTGGAGGAGTTCCGGCTGTTCAACGGCGGGCTCTCGATGGAGTTCCCCAACGACCAGTACTTTAGCAACGGTTCCGTCCAGGGGTCTGACACCAGGCTGACGTCAGCGGTCATTGCTGGCGTCTTCAAGGGGCTCACCCGTCACTGCCCGCGCCTCAAGCGGATATCCATCGGGCAGAAAAGCTCTCCCTGCACCGTCCGGAACGGTAATTTGGACGGCTCCTGGCTGCGGCGCTTTGCGGACGCGCACCCGAAGCTGACCGAGGTTAACCTCTTTATAACCGGGCGGTTTGCAACCGAGGCATGGCTGTACGCCATCGCCAAGTGGGCGCCCACCCTGGAAAAGTTCACCGGGCACTTCAAGAAGCGCCCCGGGGACTTCGAATCCGAACGACAGCTGGTGCTCTTGGCAAAGGCACCGGAACTGACGGAACTGGAGTGCCTCGGCGGAAACTACCGGGAAGAGATTGAGTGGATGCGGCGCCAATCGCCGAAGGCATTTCAAAAGCTGAAAACTTCTACCTACGACAAGGGCAAGCTGGATTACAAACGGTATCTCCACAGACCCGAAACCGACAGAGGAGACCCTAGTCCATACTGGAATGGGGGCATCTACTGAACTCCATTGTAAAACAGAGACTGGACAGGACAGAGATTTTGATCTCCTTCGATTATCCGCCCAGTTGATGGGTCAAGTCGTTTTGTAACGCACTTGGAGTAGGTCGCTAGAAAGTTTTGAACGTACGAGACATCATGCCGCGTAGTACCGGGAAATCGTTGTCTGGTCCCCAACATGGGAAGCGCTTCCCGGACTTTCCTCATGCTTTCGCCGAGGTGGATTTATTGTTCTATTTGCGCGGCGGGGCGGCCTAAAAACCCCAGTTTCATATAAGCCCACCGTGATCTGTCGATTACAACCTTGGAGCAAAGTTCCCTCATGCTTGTGGCGTATCAAATTCCTGCCATACTTTCTCGACGAGCCCTTTGAACTGCAGACGTGAGCCGTCATAAATAATGGCAGCCGCAAATTGTGAGTACCAGCCCCCTTCCCTTGATGACTTCCGCTACAAAGTACTCAATACATGACATGAATTTTAGATCGCTGGGCAGTACTTCATACGTTCTACTTATGTCGACTGCTTGGATCGAGATTTGAGTAGACTGATAGTGTCATGCAATACAGGGTACCCTTTTTTGCCAGGCTTCAGTCACACAGCTGCCTAGTGGAAATCTGTTCTTTGTGGTGGGCAGAAAAAAGACTTCAGACAGAGCCATGTTGTCGGCTGCCACAACACTGTACGTGGCGCTTACGAGATACATAGTTTTGCCAAAGATAATAAGCTAGCACGTAAGATTGAAATCGTGGCCGGCGTCATTGCAAAGCTTACAGCTTCTTGAATGATTGATACATACAGAAAATTCCATCAACCGTGATGTGCACCGAGTCCAATACAAAAAGCTGAATATGTAGTCCCCTAGGCAAGCCAGCACGATGCAAACTTGTTAACTAGTCAGACAAAGCGTGTGGGTGCAACGAAGCGTTTCATGGCGTCATGTGCTTTTGCGAGTATTTTAAACCTGCGCTCCGCCTCTTCCTTCTCAGCAGCGGTACGGTATTTATCAGGATGCCACTCCAGAGCCCTCTTCCTGAATGCCTTCTTGATGCTCACGGCCGTTACATCGTCGTTGGCGTCGATGCCAAGAATCTTCTTACATGCGCACTTCGAGCCGCTCGGGCATCCAAGGATCCGATATAGACGGTCCAGTATCTCCTTAAGGGCGGCGTCTTCTTCGGGACTGAGCTTAATCCGGCTAAATTCTGAAGACCAATTGGAACGACCGCCAGAGACCTTAGAATCCGAGCTTTCCGTTCGATCGTCAAGAGAACACGAAAAGGACGGAAGAGGGGAATCCAGATGGTTTCCTGCAGTTATAAAAAGAAAAGAGAAAAAGGCTTCGATCACAAAATCTCAGGCCTACAGATTGTTTGGGAAATTCGAAACGGACATGTCTTCCGGCTTGACGTTTTTTTCGAACAAAAAATCCGTTGTAACGCGAGCTAGGAGTACTTCAAAGTTCCTCTGATACGACGTTGCAAATGAGAACAAGAAATCATCCATAGGAATGGTATTAAGCTACCCGACAAGTGTTCTAACGGTGATTAGGAATCGTGTGCTGACCTTGATCTCGGCAGATTCCTTTCGAGCCAATGAGGAGGGCCTCTTCAAAGTGCATCTTTTAGAATAGCTTGAGCTCAGGACCATAATCTAGCTGGCTCTATATTCTACGCCGTACCGAACTCCACGACCTCCTTGTTGCATGAGAATAGGAACAGCCTTGAAGTGCACCACACGTATCCCAGAACATCAATGACTTATGCTCCCACAATGGATGCTGTTCAGACGTCCTTGTACCGTACCCCTTATAACGTGTGCCGTTATTCATGACGAACGCAAAAATAAAGAAAAGTTTCATAGAACAGTAGGCCAAAGTTTGAGATTTACCGCTCTTGTTCAGGAACCGCGTATGGATTACAAGGGATGTGCAGGCTGCGGCGTTTTCAGACTGACTCGCTCTTCTAACATCACGTACTTTGTGGTCAGCAAGCAGACTCAACGGACTCGTTTCACTTTGTTCCCTTGATGCCTGTGCCGAAGAAGCATCTGCACCGTCCTTTCCACTTTTTAGCTGCCAAGCGGATGCAATAATCCTGCACTCTGTTCTGAAGACAGAAATAGGTTTCTGACTCAAAGCTCCTGAAAGAATCTGTCTGCCCGAAAGACGCAGCATACTGTTTGGCATAATTCGGTTCTGAACAAAGAGATTCTTGTCTCGCCCGAAAGTCGACATGGAAGGAAGAAGGCAAGAAGGATGAGCTGTCACGAGACGTGAGCTCGTCATATTGCCAGCTACTGAGCCCTTGTGGATCTGCAAGCTGAGTCCCGTCTTGTGTCAAGGAAAGGGCGCTTTTGTCTAGCGCAGGTCGCTTGATGCTTCTGACTCTGAGATGAAGTGGAACTGGTCGCGTGACGTCCATAATTACTGCGCGCGCGATCGCGGCCGTGACATTTGCGCGGGCGCGCGGCCGACCGCGTCGAACGCTGCCATTGCAACCAGGGCTCAAAAAGGGGCCGCGCAGCCAGACCGACGCGCTCCGCGCTTCTACATCCTGCTAAGAACGTATGTGTCCATTTCGCAAATGGAAAATACGTTGATCATCAACTCGACGATGCACTCACGAGAGACTTCTGGCGACTCTAGATCTGCAGATTGAAAAGGGCAATCTGACCGGACCCGCGCTCCAGACCTAATCACAGCTATCACTAAACCAATCCCGCTTTCCATGTGTGGTAGTTCCGATCAATGTGGAAATTTCGTAGATCTTCACTGCATTGGCACACACTTTGGCACACTACATTTACTACACGGGTGCTCTGCAACAGTGCTTTCATCTCGTCCAAGGTGCAAGGATGACACCACATCTGATCCATGTGCGCCGCTCATGCATAGATATGATTTGCGTCTCATTTTTGCACAGTGTGCATCCCAATAAAGCTGCGGCCCGTCCGACCAAGCACCGGTACTCGCTTATCATCACGCGATAAGAATGTACAAATTGAAGGGAGATTCCTTCAGTGGCAGACCCCCAGAATACATCCGGTCGGTCGAGACGGTCACGGATAACAAAGCGCAGCGAGACGGAAGATGTTTGCAACTAACTGCTCCGGTAAACTCCTTAGATTGCCACTGTTTTTAAAGCACGAACAACCTTCTCTCCCGCAAATCCGTTTGGACAGCCGCATCGTACTCCTCTAACGCGTCTGTCACGGCCTCCTCACGCACATAGACATTCTCCAAGCTGGGTTTGAGCTGATGCTCGTCTTTCAATCCGATTATCGCCGCGTCTCTAGCCGTTCCACTCGTCTTACATCCTCTTAGGTACGCAACATCATGCATAGGATCCAAAAGTTCGCACTCCCTGAGGAAGTCAGCCCCATGCAAGACCAAAAGTCGGACAGCGTCAAAACGGCGGTGGTAAGCCGCGAGGTGCAGCGGCGGAAACGCACCCTCGACGCTGCCATAAACTTCCGGCCCGCTAAAGCCCAACCGATTCGGGAATGGTCGTCTCGCCACGTGGACGTTCGCGCCGCGCCTCAGCAGGGATCTCAACATGGACGTATCCTTACACGTGGCGGCGTATAAGATGGGCCACGAGGCGAGGGACGGGGATGGAAGTGAACGGCCAGACTCCTCGAAGATGTAGTGACAGTCTGGGTTCGCTCCTAAGTTTAGAAGCCACTCAACAACGAGGCAGTTTCCGGAGAAGACGGCGTATGTCAGAGGATTCTGTAGACCTTCCCCAGGCACTTCGGAGTAAAGTAAGTCTCGCTCTGGCCCCGGAGAAATGGAGACGAAACTTTCGAGGAAGCCCTCCGGAGTGGGTGTCTGCGCGAGACGCGCCAGAAAGCGCTGGACGGCCGGATGGTGCGCATCTAAATTGGCGAGGAAATGAAATATGCTTGCGCCGTCGAAGGGCGTGCCGCCGTACAACGGGTTTGGTCGCAGGGCGGGACACAGCTGCACGTGGCAGAGCAAACGCAGGATGAATGAAACCCTTCATTTCTGATGAAAGCTAGAAAAGAATCGTTCTGAATGCTACGGACCTTCAGTCGTCGGGTATTACCCGCAATAGTGCAAAGACCAGGATTTCTCTGCGCTCCGAATAAAGCTGGAGCCACTTCGCTTGAAAAAGATGGTGCCACCAGCTAGACTGCAAACAAAACCCTTAAGTTACAGGCGGCGAAGGGAAGCATACACTGAAGACTGATCAACATCACGCTTCACATTCCACAACAAAATCGGGTCGTTTTTATGATTGATGCTATCCTATGCGCTTACAAGGGAAGTGAAGGAAAGAGCTTGCCAAGCGCTTGACCGACTAACGTGCACCCAACACAAGGAATTAGCAGTCAGTCTTCCTCGAAGCTCTAGCCCAACTTAGGAAGAACACTTACCTTTACTGAGAAGCTGCGTCCAGGTGCCACGTGTCATGCTGCAGTTGCGAGCTGAGCCACTCGAGCATCTCGTGGGCTTTGAACCACACCGCCAAAAAGAGGGGCGTCCTGCCGAAGGGATCCCTCATTGCGAGCTGCTCGCGGGGTAAGCTTTTGGCAAACCATACGCTATTGCTGGCGGCAGCGCCCAGCATGTTTGGGATCTGGCGGGCGACATGCAGGATAATTGAGCCGGTTTCCAGGACGACGAGCCGTCCCGTTCGGTTCCGGCTATTCCCTGCGAAAGATCAACACTCTAGCGGTTGAGATTCTGGTACGTATCATACTGACACTTAGACCGTGTGAGACTACAATAGAAAAGTTTGTTAGAAGCTAGCCATAACTGTTTCAGCCGTGTGGATCCCGAAGCTGCAACGGATGTTTTTAAAATAACAGAACGAAGAGTCTTGTGTATTGGAGTCTCAACGAATGATTGAATGAGGTTTCTACTGCGTCAAGCTCGTCGGAGATTCTAGACTTTCATTCAGACCTCTGAACCAAAGTAGACAATTAGAGATCGATCAGACGAGTATCGTTATCTCGCTTAAACCACAGTTTGCAGCCAGGATTCTTTGCCTATACTCTTGAGGAGGATACTATTCTGCCGCTTGTTCTAATCTTTCGAATTCAAATTCGAAAACCCAAGTTTCTCGAAGTTTCAGAACAACAACGAGAGAGCTTTCCAACTGTCAGGGAAAGCAGCAAAACATAAAATTGCGGGTGTCGCTTTACCTTGGTACCACACCTCCCCTTCCAGCGTGATGCCCCAAGGCTTCAGTATATTGTCGGCAGTCCATTGGATCCAGAAAATAGCGTCATTGAAGTTGAAGTGCTCATCGGAGTTATATCCGCTGGGGATGCGGTACTCCCGCTCCATACCAAGTCCGTCCGGTGTTGGCACCCTTGAGAAGGTCCCTTTGTACCGCGGAAGGCCCCCTTCCGGATTTGAGCCGTACTGTTTTCATTCCAAGGATTCTTCACCAAGGCAAGTTTGCTGGTCTCTTCATGACCCCCCGGAGCCCAGCGACAATTCATGCGGATGCTCCGCTTTTGCAAAAACTCTGTCTGCAACACAGCGAGGTTGGTACTTGAGGATGTGGCTGCATACAGAGGTTTTGGGGCTTTACTTAAGTTTCTGGGATTGATGTGTCAGAGCTCTCCTCTCGTTTTGAGGCGTTGTTAGCAGAAAGGATGGAGATGAATCGTCCGTCAGATTGGATATTCTCACAGAAGCTAGAATTCAATCAACCGTGAATCAAGCAAGCTTCTCAACGCCTTCCAAGTCTGTGATTTTAGATATTGCTCTATTTTCGAAAGAATATAAGCAAACAATCAACTTTGCCGAACACACAACACCCGGAAAGGCAAAGAGGATTCACTGGTACTTTCGGACTTCGAGACTCTGAAGAATCAACTCTTGAACAAACACCTTGATCCAAGCACCCGAGTCGATACTTCCTGCCTCGATTGTTTTTCACTATCATTGAAAACGTTAGATTCGATCAGAAAATAGAGTCGATGCATAACCTCCAAAACTCTGCTGGTATTTTGAACAGCCTTGACAAACATCCAGTCATGATGGGGAATCTCACCTGTTTCTCAAGAGGAAGGTCGAGGAAGTCCCTCGAGCTCACCCAAAACTCGCCCTCAGCACCAAAGGGAAGTCCTACAAGCTCCCTGACAGGGTGCGCACAGTTCCTTGTTGCCCCTGAGTCCCGCTGTAACTGCTCATTTTGCCAAAAGAGCAGCAAGTGGAGGTACTGATTGTACTCGAGCCTCGTACCTCCGCAAAACTTGAAAGCACCCTGAAAGTTGTATGTAATACTCATGTTGCGATACATGGCGAAAGTAGATGTGCGGCTAGCTTTTCGACAAATGGTGAGGCGCGTTGAGGAGAACACGAACTTCAGGGCTTGCTTTGTGTGCACTCATACGCGCGGCCCGCCCGCTATTGATCAGCCAGGGTTCCAAGGTTTTGCCAGATCGTTGTATAAACCTCTTTAGCCGGTCACGTGACGTCAGTTGCGACTTCAAGCCCTGGCGGCCGCGTGGGCGCGCGACCCGGCCGGAGGCGCCGCGCGACGAATTCTGAGCAGCTGGACAATCGCGCTCACCACAGAGCATCCATTATTGAAGTAAGGCGGCCTTGTCGCTTGTCTTGAGGCTTATGTTTTCCGTGATGTGACGAGGTTGGTTGCAACTTGCAGATCGACTTCTCTACAAAGTGGGGGATCGACTGTCAATAGAGCTGACGTATGCACCGCAGACATGTAGAATGACCGACCGTAGAACTCCGTTCTGATGTAATTGGCTAAACCTATCGTTTTAGTATTATTCCACTCTGATTCGGTCAATTTTCATGAGCAAATCTCAGTCACGGTCCTTACTACTGCTCAAATGAAGGGTCTGAGACACCTTGCGGTATTATGAATGCGTAAGCTGGGCGGACGTTCACAGCGTAATTTACCGTTAAACATCAATCAGGTAAAATTGGCTTATTATTTTCACACAACGCACGGTTATCACGTGAAGGATTGCAAAATCTCTTCGATTTCGTAAGATGAGGGAGCGCTTTTCCAAAGCCTGAAAAGCAAGGCAATCTTCTTTGTCACTTCGCAGAAAGTCAGTTGAGACAGTCAGTCGAGACGGTCAAGGTTAATCTAGAGCAGCTAAGTGGAATATTTTTGCAACTAAATGCTCCGGCAAACCATTCAGGTTGCAGTTCCTACTGAGACAGCAGAGCACAAGCAACTTTCTCTCTTTCAACCCTGCTTGGACAGCGGCATCGTACTCTTCTACTGCGTCCGTGACAGCATTCTCGTGCAGAACGACATAGTTCTCACTTCTCTTCCGCACGTGCTCGATCTTGAGCCCCAATTCCACCGAGCTCTAGCCGTCCCTCCGTCGGTCAATCTCTTCCCATGACCGCGTATGTGCCTATCTCCCAAGTTGCACTCCTTGCGAACGTCAGCACCGTGAAAGACCAAGACGCGAACATTGTCGTAGCGGCGGCGGTATGCCGCAAGATGCAGGGGCGTCATCGCTTCCGGCAGGATCCAATAAACTTCCGGCCCGCCTAGTCCCCACCAACCACGTGATTCACATGTTGGTCTTCTCGACACGTGGACGCTGGCGCCCCACTCAAGCAGCAACCGCAACATGGAGGTATCCTGACACGTGGCAGCATGTATGAGAGGCCACGAGGAAGGGGAGGGGAAGGGCTTCGAGCGCAAACTCGAGTCGATGTGATGGCAATCCGGGTCCGCGCCCAATTTCAGAAGCAATTCAGCGACCAGGCGGTTTCCGGAGAAAACAGCATGTGTAAGCGGATTGTGGATGTCCTCATCAGCCGGTCCCATATGGTCTGGCTCCGTCTCTGGTTCACCAGAGATTCTCGTGAAGCGTTCGAGCATGCCCACTGGCATAGGGGCCTGCGCAAGACGCGCCAGGAAGCGGGGAACCGCCGGATGGTACGCGTCTAGAGCGGGGAGAAAGTGGAACACGCTGGCGCCCTCAAAAATCCGAGGGAATTGGTCATAGGTAAAGGAATAGCACGGCTGCAAGGACAAAGGCAGAGTGTAATCAACTCACTTATGCTTGCGGAGCCGCCGGTTCTTATCAAGATTCTTTACTTGTAGGATCTGGCCGTTGAGCGCGATCTCCGCTGAGCCGCCTTTCCAACTTGCATGCCAAACTTTCAAGTTTGGCTTGAAAATATCTACCTTTCGGTGAAGGTGTCCACATGTATCTAGTCTCCGAGCAGCCGCAAATCTCAAGCTGCAGAGGTAGCGGTCATGCCCTGTCACCGATGTAGAATAGCCCTCTACTTGGTGATCGATTCGTATACGTAGGCCACTTTTCTGATTCTGAATGGATGCAAACCACCGGAATCATAGTCCCTGTTCAAACCTGGAAACAGCAATCAGAAAACCACATACCTTTCTTGCGAAGACCGCATCCAGCTGCCAAGTGTCGTCCTGTAGCTGCGTGCTAAGCCAGTCGAGCATCTCGTGTGACTTGAACCAAGCCGCCAGCAGGAGGGGCGTCCTGCCAAAGGGATCCCTCATCACGAGCTGTTCGCCGGGCAAAGTTTTGGCCAGCGATACGCTATTGCTTGCAGCGGCACCCAGCATGTTTGGTATCTGGTTTCCACGCGCCGTTTGCTTCACTATGGATCCGGTTGTAAGTATGACGAGCCGACCCGTGCAAGTCTGGCTTTCTCCTGCAGTCGAAGATGCAAAGGGGGTTTCAACCTTGATGTATTTTAGATCATGGGATAAATTTCATCCGAAGAAACGCGCACTGAATCTACCGGTTCTTTTGTTCCCAGGTGACTGAGATTATGTTGATATCCAATAATGAATTGAATTTAACCTGAGCTGCATGTCCCCTGAATGAATTAAAGGTTTCCGAAGTTTTATGCACAAAATAATCAGACCTGCACATGAAGTCGAAACTGACCTCTAAATGTGTGCAGCACTTGCAGCACTCAAACAAGCCGTTTCTATTTGGCCATTTCACAAATCAGCAGCTCTTGAAATACTAGATTCGACTGAGTATGATTCACAGCTGCCGGGGGCTGGATCCCAGAAATCAAAGAGTGCTTGAAATCGTTCTTGGATCGTATGGGGCGCCCTTCAGCAAAAGGATAACTGAAATCCTGGCATTTCACCTTGATACCAGACTTCCCCTTCCAACGTCAGGCCCCAGGGCCGCAGTATGTTGTCGGCTATCCACTGAATCCAGAACACGGCACCGTCGAAGCTGACTGAACGCTCGGGAATTCCAGTGCGCCGATTATAGCACCACTCTATTCCACAGGCGTCCAGCGTAGGCACCCAGTGACACGGTTCCTTTCTGTCTCGAAACGCCGTGAGAAGCCGAAAAGTGTGAAAGTGTGATTCTCTTCCGTGCGGGTCGTTCTTTATCAGTCCTGTCTGGGACGTGTCCCAGCCGCCAAGATGGTCATGGTACTCGTTGCCAAACCTCCTTGTTTGTAAGAACTGTGTCTGCGGCACACGTCAGCAAACGCGTTATAGGTTTTGCTCAAGAGGTCAGTGTCGGGTTGCGCTTCCGTAAAAGGAAACGCGCATCTGCCTTTCCAGATTAGCGCGGTCAGATTTGCGGGAGTCGGATGGGTTCACAGCACAATCCAAATGCCCTGCTGACGACCTTTCAAAGATGGTAGTTGTAAAAACCACCCGACAAACTGCTCCACCCGACGAAGATGGCCTCAGTTGAGGCAAGAATCTGAAGATCAAGCAGAATTTAGAAGCCAAGACAAAATAACCAGCCTCTTCCTTTCCCGCCGACACACCTAGTTGTTGCATTCTTATGATCTTTTCTGCCCTGATGACGTTTTTCCGATCATATGATCATGCATGTCCAAACTTGCTGGCCTCGCAAGATAAAAGGCTAGACTAACCCCAATTCTCTCATTGCAGTACCAATAATACGTATATACGTTCTGACCAATTGCAAAATTGAGCAATATTTTAAATCTGAATCTGCAGGAATCTTTGTAATAACTTGGTCGAAGTTACAGGCTTCGACAATTTGCTTCCAGATTCAGAGGGCGTTCAATCTTTGTAAAAGCTTAAGGCAAAGAGCTCTTAGGAGATAAAATATGTAACTGGTAAACGACCGCCTTCTTGCTAAGATGATCTGAAAACCTGCTAACAATGGAACCTGATTGTCTCTCCATGGCAGGCAGTAACCGTGCCTCCAATCCTCCAACGTCGATCTTTAATCCGTACACCACTTAAGATTATAATCTATCGTTCTTTGACCACCTGAACATCTATGAAATTGATAATATAATCTTGTAGGTGTCTCATTCTAGCTATTGGAGTTGCAGAATTGACAGTAAGGACACAAAAGCCATGACCTTTCTTGTATCTTCTCACCTGCGTCTCGGTGGGAAGGTCAAGAAAGTCCTTTGAGCTCAGGAAGAACTCGCCTTTAGCACCAAGAGGAAGGCCGACGAGCTCCCGGACAGGGTCAGGACATTCTTTTACTTCATCAATATTCCGCTGGCACCGCTCAATCTGCCAGAATAGCAATAGATAGCGGTACTGATGGTCATTGAGCTTCTTGCCTCCAGAGAACCTAAAAGCGCCCTGGAAGGACATGGAGTTCCAATCGACGCCCATGGCGAAGCTGGATGTGCGTCTGACTTTCAGATTGTCCGCTGAACAAACGCAGCGCTCAGTGAACACGATACTGCACTCAACCAGTGCGCGGCCAGCGCGATCGCATCGGTGAGTACTCAGGTTTCCAGGTTTTTGGCGGATTCGTTCCATCCAAGAGTCGCGTGATGGGTACCCGCGCACGCGGGCGCGCGGCCGACCGTCTCTGCCGGGTTGTCAACCACGGAGTCGCGGCCGCGCGCGCGACTAGCTCGGAGTTGGCGGCCGCGCAGCTACAGTACACGGTAGACTAAAACACGTGGCGTTTCGACAGAGCGGACGTCCTGTTCAAATCATATTGACGCTTGTTGAAGGTAACGCATTCGAAACTTGCAGCATACAGAAACGAAGCATGATTTGGGGCGCCATCGAGGGACAATATGCAGCTTACGGCTATGTCCGTGTCCCTTATGCGGCAACCGCTCTCGTGACAAGGAAGATAAACTTACAACCCCCAGATATTGTCGGGTGGCGCAAAGGATCAGGCCTTCAGACGGAACAGGGCTTTCCGTCTTCTTGAACTAATCTGCAGCCTAAAGGCCCTGAAGGCCAACGCACATAAGCACCCATACATTCTTGTAAATCATGTGGAACCTCCCAAAACCTGGAATCAAGCAGGATGCCCCAACCAAGCGAAAGGTGCACGGAAAAGATGTCCACTTAGGGAACGCGTTAAATGTATTGGAAACGTCGATGGAGTGCCTCGTATACCAGATCCTACTTCTGGTCCGTCGAGACGGTCAGGGACAATAGAGAGAAGCTAGGTTAAAGATCTTTGCAACCAAGTGTCCTGGTAGAATCTTCAAATCAATACTCCTTTGAAGGCAGCAGAGCACAAACGACCTCCGCTCTCTCAGGCCCGCTTGGACAGCGCCCCTCACATATGCCGTCTTCTCCGGAAACTGCCCGGTCGTTGAGTGGCATTTGACCCGAGGGGCGGACCCGGACTGCCGTTACATTTATCCGAACCCTGGTGGCTATGAGCCCTACCCGTCTCTTTCCTCGTGGCCCGTTTTGTACGCTGCCACGTGGAAGGACGCGTCCATGTTAAGGTGCCTGCTGGAGCACGGCGCAAGCGTCCACGTGGCGAGACGACCGCTGATGGATCGGTGGGGTTTTGGCGGTCCTGAGGTGTACGACCGCGTCCCGAATGTCTTGACGCCGCTGCATCTGGCAGCTTACCACCGCCGCTACCACGGCATCCGGCTGTTGGTCTTTTACGGGGCTGACTTCCGCAGGAAGTGCGACCTGGAGGAGCCTGGTTGCCGCGGGCGTTATATGGTTGAGTTTAACGCAAGTGGAACGGCTAGAGACGCGGTGATTACGGGACTCACAATCGAGCATGCGGTGAAATCAACCGCAACAACCGAGTGGCAGGACGACCATTTGCATGAGAATGCTTTTACATACGCGCTGGAAGAGTATGGGGGTATGCAGAGCTTCCTCAGCCAGGTCAGTATTCTTAGAGATTCGTTCTGGCCCGCAGGGAAGCCGGACGAAGCGTTCGAGGATGCCCACGGGGATGGCTGTCAGCGCGACACGCGCCAAGACACGGGGGACAGCCGGATGGTGCGCATCTAGACCGGCGAGAAGGTGGAAGACGTTGGCGCCGTCAAAAGCTGGGCCGCGGCGGCCGGACGTCTTAAGGCTCAGGACAGAGCACGGCTGCAAGGACAGAATAGAATTGCAGTTGGTCTCCGCTCACTGGATCCTCGACAATATTTGACTTCAAGATCCATGGCTCCTAGCACGATTTCCGATGGGCCGCCGCTTCTGAACTATCTTCAGTACGATCTTACACAAACTTAAGGTTGGTTTGGTTCTGTCCTCCGACCACGCAGATGTGCAGTATCGAGCCTGGGAATTAATGGCGAGCCACAGCTCAAGGTTGCAAAAGAAGTGCAAGCTGTAGTCTCCAACGCACGAAGAACTCCGAAGTCCAGCAATTGATGCATCTCCTTGGATGCACAACCTTGTTCACGTGTCCTTTCTGTGTCTACTCTGGACAATGCACATTGAACACCGCATACCTCTCTTGCAAAAAGCGCATCCAGCTGCCACGTGTCGTCCTGCAGCTGCGTGCTAAGCCAGTCAAGCATCTCGTGCGACTTGAACCAAGCGGCCAGCATCAGGGGCGTCCTGCCAAAGGGATCCCTCATCCCGAGCTGTTCGCGGGGCAGCGTCTTGGCCAGCCATACGCTGTTGCTAGCTGCGGCACCCAGCATATTAGTTATCCGGGGGCTGCCTGCCGGCTGCTTCACGATTGAGCCGTTTTCAAGCACGACGAGCCGACCCGTGCAGTTTTGGCTTCCTCTTGCATTCGAAAATGCAGAGGACTATTGGAGTTCTGTTGATTTTATCTTAGGGTGCACTGCCGTCCGAAGCTCGCAAACAGGATTAGATCAATTGCAGTTTGTTTCCGCTTGGAGGAGCCGAATAGTGGCTGTCCATCGCGTGTGCATTTGTACCTGGAAAGACCCAGATCTACGGAGGAACCCGTTTAAGGGGTGTTAGAAGTGACATAGGACGAAGAAGCATGATCTGCAAGTGGACCTAGATCTACAATTTGAAACTCATGCTACTTTAGATCAGACAGTCTGGTCCAATGCCTGCTTAGATGTATAACTCTTTGCTTGTCTTCATTTCAAAGATACTGAACATATAACCCGTCCCAGATGCTGGAGCTTGAAACTCAGAAACATGTAGAGCTGCAAAAGCTTCTACAGCAGACATGGAGAGAACAGGTTTCGGCTTCCCACCTTGATACCACACTTCCCCTTCCAACGTAAGGCCCCAGGGCTTGAGTATGTTGTCAGCAATCCACTGTATCCAGAACACTGCATCACCGAAGCTGACCGTACTTTTCAGGGTCCAGCGCCGGTTGTAAAACCACTCCACTCCAAGGCCGTCTCGCGTAGGCACCCAATGACAAGGGTCCTTTCTGTCGCGAAACGCCTTTGGGTATTGAAAAGTGTAGTAGTCGGGTCGGTATTCGTACGGGTAATTCTTGATGAGTCCTGCCGGAGACATAAACCAGCAGTCCATCTGGTCCCGGATCTCTTCCCCAAACCTCCGGGTTTGTAGAAACTGACTCTGCGACACACAGGAATTTCATGTTGTGTTTTTTGAACCTTTAGTATCTGCTTGCTGCCTTGAGGAAGTGCGTTGACTTGCTATTAAGTGAACACACCGATGAAACCACGGGACGGTTGCATAGGGTGGATCTTGATTCGAAAAGCCTAAGGGACATTTTCACAAGCACCGGGAGGCTTTCAAACGAAACCGCTTCCTTTGACGAATTTGGCTTCTTTTGAGGTATGCATCCGGCAAGCAAGCTTTTGGGAGATGTTTCCACGCAACGCTGGTTTCTTTTTTTTCTGACAAAATCACGTTTGGGTTGGGTCCTAATTCTGCTTCGGTACCATCTGTTCATGTTTAGACTTGCATGCCCAGAAGCAAGTGTATTCATCAGAATATGGAGGAGTCCCTGTGGAGGTTGTTTGAACAAGCTCATCTCGGTCAGGTTGATTGCAAGAGCTACACAGGAATCTCCAAGTGAGCTTTCGAGAAAGTCACTGTGCTTACAAAGAACATTTACTAAAGTCCGTATACTTCTGAAGAAGCTCCTCCTTGTTTTAAACAATGAAGAAGCAGCAGTCAGTCATCTTTGTTCAACAATCATTTTCCCTTTATGGAAAGCAGAGACGCACTATTCTGTAATGGGAGTAGCTATGCCTCCCACCTGGATCTCGATACCCACGGAATCATGTGCTTCGCTTCTTCTGGTTTTGAAAGCCAGATGAAACAGATTTCTACATGCCCAGCCCTGAAGCTGGGAAGTTGCTGATGGAATAGGGACATAACATGTTGAAATGTAAGCATGAAAGCATCCTGCATCTTCTCACCTGCCCCTCTCGATGAAGATTAAGAAAGTCCTTGGAGCTGACAAAGAGCTCGCCCTCAGGACCAAGAGGAAGTCCAACAAGCTCCCGGATTGGATCAGGACAGTCTATTATCTTCTCAATGTCTCGCTGATACCGCTCAATCTGCCAGAAGAGCAGAAGATACAGATACTGATTGTCGTCAAGCTTCTTGCCTCCAGAAAATCTGAAAGCACCCTGGAAGGAGATAGCGTGATCCATGGCCAAGCTGGTATGCGGCTGCTGATGTTCCGTGTTCAGTGTTCAGTGAAAAGTGGGTATCTGATTTTGCAGCTTGCTAAATCTCCAGCGGCGTCCAGCTGATCAAGCTTATGCGCGCGCGACCCCGCCAGCGGCCGCTTTGCGTCAGTCAGCCAGGGTTCAAGGGTTTGGGGGAGTCGTACTGATGTCATCAGTGCTCATCACCATACCCGGAACTTTGAGCGCGAGCGGTCCCGCGCAGCGCAAGGTGCGTGAGCGCCACACAGAGAGACGAAGATTAGGGTTTGACGAGAGCAGAAGCTGAAGCCTAAGGAATGCAGGGCGCTCTGTAGCGAAGCCCAGGAGCGGGAGATATCGCCCCTTGTTTCGACAATCCTTGAAAGCGGTGCACTAGCAGGATCGCAAGCATGGCGAAGAAAGGAAAGAAGGACTCAAAGCCTTTAACGGAGGAGGAGAAACTGGTCAGGCAAGAAATGCTGGCTTTGCAAGCAGAGGAGGAGCGCAAGAAGCAGGAGGAAGATGCAAAGAAACGGCTCAAGGATAAGAAGGTAAGGGTCAGCACGACGTTGGAATTTGATGTATGTTTTGCGACCCTAGTGTCTACTATTATGAATGGAAATCAAGCGGTTTCTGACATGAGATTTCTGGCTGTAGTTTCAAAGCGAATGCGAGTGCATAGGTACAGTGTGGCCCTTGCAATTGGCCGAGCCAAACTGTCAGCATCTTCAGCAGCCAAACACTACACAAGTGATGATGCTGGGCAAGGTCGCTGCCCTGCTGAATAGTGAGTACTTACAGTGAGCAAACTTCTCAGCGTAGCTCGCCGTGTGTAGTGTATACTGCTGCAGAACCTCTGCTTGTGCAGGGATGCTGATCTCTTCCTGTATTTGTCGCAACTTTCTGCCTCTACCTGTGGCACTCCTTGATTTTGCGCCTCGATTGGGGGATCTGAGAATACATTGGCCGGAAAGCGGGGCATGTGGGAAAGTGGTTGAGGAAAAAGCGGAGTTTGCAAGCGTTCTGCAACTTTTGGCATTGCGGGGCAACACTGGATTTCCCCTAATCTTCAGAGGTTGCTGGATGCAATGCACCCCAGCCCGTACTGCTATCTGAGCTCAGAGTTGCGCTCGTTCTGCAACCAGCAGACTCGTTCCTCTGCTTTGACCGACATCACATGTGGCATAACAGCAGATGTACTCGGCAGCTTGTGTGGCTTCCACGTGATGCAGGAAAAGGAAAAGAGTATCATGGAGAGTCCACATGCATTGGCCAAATCAGAATTGCCAATCAGCTTGGAGACAGTATGTCTACCAAATTCCAAACGTCTTTCTCGACAGAGACACTCAGTTTGAACTGCTACCTGTGCACAGCTACTACAGGGAACAAAGGTGAAGCTAGCAGAGGCCAGCAGTCTGGTGACTGAGGCGCAGTCGCACCCAAGCCTTGACAAACTTACCCAGCTGAAAATGTTTAGCCAATTACCCTGCTTCACACAGCATTTATTTGTGTCTTTGGACTTTCAATCTGTTCTTTGGGAGGAAGAGAAGTCTGCCTGCGTCATGTTCCGCCTGACTCGCACGTTGATGCGCATCGGATCTAAGAAAGATAATCTTGAACTTAGCTTTCAAGCCCCTGGTTTTGAAGTAAGGAAACCGGCATCTTATTTGCAGGCGACGAAGGAAAGATTATCCTCGCATTTAGGATGCCCCGTACGCAGTCTCGCAACCTCGTTATCCGGCAGGTCAGACTTATCTTTCCGACCTGACCGAAGATTCGAGCTCCCAGATTTCAAAACTCAACTTTCGACTCTCATTTGCAGGAGACGGAGGAGAAGTACGCCCGCATCAATGGCCTCAAGATCCACACGCAGTGGCGCAAGTTCATGCGGCAGGCCAAGGTGGACGAGCTGCGGCGCGACATCGAGATCCTGAGCCAGCAGCACGAGCGGGAGGTCGACCGCAAGGATGCCATCATTCAGATGCTGGACAAAGATCTGGACGATGGTGAGATCGTCTGGAACTCCCTATTTCTGCGACTATTTGGTTCTAGGCAGCTGGACATGCCTTACTCATCTTACATCCATTCTGGTGCTTTGGAGATTGTGCTAGCAGCACAATCGGGAGGTCGAACATAAGGATGCCATCATTCAGATGCTCGACAAAGATCTGGACGATGGTGAGAATGTCTTAAACTGGTTACATTTTGGGTCTATTGCGTGAGCCGAAATTAGATCGTTCGTTTGTGACCAATTTGGCTTCATGAGAAGATTTCTGGGGCAGCAGCATGAGGGGAAGGTCAACCGCAAGGACGCCCTCGTTCAGATGCTGGTCACTTTGGTGATGGTGCGCGTCAAGATAATTGTATCTGTGATGCCCTTCCGATTGCATTGCCTCTTTGGCAGATGTTTTGAGCTGGCGTTGAAAGAGGAGCGGGCTCGGAAACGGCCGTCAATCAGATGTGAACGGAAATCTGATCAACAATGAGGCCGTTTGAAATCTGGTGTGTAATGAGCTCTCACGCCAATAGTTCCTTCTCTGACTTGATCAGCAGTTTCAGCGTAGCAGCACAAGTGTTATTTCACTGTTGGTATCGCATCGATTAAATGCCCAGGACAGGCACAAAGTACCCTGTTTCCTTCTAATATCACGCTTTACGTTCTCTTGAATTTCGCGAGTCGGATTCACTCTGGCACGTTCGGAGGTTGAAAGATTGTATGCCATGCGCAGCTGAGAGCCAGCACCAGACGGCCCTACGCGCGCACCTCCAAACCGTGGACGCAATCATCGAGCTGCAGTATGAGCGGATCAAGGTCCGCGTTGTAACGCTCCTACTTCGTAAAGCGTTCTTATTACACGATTCAACGTCCGCTTAGCAAGCTTGTGCACGTGATGGTGCTTCGCTTTCGTCCCACTGCGAATGTATGCTTTGAAAGACCATCGTAAGCTCCAGGAAGCTTGATCTCACAAGAGCAGCCACCGACTTGGTCACAATCACTGGCCCTTACGGGCCAATGGTGGCTTCAACATGCTGAAGCCCGCAGCGTTTAGCAGCTTCTCACAAGCTGACCAGAAGCCAAGCCATAGGGTCAAAGAAGCGAGCACGTTACTGGCAGTTCAAGGGGATCCGACCCGACTCAATCACAATAGAGTTATAGCCACCTCCACGATCTCACGTCAGCTGGCCGTTGTCAAGGGACCGCAAAGGTGGTATGGCGGGCAACTTCTCACCCTTTGCACTTGTATAAGGACGCGTTTTGTTTAATGTCGCCGTCCTTACGTGAATTCTGAGCGGTTCCTCGCTGGAATTTACTATGAAATCGTTCGGATGCAGGCGTTGGAAGCGGAGTTCCAAAAGGCCCTGCAAGCGCTCTCAGACGAGTTTGACAGCGAAAAGGCGGAGATCCAGAACAGCCACAACAAGCAGAAAAAGGTGCGCTTCAGGACGACTTGATCCACAATTAGCCGCCCGCCGCTTGAAGCAGTGCCCAAAGAGATCAATTTTATCTCTGTTCTTAAGCAAGGCCAGAAGGCGTTTTCTCTCTGTGCAGCAGCCGTCAGGCAATGTAATACATACAGACCGCGCTGGAGGAGACTACTCTTTCTAAAAACCGTTGTCCTAATATTTCAGGCCTTGTTTCGCATCTCACGGCATTTTGATTCAATGACAACCAGTCCTTGCTGATTGCAAGTGGACCATTACGCCCCATGTCTGTCGTTCCCTCCACCTTCCGAAGTCCCATCTGCCTTTTGGACGGTCAAGTTGGTGGATTTGCTTGAGTATACCAATTTTTCCCTTCAACTTCTGGAATTACAGTCAACCGTCTGATTACTTCCACCTTCCAGAGTTCTGTCTTCCTTGGACGTTTAAAGTAGTGGACTTGCTAGTGGTGTCCGATCGTCCCTGCATCTCTTCGTAATCACAGTCAACCGTCCGATTACTCCGCAGGAACTGCTGGAGATGGCGGTGGCCATGGAGGCCGAGTTCGAGGAGGCGGAGGGCGAGGCGCGACAAGAGTTTGAATCTCAAAGAGAAGAGATCAAGGTAAATTGGACCTTCTAAAACACGCAAAGTGACGCACCAGCTCGTCTGTCAAGCTCACGCACTTATTCGACGCTACGGTGTGATCAAAAGCAAGACCTCAGCGTGCAAGGTAAAATGTGCGTGTATAGTGGACGTCGATTGGGGGCTGGAGAAGCGTTCATTGCCATCGAACTTGTTATGGCTGATAAGGTATATTTTCGACGACTTTGGTGCCGGCCTTCGTAGCTTGCAAAGGTGCCGAATGCCTTGAAATGTGAGCAGCTGATTAAATTTCTACCTTTTGAATTCCGTTTAGGGGAACAAGAGACAGCTTTCAGTCCTCTTTCTTGAGCTGTCAGCTCCAACGCAAATATTCGCGACCAGTGTCCCTGGACAAATGACGTGAGTTTTTTCGATCTGAGCTACGCTGCCATCCTCGCTTTGCAGAATCGCAACTCGGAAGAGTACAACGTCCTGAAAATCAGCCTTGAGGGCGCAATCGAGGAGCTCGAGCGAGAATTCGAGCAAGCGCACCAGGCGAGTTTGCAAATGTGCTTCTTTCCGCTGTTGGCTGATCGCTCCAATGATGCTGTCTTTGAAGCAGTATCATCAAACCGAACATATGTGCATGAAAAAGATGGTTTATTCGAGATCAACCCGTTTGGAGAGAAGATTGAGGACATGCGCACAGAAGGCGAAAGCAGTTCTGCGAAAAAATGGACGTCACTGATGGTTCGTCTAGCAATATTGTCTCGCGACCCGCCACACTTAGAAGAGATGTACCTGCGCCGATTGCGCTACCTTAGGGCCAAAGGCGCCGCCCAGTCCTTAAAGAAAGTGGAAGAAACGGGAACCACCGCTGACATTGAATCGGTATGCAGGCGTATCTGGACAGCACGGAGAGCCGCACGCAGTCGTTCAAGGAGCTGACGGCCAAGGACGCGTCGAGCGCTAAGATCATTGAGCAGCGCATGCGCAAGCTGATCCGGCTGCACGAGCAGATCGCGCAGTGGCGCACCAAGATGGCGACCAGCAGGTGCGCGAGCATTTCGCAAACGCGCATTCTCTGGTTTAGTAAGAAAACGTTTGCCCGAGAAGGCGAGTCGAGTCAAAGTAGCTTATGAGTGCCAAGCGATTTGCGCAGTGGCCCACCGAGGTGGCAAACAGCTGGTAGGCGAGATTTTTTTTTATGGGCATCCTTGGGGTCATAAGGTTTGAGAGGAAACCGTTCGCTCGTGAACCAGGATTTAGAGTAGCTGTGAGTGCTGTGTATACCTGTCCCACGGCGACCGAGGGACTGACGGACCGCGGCTCTATTGCTGGAATTGGGTCTCATCAGTCAATACAGAAGTTTTCCAGAGAATTTTCTGGCTGCCGTCAACGCGCAAGTCCTCTATTAACACTCATGTTACGTCCCGCTCAGCCTTTCCAAGATGAGCTCTGAGCAGCTATTCGTGGCGCTTAATCCAAGAGTCTTCGAACGTTCCTTCCGAAACCCTGTGAAAAATTCCGTCCGTTCTGCTCCCTTGCAGTCGTGAGTGGGAGCAGCGGAACAAGGCGCTCAAGGACGAAAAGGACATGATGGTCAAACACTACCAGGTGAGTATTTCTGGGCTTGCTTCAGTTTGAGGTCTAAGGGTCTCGAGTGCTGGATTTCAAGGAATTTTTCGTTACGTCTCTTCCTCTTGTAACGTTTAGCCATTTGGCACAAAGAGAAATAGAGACCGCAATGCCGTGAATCAGAGTGATGAGACAGTCATGAACATGAGGGAAAAGGCGAGGAAGAGAGGCATGCTAAAGGATGCCATGTCGCCCCCTTACGAGCTGTTATTGAAGATGAACCGGACGCGGCAAGCAAACCACCGCTGGTCTTACAGGTCCAATCTCCTCGGACAAAGAGCCCAACACTTTGTGAAGAGGCGTAGAACGTCAAGAATGATAGCGAGGAAGACATGATCGTTGCTGATGATGACATGCGTCATCACTGCAGAGGCTGAGGTCAAAGTTGAACCGCGGCGCAGCGAACTACAATTGGTTTCATTGAGCACTTTTTTTTCCACAGAAACCAACAGCTGACAGACAGCCCAATGGACGAAGAGCGATAGCTGAGAGGGGAGTGATCGTTTCTGAGAGTGCCACGTGTCACTATCGCAGGAGCTCAAGTCGAAGATGAACCGGATGCGGCAGGCGGAGCACGAGCGGCTGAAGCAGCTGTCGCTGTACAGCGGGGAGGCGATCAAGGAGCTGGAGCGGAAACTGGAGCAGGCGGAACGGATACTCAAGCTAGCGGAACTCAACCGAAAGGTGGGCATATACACTCTGCTGCATCAATAGTGCTGATGTGAAATTAGAGGAGTGACTTGTTTTTTGCGGATGCATACGCGAAGGAGGTGAAGTGATACTAGAACAGGCAAGAATAGTGTGAGAAATCATCAAGAAACAGCCACTTCTAGAATCGGCATCGGGCGTGCTTTAAGTAGTCTCCAGAGCGAGTCTTCCTTTTAAGAGGTGGAGGTCGAGTACTCAAGGTTGAGGGTTGAGGGCCCTCGCAAATGTTTTGGACTCCGTGACGAACGTGGAACGCTACGCTAACAGCCTGCAGGAGGAACGGCAATGCAAAGTCGAAGCTGCTTGGTGAACTTTTCTGTCTGGGGCTGATCTGAAGACGACTTCTGTTATTTTCGTTGCTTCGTCCTGCTTCTTGTTCAGGCGGCTCTTCTTGTGTTCTCTTCCAATCAGTGTGCTCTTCCTGCCAACTACCTTCGCGTTATCACAGTCAAGGGCGTCCTTGATGTGCCGTCTTCGTCGGGCTTCGCCATCCTTTAAGCTAGTTTTATCCATTGCTTTCGTCGTATTTTACCAGTCCTTTCTCTGCGCGTTTCCTCCATTTTCATCAAAGTCGTTCATTCTCGCCCGCAGATGGAGACGGAGCAAGAGAAGATCCTACCGTTCGATCCCACCCACGTGTCAACCATCCCGATACCCGCCGCCGACGAGCTCCTCGCCAGCGCATCGCTCCAGGACGTTCGAGACGGAGGGTATTCGGATGCAGAGGCTCCAACCAGTCCGCTGAACGGATTTGGAAGCGGAAGAGAAACGGAGGCCCTAGCTCAGGCCATGCGGGACTTTGGAGGGGGCTTGAATTCAGCGGACGGGTAAGGACCTGCGGGCGTTCCCTTGCCTTATTTGTTCTTAAGGGGTTGAGGATCAGAGCCACGGTACAGCAATCGGTAAGTTTTCCCTTGAAATTCACGCGATATGATGGTAAGAGAGGATTGCCACGGAGATCCGACGCGTAGCGCAGAAGGAAGCCTTACGAAGGTTTGTCGGGTGCGCGTTGTGTTTCGACTTTTATCTCCTACTTCACGATCCAGTTTTTGATTCACTGCCGCTTGGTGTTAAACCGTCCCCGAGATGTCTTCAAAGGTGAGCTGTTCCTAGGGCGACTTGACTAAGTAGCTCCTCTCAAGTGGGGACACGAGATTAGAAGCCTGCTGTTGGTAATTCGGTCGAAGACCCTTCACGAAACTCGATTCGTTGTTCACTTGCAAGTTCCTAGTTTTGCGTCTGCGCGGAAGACAAAGGAAAAGGTGCGAGTGTCTCCCATTGCTTCCGTTTTGACTTTGTAGGGACAGCGTTCTGCTTCACAACGAGGTGTCAAAACGGGGGTGCTTGTAATGTGATGCTAACGATTCTTCGCTTTCAGGGACTTCACGCGCGAAGAAAGCGAAGCGGCCCCCACGCTATGCGCATACGCAACCGACGAGAACGGGAAGCTCGTACCCGAGTGGCACTACCTATCCAACTTTTTCAAGCGGTACAACAAAGTCATTCTGGACAAAGCGGCTCTTGACAAAGAAAAGCGGCGGCTTTTGGATGACAACGCAAAGCTCAAGTACGTACTGAAGCAGTACCTGGACGGGATCACGGTCAACGGGGAGGTGCTCAAAGACCCGAAGAACCCGCTACTGGTGAGTGCCGGAAGATTCGCGCGCTGGGAAGTCTAGAAGTAATCTAAAAATTGTGGTGGATGGAAAGGTGCGAAAGGACCTGTAGAACCCGCTACTGGTGAGTGCCGGAAGAATTGCGCGCGGGGAAGGGTAGAGGTTCTAAAATCATTGTGAATGGAATGTTGCGCAAGGACCCGTAGAACCCGCTTCTGGTGAGTTGCCGGGGAGATTGTTATTTGGGAAGTCTAAAAGCTCTAGGGTGAGTCAAGGACCCGCTACTGGTAAATGCCAGGGAGAAGGCGTTGTGGGAGGTTTAAAGTTGTTCGTTTCCCTGTATTAGTACGTGCAGCAGGTTCTGTCCATGAGCACAGCTCTGTCTGGTTCCACGAAAGCTGTCACACCGATGGTCGTGAATCAAAATGTGCCTGTTGTGATAACAGCAAAAGCCCAAGAATGTTTCGATGTCAGCGAGTGCCCAAAAAGTTATCTTCTGAGTTACAATGAGGAGCTCACGCGAGAACGAGAAGGACAAGAAGGACCCCCTTGATTCGGCTTATGATGACAGCGCGCGACGCAATGAGAATTCTCAAATAGTCACAAGTTCCGAGTCGTCCACGCCGACCCACTGCTCTTTTTTCAAAAATTGACGCAGACCGCTCATCCGTCCTCTTTCCGGCCGTTTGCAGGTGGTAATCTACTGGCGACTAAACTTCATGAAGATTGTGACCGTCATTTCGCTGCTCTCTTACACCTAGACTTAGCACAGAGCTCATTCGCTTCGTTTTCCGTTCATTCGCAGGTAGTGAACAACCGGCGCCAGAACTTCATGAAGACCGCCAGCATGACCGCCGGTCTCGCGCCCAAGTCCGTCAACACGCTGCCCATTCCGTCCGCCGAGCAGAGCCGGCGAAACACCGCGATGAGCAGCCAGAAGAAGGGCGTCACCGTCTTACAATACAACATGCCGTCCTAGCAATGGTCTGTCTTTCAGCGGGGAAAAACTTCATCAACTTGCGGAACGGGTACGGGAAGGTTCTGCTAGACTAGCGAGGGCCGTCGCTGCGGTGATGGGCCAATCCAGGAGTCGGCCGAGCTGCCGAAGAAAACAACTGTTCTCCTATATTCAATCTTAATTGTACAAAATGGTCTGAAAGAATCCAATGTAACAGGCTGCATTGGCGTCGGGCGCTGCTTCTCGTTGGCCGTCAACGTGCTTTTCGAATTGTCGCTGGGGATTAGCTTGACAATGCATGGCGCGAGATCGCTCCCGGGCCCTCTCTCTTTTGGAACGAATCTGAATTCGATCATGTATGCTAAATATTCCGTTGTCTGGCCGGCCTGCAGTGACATGCGAAGGTAAATTGCGGCCTCACCAGGCAACACTGAGCGGCGGCCTTGAACATTGATGATGCAAATGCCTGATTCAGGCGGCGCCATCCGATAGCTCATGCAAGTGCGTCAACGCAGGTCATCATTCATTCCGATGATCGTTTCCGAATTGCATATCAAAAAGCCTGGCTCTTGGAGTGACGGGGTAAGGACGTTAAAAATGTAGCTAGATATAATGGCTAGGGCCATGTCGGATCGGACCGTCGTCGTTTGTATATAGGTCACATTACGGTCGGTCGGACAACACATGTGCTAAATGATAGATATATTGCATGTAGTAAGCCATGCAGTACGTACGTACTGCTGGCAAAGCGCTCACGATCGGTAATGCTGTCCAATTACTACATGAGATTTAATATGTTAACATGTGTAAGTGACAAATGACTGCCCGCGGCGCGGCCCCGGGCCCCGTGACATATGTCACTACTCCGCAACTTGAAGTCAAACCATGCTACATAGCATAAAAGCTTCACTAAGTGCACCAGGCCAATCATTGCCAGCAGCGACATATATGCCTGGCAGGCATGGGGCGCGCATGTGATTGCGCCCCCGGGCAGCCGTGGTCACACAATGATGGCACCGAAATGCTCCTACTCAGCAAGTCCTGCCATATGGCATAGTCTACTAGAACGCACATTTGTGGCTGACTGAGTCCTATAGCCTTCGAATCTGAGCGTGACTGTGGTAGCATGTGGGGAGATTACGACAACATGGATTTAAAACACATCTTATCAAAAAGGCCAGCAGCCAGGCGGCAGCGCCTGACTTGCATTGAACCACATATTAAGCGCAAGCGTCAAACAGGTCGGTGGCACCCATTGCAGGCCTAAGTTATGATACCGGACATGCCAGAGCACTGATAAGTTATAACCGGACATAAGCAGAAGGCTTGAGTCGAGATAAATCAGTGCCAGTTCAGAGCGTTGCAATACGTAAGTACATAAGTGTTTTTCGATCGCGACACAACTGTCAATTACGCAGCAGTCTCCTCCTCGGCAGGGGTGGGAGCTGCCGGCTGGATGAGGGCGATGGGAGAGGGCTCTTTCCGGTCCTCGATACGGCCCGCAATACGGTCCAGATCTCTTTGCCCGTCGGACGTGATCCTCCTTCCACTGCAAAAGAGATTGCTTACGAGTAAGATAACCACTTGCACAACTCGACTGTGACATATTCGAAAGTGCTTCGTGAGAGAGGTTTTCAAACCAATCCTTTCTATTGACCTGACTGAATGTTGTGAACATAAACGGCAACGTGCCCCCAAAATCTCGCATAAAATGAGCCAAAAAAACGATGCCCGCTTCTCTACTCCACCCCAAGAACGTATTGTTTGCAGAGTCACCCAGCGCAGTTGCCCTTCGCCTATGCAGCCTACAAGTGCTAAGTAGTTTGTTAGCAGCTGAGATTCAACGCCTGAGCCAACAGACGTGCCCCGCAGTGAACAGGATCACAAAGGTGCACGTCGCCGCACGCTTACGTGCAAACATCGCCACTTGAAAGGCACCCCTTGAAGCTCAAGTGAGTTTGTCCCAACCTATAGGAATGCCACTCAAACGAACGTATGCTGCTCCCCACCGCAGCACAAACCTGAGTGCGGAAGACCAAAGGCGCAAACAAGACTGAATGAGGTCTATTAACGCTCACCCGTTGGGGTGCTTCTCCAGGATCTTGAGCGCCTCGAGCTGCTGCATGACGTGCCGCTGGACGGAGCCGCTCGCCTTGGCGTAGTGCCCGGGCCGCACGCCCCGGTTGCTCTTGCCGCCTGCGGAAGAGAGGGGGGCAATATTGACACGTCAGACTGAGGGTCCCAAAGCATGTGTCACAGGGCGCACCTGGCAGATTCAACAAGAAGGGAGGAAGCGAGAAATGCTTAACAAGGTCGTTTACGATGCGGAAGGTAACAAAGACCCACTCGTGCTTCTATCTTCCAATACTGCTTGAGAATATTGCGTTTTGTGAGCGTCCCTGAGGATCTCCAGATTCTGGTTCTGGAGAAACGCTTGAAAGGAAGCACGTTCTTCTGAGAAAAAAGCACAGCTGCAACTCGGGAAAATTGGAGTCACGAGTGGGAACTTGCAACAGCAGACAAGAAAAGGAACAACCGAGACGCAAGGACAGGCATACTGAGTGGTTTACAAGCGCAAAATCTCCAAAATGATGGGAACGTTGAAAAGGAACCAGACTTTCCCCCCATCAGCAATCCTCAGGCCTGGAAGACGAAGAATAGGCAGAGTGCAAAAAACAAGGAGCGGCCTTAGCTTGCAACAAGCATGAAGCGAGCACACAGCTGACAACCATTTTGGAACACGAATTACAAAAAGAGCAATCAGACTGCGGAGCAACAAAAACTGCCTTCTGCGTATAGCCACCCATGAGATGAAAGGGCTCATTGATGGCATTATCATTGCCTGCCGCTAAGGCTTGCAAGCTGTCGGTGTGCACCAGACCAAAGCTACTGCATATCTTGGTTCTCGGGTTCAAGTTGACTCAAAAGACAACCAGACATACTGTCGTGACCAGAGCAGCCCACCATGTACAAAGTGAGGAAACGTTTTGGCACCGGAGGAACCACTTCGTAGATAGCGTCTCGAAACAGCTTAAACTATCTTGAATGCAAAACGCCAGCAACCCAGCAACTCTAAATCTTGAGAGGTTGGAAGTGCAGATCAAAGTTGAAGCACAAAGAGTATTGAGCAGAAAAGAACTCTTGTCTTCTATTATGTCAAATCATGACAGGCGCACATGTCAACGAGGGCTTCAGTCAAAGTCAAAAACAGCTATTGATGCGTTAACCCTGTAGGGTATAGGCCGTAACTGCACCGCGTGTCCCGCATCAGCAGCACATGGTGTTTTCAATGGGCTGCGCCAACTCGTCTTTTTGCGCGTCTCAATCCTATCAACATTGTGATACATCATCTGCGAGACGGTGCCGCATATAGCCAAAGCTATTCAACAATTACGTCAGACGTGACTCAGCCAACTACGACACTAGCGGAGCGCGACTGCTTCACCAATAGAAATGTGCATCATCGCAAATATCAGTGCCCTTAGGTGCTTGGAACTATCAGCTATGGAATCTGTGGCTGGTCGTTCCAGCGCCGGAACAAAACTGTGGACTGATGACGAGAGTGTAGCAGAAAAAGTTGGGAACATCGCCTGGCCTCAGAGATCTTGGTGATATGTTTAACATCAGCCAGCCGTTTTGACTGTCAAGAGTAGCAAATATTGTGTTCCATCATTGGCCAGGGAACGTATAGAACAAGAAAGCAGGCAACGTCGTTTTAGAAAAAACAACTCAACTTTTTCCGCGTGTACATCATCAAGCTGCGCTCCTTTGACAAAAGAGCGGGCCAACAAGCTTAAAAGTGCCGCTCTTTGCAGCTTCTGAGACCCCCGCAAAAACTACCCCAAAACACGCTAAATGTAACTTGACCAATAGAGCATCATTCAAAACCATCCAGTAGACCAAAGTAGCACACCTTCCGCAGCCCCGCTCAATGTTGTCCACAATCAACTAGACTGGCGCACTTTTTTATAAAAACAACCGGTGCCACTCACCGAACCGCTTCTTCAGCCCGCCAACCCCGACGCCCCCCCGGAGGTAGATGTGCCTAGCGATGGAGGCCGCCCTGACATAGTACCAGTCCGCATCGAAGGGGCACAGCTCCTTGTATGCGGCGGTCTTGACCAGGTCATGCCAAGGGGGGAGCTCGATCTGTAAAAAAAAAGGAAGAAAAGCAGAGACGATAAATGACAGAGAGCACACGCACTCTGACGCCGTAAGTGGCTGCACGACTGACCACAATGCACAGTGGACGCCAAACTGGGTCGGAACAGACTGTAAGGTTCAAAAGCTTGGAGCACTCTGTTTCATGACGGCCAATTCAAATTCCTTCAAGCGAGGCTCCAAGTATCAAAGGACTTGTGACCGAAAGATGGGAGCAGATTATGCAACTCATACTACTTCTTTTAAGTACCACGCAAACGGCTTCCAGTTGGTCATTGCTGATTCTCGAAGCGGCCAAAGTATGTGAGAATCCTATCGGAGCGATCAACTTTTGCAATAGAGGTGAGCCCAAGTGCCCAACAATGTTTGCAGCCCGCTAACACGGAAATCTACACCAATCTTCCTAGTACAGGATGTGCAGTTGCTCAGTTGAGCAAGATGGTAACGGTGATGGATAATTCCTACACCCCTAGACTTGATACTGCCATTTTCCCTCAGCAACAGAGCTACCTCCACATGCTGAAAGATGGGCATACACTTTCTCCGGCTTGCCAGCTGCTACTGAAATGCATGGCCCTGTCCACGGAGTTTGCCAGCTGTTCAACTAGGCAGCTTCCTTGGTGCATTTCAAAGTAAATATGCTCTGGTAACGGTTTGCATAGACCTCCGTCGCCACAGCCGGCATGCGCCCAGCCCCCAATCTGTCGCTAGCTACAGCGTCCTACCGCCAGCAGTATTGCTACCAGAGGTACAGAACATCCGCATCTGCTAAACTAGCGGTCCAACCGCGGCACTGCTTGCGGCTGACTCTCCAAGGACAACCTAATTAACGCCGCCATCCTAATCAGCTTTGCCTTATCCAGGCATCTGGCAATCTTCCAGGGCGCAGCGGCGCTCTGCTTCCTAACCCCAACAAACTCTTGGCTTGTCTTTCATGCGGACTGCAGGAAGGCCGGTACCAGCAGACCTTTAGAGGCAGGGCCCCCGCCCCTTGTGTGCACCTTTGAATTGACCATTGCCGCCTGCTTCTTGCTCGGTCCCTCAACAGGCTTCTTTGACTTAGGAGCTGTCTCACTTTTCCCCTGCCACCAGCATCTCAACGACCATGCCCAGGTATGCGTGCTATTCCGAAAAACAAATGCACAGACCACAAAAAAATACAACCGCCGCAAGACAATCAGACCGCCGCCCGGCTCACCTTTCCTGTCCTCTTCAGATGTGCTGCGTATGCCTTCACAAACTCATGGGACTGCACGTCCTTGACGGTCTTCGCCGTGGCCGCCATGGCGGAAGCACCTGCGCCCTGACCCGTGAACGTCCTTAGCGCAGAAAGAGGACGAGGGAGACCGTTCCGGCCAGCCAAGTAAAACCGGGAAGGGGTTTGCGCGCCGCCGTAAACCAGACCTTCAACCACCTTCAACCGGGGCACGAGATGCAAAACTCAAACCCTGTCGTTAGTGTGTATTCCCAGATAAGGCTCCCGGATCAAAACCCAAACAGTTTTGGATGACCGGGTTAGCTTGTAATCCGCAATGGTAGCGCCACCAAGGCTAGGGTTTTGCAGAAGGCTGCTTGGGAGCTTGCTAGCATTTCTCTTTTGCGAAAGCTTGTTCTTGACAAGGCTTGTTCGTCTGTGCTCTGTCAACTTTCAAGTTGCAGGTGCAAGCGAGCTGCTTTGCGACAATGTTTCGTGCACATCAGAGGTTCTCCTGATCAACCAAGCACGCAGACAAAACTTGCAATTGATTGACAAGTTGGTGGCGGTGCGCCCATTGGTAGCTATGAATATTGTGGCACGGTTGGGTCGAGGATTCTTGCGCGCTAACGTGCAGGTAAGGGTTCAAAGAATCTGCCTTATTCACTGTGGTGGGAACACAGATCTTGAGCTCTCAGCTATCTGAGTGAAGTTGCCTTTGGCAAGAAGGCTAGTCTATTTTTGTTCATGTTCCTCACAATTGAAATCTTGATGACTCAATTTTATGTGTGGTTGTTCACTTCGCCAGCATCAGGCAAGTCAAGGCAGCAATGATGGTGTATATGGTTTACAAGTGCGCAATGCTGAGATGAAAGCACTTCAGTTTTACAAATCTCCGGTAGCACTTTACGCCTCTACATGAACAATCTCGTTATAAGGTGGTTGCTGTGTTAGATCCTCTCAACCTGAAGATTTTAAAAGCGACAGGAGTCTGGGAGCTGTGTACGTTCTAAGTTGTTTGATGCACAAGAATCCAGATCAAAGCTCATCCGTTTGTGAGAAGAATCAGGCATTGGAAGGGGCTAAGAAAAACAGAGCTATTCTTTCTCCTACTGCAGGCACTGGATAGCACTGTGCGAAGCCTGCCACATCTTGCAAATCTCCTGCCTGTGCTTCCCACCACCACACTCCCTGAAACCAACCGCCCCGTCCCTCTGAGAACCGACGACAGCGAAGCATCCTGCAGCAACCGAGAAACAGAGTCCTTGCACAAGTCATCTGTTGAGGATCTGACTTGGGGTGTCAGGCAGAGTGAGTACGGTGGAAGGCATAGAGGACAGTATAGCCCAGAAACGACAAGATGGATGTCAAGCGTGCCGGTTTCGGTGGACGAAACCGAGGGGAGTGGACAAGTAGAGCGGGTAAGTTGCACATATGTCAAGTAGCTTCTATTGTGGCTAGACTGATTTTTGTGAAAAGTCTACAATCTTCACTATCTCGCCGTGCTTTGACTGCTCAGAAGCCATCACCGCGTTGGTTTTTAAGCAAGCCAGCCTCCTTGCCGATAAGAAAGCACCCGATTGAGTCTCGTAGTTGATCGTCAAGGTACTGTTCGCGGCAAGCCTTCAACTTTTTGCAACTCGGCTCCCTGCCTTTTCATCACCTATCGAATCTGCAATTACACCTTCGGACAGACCTGACTGGCTTTGTCAAACCTTTAGCTCACCATGTGCAGATTCGTGGCAATTGCATAAGATTTGAGCTTTTGTATTCGAGCAGACTCGTAGACAAGGCTTGAGTACCGAGCTTTTATTGCGACTCGGGGCGGGGCGCAACGCTTGCGTCGGTTCAGATTCTCGAGGATCTTGCCAGAGTCTTCGAAATTACAGGACTTGGATTTGGAAGTTTGCAAATTCAAAGGTCCTCGAGTTTCACGAGTGCCAAATAATCGGTTATGCAGTTCCAGACAGAAGCGGTGGATCCCTTCTCCCTGGTGGCGGATGAGCTGGCTCAGCTGGGGGCGAAAATGAGAGACATGGTCGCAACCGAAGTCCCAAAATTGGCTCAGGCGGCCGAGTACTTTTTTCGGATGGGGGCAGAGGGGAAGCGTTTCCGACCAACGGTGAGCCGGCTGTAAGCTCATCCTGTGCAACTGTGCAACTGGCACTAATGGGAGTAAGAATAGTTGGTGCGTCAAAAACATGCGGTTGTAAAGGGCCGTCTCTAGGATGCGTTGTGGCGACGATGAGATTATTGGACCCCTTCCTTTTGAAAAATCGGAAGTGGAAAGTTTGGAGCCGTGCTAAACTACACAGCGAATGGCAAGTTATTCAAGGTCGTTCTTTACACCCTTCGAATCGCAAACAGGGTCCCTCTGAGCAGTCTGGTTGTACTCCAACGACCTGAGAGGTTTCACATCCTGGCAGAGCTTGTTGTTCAATCACACTTTCGAGAATGTTGAAAGTGGAGAATGTCTTGTTCCATCATTAGCAAGGGGCTCTGGCAGACTTTCGTGCACGTGTCTCCTCCATGTTCTGGAAGCAGAAAGCGGCTAGACTCTTTGTTTTGAGACGAGTTCAATCTATGTGAAGCTCTCTTTTCAACCCTGATCGGGTGTTATCGTTGTTGAAGGTACTTTTGCTGATGGCGACAGCTGTCTCCACGTCAATACCGGGGAGTACCCTCGCTGCCGAGGCGCAAAGCATCCGCGATCGGCAACGGCGGATTGCTGAAATCACGGAGATGATACATGTGAGTTTCGAGGCGTTTTGAGTTTCTATCGAGTGGCGGAGTCGCCAGTGGAAGGTTTGCCGATCTTGCTTGTACTACATGGTAGGAAGATACGTTATTATGTTTGAAATTAGAACGAATCCCTGCAGAGCTGCTCGAACCGCTTAAGCCATAAGGTCTACTGCGAAGGAGCATCTTCCAGTGGATGTTTCTTCCCTGGCTTTCCTCGTCCGAGTCTTCGTTAGGTGCAGCAAATGACAATACTTCGCTCATTAAGGCTGCTCTTATTCAATTCTCTCCGTTCACCATCTGCCTAGCTACTTCGATTTGTCCGGACAAGTTTCAATTGCCCTTGGAACGCTGTCTACTCCGAGTTTGAAAGTGTTACTTTTTTGACTTGCTTCAGAGTGTCTGACAGCATTCCAGTTGATCTGATTGCTTCGCTTATAGTCGTTTGACGCTATAGATTGTTTGACAACATCCTAGTTGATCTGATTGCTTCGCTTCAGAGTTGTTGACGCTCATCATAGGACGGAACCCAAAGCAACGGCCTGCGGTTCCCCTCAACCGCTTCAAGCGGCGAACTCGTCACACTCTCATTGCTTGGATACCTTGTCTTTCTTGTGAAACAACTGTGAATCTTCCGTCAAGCAATCAACAATTATCCCCGTTTACCCCTTCAGGTGGCGAGTTTGTTGCACGATGATGTTCTGGACTCTTCCGACACGCGACGGGGCATCAGCTCGCTGAACTTTCTGATGGGGAACAAGCTGGCGGTTCTGGCTGGGGACTTTCTGCTCGCGCGTGCGTCCGTAGCGTTGGCATCCTTGCGAAACGTTGAGGTGAGGGCGTCAAACCCTTGGTTCTCGTTTCTTGCGGACTTTCCTTGACGATATGGTCGATCGTTGGTGTCTTGGTCCCCCGTTTCCAAGTGCGACGTTGCAGTGTTCCTAGGGCCGAAGATGACAAGAGACGTTTTCTGTCGTGCCTGTTTTGATGTGTTTCGTCTCATCGAGCCGCTTCCAAAGGTCTGCTGTTAGAGGTTGGACTGGAACGAAAGCAATTGGAGACATAGAAAGCACGATGCCTACGACCAAGAAGTCGCCGAGTCTCTTCGTAAAGCGGAGGCTAAAGGTCAGCAGAGGAGGGCCGATCAAAGGCCCTTGCTATTTTCAAGTAGTTGCCTTCTGTCTCGCAGATATTGGAGCATCTGGTTTCGCCCAGATCACAAACACGATGAGGATGCGAAGCCAACCTTTGCTACCCAAAAACCGACTTCCATTGAAAGCTTGCGAATGTGCTTACTAGGTGTGTGAGGTGCTGCCGGCAGCATGTGGTGGTGGGCGGGACCATAGATTTCTGCGAGTTTAAAATTCCTAGCTTCCGAAACCAAAATCCTAGCTTCCGAAACCTTGACCCCTTCACACTGATGGAGCCGCTGTTGCACGCGCTGGAGCGCCCACGGTCGATCACTACATCAAGAAGACCGTGCATCCCGTAAGTAAAGAGTAAACTTGTCAATATCCCTCAGATTGCCTGTTATAACGTCCTTAACCCCATCTGAACCCCTATCATAACCCGTTCCAGGTGATTGAGTTGCTGTCGCGCGTGCTGGAGCACCTGGTGTCGGGCGAGATCATGCAGATGACGGGCGAGCCGGAGGCGCGCTGCAGCTTCGACTACTACATCAAGAAGACGTACAACAAGACGGCCAGCCTCATCGCCAACAGCTGCAAGTCGGTCGCGATCCTCGGGGGCCAGCCGCCGGACGTTGCGGGGCTTGCGTACGACTACGGACGACATTTGGTGAGAACAATATAGCTCTTGCGTTTCTAGTTTCGAATCTTTGGAAAAGGTTTGGTCAGGTCAAGGTTACCGACAATTGCAAGTCGGTCGTTATCATTGGGGCCCAACCGCTGGATGCGCAGAGGTGCCGCACGACTACGGACGGCTCTTGGTAGAAAACCGGCTTTCGGATGTCGGTTCTGATTACAGAATAAACGCTGAAGTAATATCACCTGAGGGGTGAGAATCTACATGTGGTATTCGGTCACCGAAGTTCATTACAAGAACGTAAGTCGGTTGCAAATGTTTGGGGCCAGGAGGTCCATCTCAAGGTTGCCTAGGTTCGTCGACTGGCCCAGCGGTGCGATTCTTTTCTCCGTCAACACACAACATTAAGCCAGCCAATCAGTGATCCACATCTCCAGCTGTCGACCAATATTTCAACGCGGAAATCGGCTTCCTAAACGCAGATCTCCTCTCGAGTTGTAGGGACTGGCGTTTCAGATCGTGGACGACCTTCTCGACTTCGTGGGCACCAGCCTGGTGTTGGGCAAGCCGGCACTGGCCGACTTAAATCAGGTAAGCTCGTTGAGACAGCCTTACTTCAGCGCGCGTGCGCCAAAGTCAGGCTTTCCGCACGTTATCTTTCCGATCCTACCTTTTTTTCTGATCGTACGGGTTTGCGCTGGAGCAGCATTCCACTTCGGCGTCGATCCCTGGGGAACTTCTCGAACAAGTCGAGTTCGGTTTTGCTGCTGAAAGCTTCGAGTGCTTGTCAAGACTAGAGCCATGAGAGCGGCACGCTAGCTTGCGGCATTCCTTATGCACTTATGCACTTATGAACACCACTTAGACAGCATCTTCGTTTACCTCTACTTCCGTAATGAGCCGGCTGCTTAGGAAGCCGTTAGGACTAGTCCCTGCCCTGTTCGACTTCGCGTTTCTATAGGAGGAGCTTAGAGGATGTAGTGCATTCGTGTTTTTCTGTCGGACCGGATCCACTCTGCATCATCGACCAACCTTGCTTGGGGGCCTCACGCTTGGGGCAGACGCCCGGAGAAGTTGCTGTCAAGTTGCCTGAGCCAGACTTCAGGACGTGGTCGATGCCGTCAAGATGCTTGACCTGACAAGTGACGTTATCGCCGGTTTTTGGCAGGGCATTGCAACGGCGCCGGTGCTGTTTGCGGCCGAGGAGTTCCCTATGATGGAAGACCTGATAAAGCGGAAGTTCGCTCGGAGCGGCGATGTTGAGCAGGTGAGCCAGGAAACTCTACGAAGCTTGAAACATTGAAATCTGCTGCGACGCGAAAACGAGGAACGATGGGCAGCACCCGGCAGCTGCCGGGTTCCAACATGCGGTAAATGCGAGACTTGTTTACGGAATTCTCAAACGGTTTCATAAACGAGGAGTTTGCAGCAGGTCTTTGTCCCCTACCTTCGTGCATTCGCTGCTTAGAGCTCAGATTAGCGCCTCACTGGCCACTCGTACTCCTAAGCTCACCCACGCAAGCACGAACGCTTTCTCAATGATGGATATGTTCAAGCTCTGTGCCGCTGCAATAATTCATACAGCACTTCGAAAAGGCTGCGTCAGATCACCTCATGTCCTGATTGTTGCGACTTTAATTGCAAGAATCAGAATACATTTTTGTCCTGTCAAGGCGGCCCAATTTTGTCACTCACGCTAATTTTCGGCCCGTGCATCTTGGGCTAGAAGGAGATTGCAATTAATGGTGCGCCGTAGGGCTTGACTACTTTCATACGATCGTGCAGGCTCTTCAATGGGTACAACAAAGCAAGGGCTTGGAGCGGGCTCGAGAGCTGGCTGCGTATCACGCTTCGCAGGCAGTGCTGGCCATCGAAAGGCTTCCTCCTCCAGAGTCACAAGGGGCCGCACAAAGTCGACGAGCCCTCGTTGACCTCACACAACGGGTACTGACACGGAAAAAGTGAAGCAGAAGTGGGCACGTGCGAGCGGAAGCTTATGTTTGGATGCACGCTCACAGTCAAGGTAACGGAGACAGTTGGGCGGGGTTACGCATCAGCTTATTTTTGCCTTATTAGGTAAGTATTACAATCTGGTGGTTTATCCAGTTCATTGTATAGCTTCAGCTTTAAGCCTGCGCTTCTTGCCAAGAAAAGCTACTTGTGCGGCGGGCGGCGGGCTTGGCGGCTTGCGGATGTTCTCATGGTTGCACGGCATTCCTGGTATAGTGCATTCTGATTTGGCATGTGCATCTGCGCCAGGGCTGCCGCGAGAACAGTTTCTTTCTAAGTTTGGAACTTCGGAAGAAAGAGGCGGCTGGCCAGCAGCGCAAGATGGTACTCATGGTCTGGCAAACTCACCTGAAGCATCCCAACAAAAGGTGTTTCCACGATATGTATGCCCAGACATGCATCATGTCACTTGGCCGGCATGGCCGACGCCCGGCCGCGTTGCGACAGTACAATCTCCCTGCACGCGGCAGTTACATGCAGATTGGCCGCGGGCGGCATGCAGTGCAGTGTCGGACCCGTGTGCACTGCGGCAGTCTTGACAGTGATCCGATCTTGCCATGTCCCAGAGCTAGATCCCTTCACGAGCGCGGGGCATGTTGCAACTTGCAACAGAGCATGATTAAGAATTCGAATGATGTTCCGTGGCGTCTAGATCTAGGCTCCGTTTATGCAAGTTCTGTTGTATCATGCATTAAAGTATCATTGTCGCCGCACCCGCACTAGCTCGCTGCGTGCGGGCGGCCCTCTACTTGTGCATGTAATCGCTATCGCGGTCCGACCGATATCAGGCTCGTGACGCGGGCACGGGGTATACTATGTTGAACAGCCTTCGTCCACCAGGGCCTCCGATGAGTCCTTCACTGCGCAATGGCTTGTAAATAGGTAGTTTGCGCAGCCCGGCGGCCGGCCCGGCGCGCCTATGTGCGCGAGCTCAGGCCAGGCCCGCGGCCGGGCCGCCCGCCCGGGTCGGACGCGGCCGCCCGGCCCACTAGCCGGCCGCCGCACGGCCGACGGAAACCCCGGCGCCAGGGCGGGGCGCCGATGTGCGTTCAGTTGCATTTTTCTGCTCAAGCCTGACGCTCATGACTTCTGCCCAGGACCACGCGTTTAAAACCCGTTTCAAAACGTCCCAGCTTAGCTTGCGTGGTCAAAAAAGCCATCTTGAAGGTCCGTTGAACTTAGCTGGACCAGATCTGCTGCAGTTCATCATGCAGCTCCGACGGGCTGCAGGAGAAACAGAAAAGTGACGTCAGTGTTCTGACCCTCAATCTAGCTGCAGCAAACAAAACGCCCTGAGTTGCGGCAACGAGACAGGAATGAACAAGGAAGGAGCCGCTTGCAGGGAGCAGGCTGAGGTTGCTGTGGCCCTTACAGATAGCGTGTCAGAGACGTGTAGCCCCAGAAAGGGGACACCAATATGCACTACCCCAGCTTGAAGCCTTGAAGCTGGCCCCTTGAAGAGAAAGCAACAACTTTGTAGCTAAAGAGGTGTCATGTCGTGGGCGGACGTGGACGTCTTTCTGTGCCAAAGACATTGGCTCCAACCAAGCAACATTGCCGCGTTGCTAGGGCGGCTGGAGACATTTGTGGCCGTAAATGAGGATCCAGGGCGGAGCCCTTATTACAAAAACCAGGTGAGCTGGCTTCATGAGTGGAAAGTAGAGGGCATGAGGACATATATAGTAAAGCTCACCAGGATTTTTAAACATGTATACGGCTGCCCTTCATGAACGGCTGCCAAGAGTACAAAGCGGGACACTAGATACTCCGCTTAATCAGGGGTGGCATCTTGCACCACCATTTCAAACACTCAGCCTCACAGGTTCAGGCTCATGATGATGACGAGTAAATCTGGGGCGTAGCTGCGGTGTGAAGCTAGGCACTAATGAGATCAAAATGACAGTCTAAACATTCAAGGGGATCTCACAAGTCGCTGGCCTTGGGCAGCGAATCCTTTTGCCATGCTCTTTTTCAGATAGATAATCTTAGAAACGAGGAGACTACCTGAGTCTCGATCATGCAGCCAGGAAGGTGCTCAGAGCATGCAATCATCCTTTGCACTGAGCCCGCACTGATGCTAAATCTATTTTTGACCAGCTCTCCTAGAATTGCTGCTCGTAGCTCACTAATGATCTTATTAACGTAACTCTTACAGCATCCGCTTGATAGTCTCGTGAACGACTCGGACCTCAAGCTTCGCTTATTATATTTGCGCCGGAAGCCTCAACCTGTTCCAGATCCATCCCTCAGCTTTGTAGCTGAATCGCAATTCTTTAGAATGCCCCGACGCTTGACCGCTCAAAATCGTATCCTTTGAAATCCATACCATCAGCAGCACCGAGTGAAGTCTTGCAACCTGAGCAAGCTCAACGAGATCTGCCCGCAATCCTCTGACACCAGATCTGCACATTCTTACAGCATGCTGACTCGCTCGACCGCCTGGTGTCGCTTCTCAAGGACCCGGGCATCGAGCAGCACCCGGGGCTGGCACTCGCAGCGCTGAAAGCGCTCAAAATACTCTCCCGAAAGACGTGTAATCACTCGGGTATGCGACGGGATGAGAAAAAGGACGGCAACGCGATTCAAGCCGTCCTCCGCTTTCTGCAGGTACGTAGACCCTTATGTTTTAACGGGAGTGCGGAAGTAAAAGTTTGCTTCAAAGTTCAACATCGGCGTGCACACGCAGGCTGGTGCATTAAGGGAGCAGTTCGCCAATGTAGGACATGACTTTTCTCACCTCGTTGATTGAAAAACCATCTGTGAAGACCTTGTCGCAGTTGCTTCCTTCCAATCTCACCCCCTCTACTTTCCCACCAGACAAAAGGCACCAAAATCGTGAAGCCCGGAACAGATGCTTGCCCGTCTCTTTCCAGTCTACCTACGGTTTTCGTTGAAAGTAACGTGCTTCGGCTTCTGATCAGTGCGTTTAGACGCCTTATCAGGAATATCTCAGAATCTTGTGTCGTGAGCACAGCCATGAAATGGAAGAATGCCGTTGGTCGCAATGATGATTTCCTTGGGAAAAACTCAAGCCTTCATCTGTGCAGGCTCCTGGGAAAGTAGACGAGAGCATCGCGGCGGAGGCTGCAAACGTCCTTATGAATCCCTGCTTCGAAAAGGAGAACGTGGAGGTAGTGCTCCTGAACGAGGGCTGCATTCCACCAATGGTGAGCGTCGGCCAAACTTGCCGACGTTTTGTCACCTTCAACTTGAAAGGCCCTTGGCAGTCAAAGCTCCTTTGCTTTTGAAACTTCGCAGGGTTTGTCTTACCTTCATGAGTAGGGAGCTGGTAACTTCCTGCGAAGAGAACATGCGAAGCTCGAAGTGCGTTTGGGGCTCGGTTTTATTTCAGATGGCTCTGATAATTAACTGCTTATTTTGCGTCACCCTGACGTAAGAGCGCGCTCAAGTGCAAAATCAAAGCCTCAAGAAACGTCACTGCTCTTTCTGTTACTGTAGACCTGAGCCTGACACACCCATGACGTCACCGTGGGCATCTGCTGGCGCCAACGTCGTCGCTGACGTCATCTTTGCAATCACTCTATTCTGCATCAGCATCACTAGCTAGTGCCCTGCCATCCTGCCAGGGTGACGTTTGACGGCTCGCTAACGTGACGTGTCGTGACGCATGCTTTGTAACGCCTTGCCGTCTTCCAAGGAAACACGCAGTGCCTTAACTGTGCTGTCAACCTGCTCAAGACATACTTTGAACGAGATCTGGGTCTGCCTATCTAAGCATTCAAGAAACTCGACGTTGATGCGGCGGATACCGGGCCATTAATGTCAGCCTTCTTAGAAGGTTCACGCCTTCTATGCGTAGGAGCCTTCGCTTCCAGACGCAGAGCCCTTGTTGGCGACCTTACTCAAAGACTTACCCACATGAAGCTGCCCCTTCCGGTCGCCACCTTTGGGTGCCTTCGACAAGGGGACAAACGTTGTGTCCGGCGACCCTCGCGCCAATATAAGCTGCAGGCTCGTTAAAGCTCGTCACCATAACCGTCCATGCCAGCGTCTTCTTGGGCGACTCCCGTGAGGTTTGGCGACCCGCTGAACCCGTTGCGAGTTTCTGCAGGTCGCCTTCTTGGGCGCGGCGGACGAGAACCTCCAGGCAAACGTGGCCGGCGTGCTGCAGAGCGTGTGATTCCCGAAAGACGGCTGTGGGCGACGCGTCGTGCGGGACGCAGAAGCGATTCCACCTCTAGTCGCTCTGTTGGCGTCTGAAAGCCTGAAGGTAAGGGTTGACAGGCTGCATTCACTTGGAATTCACTTGTCTGAGGCGGACACTTTCTGAGAGGCCGAGTCACGCCAGAGCCTTTTTGATTGAAACGGAGGCTCAGGAGAGATTTTAAGCGGACGTATTGAGCGGGATACATGAGAACGATATATGTTCGCGGTTTTCTTCGCGGTTTCGAACAGCCAAGCGGTGGAATAATCCTGCAGCAAGCAATAGATGTAGGTGAGGGAGTCTACCTTCGACCAAGTCCAGATCCGCGGAGATTTGAAAGGCTGGTGGTCCCGAAGAAGCATCAGTTTTGAAGAATCCATTAGCACTTTGAAAGCGCATCTGGACGCATTGCAAACGGAGGATATTTGGCCGCTGCACCGATATACAGAAGGCCACACGTGTACCATTCTTGCGTCTCGAGTACTGGAAGGAGCAGCCCCTCCTATAGCTGGGAAAGTTAACAAAAACGCATGCATTTTTCTATACAGTGCAGCTTTTGGAAAAGTGGAGCGCGGTGTGAGGCGTTACGAAGTCTTCCTAGGGAGATGACAACTGTCACGCGCGCGCATGCGCCTTGGCAATTTTCCTGAAAGGTGTCTAACACAGTGGCAAAGCCCCAAATAATTTCCTTGCATCCCTAATTGGGCAACCGAGAGAGAGGAACAATAAAATGCTTGGATTGCCCTCCTTAGATCACCGTTCTGGACGGAGCTTTCTGCACTGACTTGGTGCAATCTCTCACATCAATGCTTGCCGTTTTCAGGTCCGGACAGGTGCCTTGGGCGCCCTTCACAACATTAGCAGCGACCCATGCTCTACCGGCATTATCCGCCGGAAGAACGGGATTCCGCCCATTATGAAGCTCCTCCGAAGGTGTGCTATGGCTCATCTCACTTTGTGGTGAAATGGTCCTTGAGCAGTTGCACTTGTTAGAGGCCAGCTTGCAGCGCTTTCTCCTTACGCCTTTGCTTGGGGTTTTCCGCTCAATGGGCCTACCAACTAGATTACCGAGCTTTCTTCAAAACTGGTCCCGTCAAGCTGGGCTTTGTTTCCCCGGGCCCTGCTGTTACTTGAGGTAGACGTCCGAGACGGTCGTCATTTAGCGGCAGAGGGATGCATTCCAGATCGATCTATGTTCAGCGATCTTTGCATTTGCGCAACCTCTCGATGTTGCAGGTCTTACTTAGCGCTCTTTCAAGTATCAGGAGCGTCTTTAGCAAAGTGGGCTCCTCTCACGGCCTGTTTGCATGTGCACCTATCTGTTCACCAGAACTAGTAAGAGGAAGCATGAAACAAAGGAGCACTTGGAGAACAAATGTGACAGCGTTTTGCTACTTGCAGCCTGTGCTCGTGCTGCTTGCGGGCGAGGAAAAAGGGACATAAGCAGCTGCCCCGGAATTAAAGTTCGTTAACTTCAAGCGTTTGTGTTCCGAGTTAAGGTCACTCAGAGCCCTTAGGACGGCCAACCCAGTGTTGAAGTCTAAACCCAATTTTACCCATCTTTGCAGCCCGCAGGCTGCGATCGCCCAGTCCGCGGCCGGGGCACTGCAGAACGTCAGCCGAGAGGGGGAGAGCCGGCGAGTGATTCGGCGTGACAATGACGCCGTGGTGGCGCTCTTTGACATGCTGGTCGACGGAAAGGAAGTGCGAACCCAGGTACTTTGGGACAGAGCCTACTCCCGAGCTTACTTCGGATGTCTTCTACGTATCAGCGCTGGTTTTCTCTCCTGTACTCACGTATGGGATGCTTGGCATTTCGGTGAGCTTTGCTTCCTCAAAGCTCTTCTTTGCTTCGCGCACACGCAATCGATCTATGATGTGGTAATTAATTTACGCTGTGCTAGTACGCTTTCATAGTTTACAGCGAGAAGTCAGGTTCACAACAACTTCTTCGAGGAAGTCTTTCAAATACTCGAATCGACAAACTGATTCCGTCTTCGTAAATGCAGCCGCATGATCTGGACTCTGCAAAGTAATGGTTACGGGCTGATCCGATCGCTCAAGCAACGCCACTCTTTCGTATCACGGACAGCGCACCGCGGATTTAACGCACTGTACTCTCGGAATGAAGTTACGGTCCTATGTTTCTGTGGTCCAGGTGTCTGCCGTGGGCGCACTTATGAACATTCTTGGACCAGAGTTGGCGGAGAAAGGTAAGAGTAGCAAGGAGGAAAAGGCGGACCGTAAAGGCTTTGCGCGTATCATAACCAGTTGCCTAGTGATGGGCATGGCATACGACGGCTTTTTTGGCGCGGGGGGTGCCGCGGCGTCAGTTCGGTGACACGAGGACAGACCTGACGGCCTAGAATCGTATAGCATGTGGACGGCAACGTCTACGGCCAATCATGTGTCGTTGCGCCGGGCCATTGAACCGAACAGATGTTCATCAGTCACGAGATTCCAGAAATAGCTTGTAGAACTGCATCAAGTCTCTAGGTCAGTAAAGAACGTGCCAACTATTAAGTTTAAGCTAGTAGAGCACGCGCTTGAAATCTGGACCAAATTTCTGAGCCTCATTCTAAGAGCGTAGTGCTCCAGCCAATCCAGACAAGACCGGACTAGAAGGAGATCTTCGTGCACAGCTCCACTGAGGACGTAGAGCAGAGTCATTTGCAGACGGATCAAGCGGTTGCAGACACTCTCAATCAGTTACAGTTTGAGTAGAGCCAGGCAATGTCAAATATCTCCTGACTCCTGCATCGGGGCCGAAACGTGATCGTCAATGAGGGCCGCCGTGTGTACCAGGCAAAGAGGTTGACGTATGCATCACGAGGTTTGTTGTTTATTGTGTCATTGCCAGTGGTCATCTGCATTCTGGCAGCCCGGATATCTTAGTCTTAGCACATGCAAGGACGGATGAATGTTTGCGATTGAACATCATCTGACTGGTCATTTGACTGCTGATCTGAACCAAGCGCCCAGACCCGCGGGCCGTGCGCGGGCCTCTTTGCAAGAATTAAGGTTCACCGAGTATCAAGTGCAATGAGTGAACGGGCTGTTTTCCTCGTGAATTTTGGATTAAAGACTCCCCCGCGACTCAAAATCTTCGCGAATGCTGATCGACGGACCTGAGTGAAGGAACTGATCAAGAAGGCGAGTAGGAGATAACTGGGTGCCAGATACAGCTCCAGGACGTCTTTAATAAATAAGATCACTGGCTGATGTTTTTTGAGTTTAAAGATCTGTTCCAGATTTAGCACCGCATGCGCGCACCTTTCATGCTGGCGCCCTGTCAGGATCAGATGGGGGGGGGATCGATATAATGACTCAGTCCTTTTTTGAGTAGAAGACGCCACCGAAATCCGCAGTAGCCGGGTTACCGAGTCCCGCTGATCGCGCGACGCAGACCCATCGGCAACAAAAGCTCAAGTCACGCTGCCATGTCACAAGATCGTTGCTATACCCACCAACTTGACGATTCAGTGCAATCACGCGCGGAACTAGTGAGCTGCGCAGCGCACGCCAAGATTCATCCCTGGCAAACAATGATCGATACATTTATGTATGTCATGATGATCTGGAATTCGTCTAGAATTCTAGAATCTAAGTTTAATGGTAGGTGCTGCCGCATTGACACGTGGCCACGTGGTGCCATGAGGCTCCTCTGGCACGACTCTGTCAACTTTAGCTGACAACATCTCATCTGCAGCACCGGTCAACCGGTAAGAGTGCTGCGAAGCTAAGCCGCACAGCCCCCCCACAGATAAAGTTCAAAGCTCAATGAGTCAATCACCTGTACGGTAGGTCTATCATCTAGGTAGGTATGTACCTATCCCAGGTAATACCTATGTGAGGCTATGGTATCCGGTCGGCGGTCGTAGTATCCGAGGACCGTTGCTTGGCGCGGCCGCGCACAATGGTAGCGGCAACGCTTGCCACTGCCATCCAGATTCCACAGCTTGTGCAATGTGCCAATGTGCGTGATCGCATTCGGAAATGCTGAGTCCTTGCCGGCGGCCCCCATCATACCGGTAGTAGATACTAGACACCTGCCATCCTGGTACGGCACCCGACTACGGTACAAGCCTTGGTACGATTGATTTATCGACATCTTTGCCATACTTAATATACCAATCATATCAATAAACGCCACACACGGCTGGCGCTGCGCTGGCAGTAGCTCGAGCAGCCACCTGGCACTCAAATAGGATTTATTGATTGTGATGAATGTTACGGTTACTGGTCAGTGGTAACTCTTGAAAATGTACTGTGTGCTCTGTGGTGACTTGAAGCGGCCTGTGACTTCCGGTAAGATTCATGTACCGTACCGCCAAGGGAAATCGCCTGAAAATAAATATTTTGGGGTCGGTGCGAAAAGTTAGAAAGTAAATGGGACACTAACTGCGAAAAGGCGAAACTAAAGAATTACCTCAAAATGGCGAAAAGTCCTGTTTTGAAAGGCAGAAAAAGCAAAAAAATCCTTTGTGCGAAATGTAAAATAAATTCTCAACGCAACGGGTGAAACCTCAAAACGAACGAAATTAACTTTTCGCACCAAAAGGTGGCGAATTCCCTTGGCGGTACGGTACCCCGACCAATCAAACAGGAATCAAACTGAAAACCCCAACCTTAATAATCACGCACTCCGCACCCCAACCCACCCTAACCACCAGACTAACCCCACCTGTCCCCCGGGTGTCACACGGCCGTTAGGTACCATAGGTCCAGAGTGATTGTCAGGGTACCTATCCGGACTTGTTGTAGGTACTAGGTTTGTACCGTCTCTATCATACATGTGCATTGTGGAGTCTGGACTCTGGGCCTCTGGAGTCTGGACTCTGGAGGCGGACGGACACCGCAAAATTGCTCAGTGCTGAGTGTACATACCGGTACATACAGCCCTGCAGTACGTAGCTAGTGCGCAGTGTGCACTTTTGAGGTTGGAAATTGTGGGGTCGTACCGGCGGAGCAATGATGATGACGTAAAGCAAGGGTTTAATTGAAGATGCGAGTCTGCCAGCTGGTGCCGTACCGTTTAATACAGACCCGAAATATGTGGTTCTGATGCAGTCGACGGGCAGTCGACATACCTATCACAGGCTGTGGGCGGAATCGGGCGTACCGGTAGAAGTTGGCCCCTGGGCAGTGGGTAGGTACCTACAAGGTAGGTACGGTAGCTAGTCCTAGTATCCTAGAGGCTAGTAGCCTCAATGCAACGCTCAAGCCTCAGCCCCGCTCCGACTCCCGAGTCATGATAGGTACGTGTTGCTGCTTGTGGTTCTGATGCATTTGGCCATTTAGCATAGCTAATCATGGTGTGCACTGTGGGCATCTCGCTGCTTCGGGTCTCAAAAGACGACACGTACCTAAAGTTCCTAGCACGGTTCCAGGTGCGGTCTGCGCTCACGAGTCAGAGGTCAAATTCAACGTCATCTCGGTCACAGGTACCCCTACGTGCATTACATCACCCTAATATATATGGGTACGTAGGTAGTACAAGGGCCCATGAGGGGCCCTCATCGGCCACGGGCCGACGTCAGCTCAGTCATCCACGCCACAAAATCCGCACGTTGTGACGTGGCCGCTTCGAATGATGCGCATTTCCACATGACGCTCAATGAGTGCCAGGCTGACTAGGTACACTGATAGCGAGACTTGGAGTTTAACCTACTGACTGCAGCTGTGGCCTTGCATTGCTGGGATTCCGGAATCCGAACCCATCAGTCGACCAGTTCATCAAGAGGGCCTATAAAAGGCATTGCCAACAGGCAGAGAGCATCATTCATCACATTCTCTTTCGCTCACTTCGCTTCTCTCTCAGTTCTCCAGCTTTTGCCAACGCGCCACCAAACGAGGACTCCTCCCTCCAACTTGCCTTCGTCCGTCTGCCTCCTTAAAAACAGTAAGGTGAGTCAGCCAGTCCCCCACTCAGCTGGCATCGTCGCCTTTCTGGTTCTCCACTTTGCTCTGCGCCATTAGAAGGGTTGCGCCGATTGGTTTGGACGTGATTGCGAGGAGAGCCTCTCTCTAGGCTTTTGCTTTGTGTCAAGCAGAGAGTGCATTGGTGCGCTAATGATGCCCCACTCTGTGAGTCTGGCTTTGTCAATAAAGGAAACTTTACTCTGATAGGAGGATAAAGCATTCTGCGGGAGCTCATGTTTATTTGCTGTTAACGCTCGTTGACTATTCTGCACAGATTGAGTCAGAAACTGATCTGCTTCTGCATAGATTCGAAGTGGGTGGTACTAGTCTGGGCGGTTCTTGAATCTATACAGTTGTCGCCAAGGCCACCTTACTTAACCCACCAACTTAAAGCTAGCTCTTCTATTTGAACCTGCCAGAGTCCTGCAGAGCGGTATCTGGTTGTTTCCCATAGGTCGTTTGAAGAGTGCTCTTCTGATAACTGTAATGTCCTGGGACCCTTACCAGATGTTTTAAGCACCAAAGCTGGACTGCGCACGGCTCTTAAGTTAGGTCTTGGTAGCACCTCAGTTAGCCACCAACTTGCAGAGAACCATTTGGGTCACTTCAGCTCTGCTTTTCCGGGGCTTCCGATCTAAACCCAATCCAGGAAAACAAGACATGAAGGAGCTGAGCTCTAGCTTTCTCTCTTGACCAACTGTGCTTTCTCTTGACAGCTGTCCTTCTTTGATTCCCCTGCAGATGGCCCGCTCCCTGCTCGCCCTGACTGCCCTCTTGGCCCTCGCCAGCTGCATCGCCACCTCCGAGGCGCAAACGATCACTGCACCCACGGTCGTTGGCTGGCTCAAGAACATCACCACACAGTCGCCGCAGCAGCTGCAGTCCAGTGCGAACCAGATTACCTTGCTCAGCGGCCCTCTGATCATCATTGGCCAGGGCCCCTTCCCTCCGATTATTAGGGGCTTCACCAGCATCGTGACGACCGGCACTAGCGCCAATGCGAGTATGCAGTTCTCTACGCTTCTTGCTTGCTTGGTGTGCCTGAGAAACCAACCAGAAGGGCCGCCTTTCCAGCCCTTGTGAAGGCTTGGCCTGGCAAGGCTTATGACCTTGTGTCTTTGAAATCAATCGCTTGCGTCTGCGTGTACGGTTGTTGCCTTTGACACTCACGTTCCCTCACTTCCAGTCATTCGACCATATTGAGGCCTGAGTTGAATGAAAGCCTTGTTGGGAGGTGAGTCTGAAGCAGGACCGAAAAGTTGTGACGTCACTTCTTATGCTGTGGTTGCAAACTGGACGAGCCTCAACAAATGTTGAAGCATTTGAGCTAGGCTACTTGCAGCACACATCTACTGTGCAAGACTCTTGGATCGAACTCGCGTTCTTCGCGTTACACCGGCCAGGGGTTAGAGGACATTCCAAGGGTCGCAAACCTTTCTGTTTTCTGCTTGCCCTTTAGCGTCTTTGTTGGGTCGACCAATACCGAACCATGCACTCGAGGCGCTTTGGTTAACCCCTCGACCTCATAATCTACTTTGCCAATCTGCAGACACAGCTTTAGTACCCGACAACCCAGTTCCACTAACCGCCCCGCCTCTTTCCGCTGCGCAGACCTAGCTCAACGGCGGCACCGTGGGCCCTTTCTCCCCTGCCGACCAGACGGCCATCTTCAATGCGTTCCGCACCTTCGTCACAGTCCACCAGCAGCTGCTCAACATCCTCATCGGCAAATCCGGCCTCTTCCAAACTGCGCCCTTCATTGGGCAGCCCATCTCTCAGGTGCTCCGCAGCATCGAGTCTATTGTCGACGCGCTCGCGTTCAATCTGATCGACGCGTGCCAGGCCAGGGCGGCGGACCTGACCTCTGAGAAGGACAAGCTGAAGGTAACCATCCAACTCGTCATCACCAAGTACGATGGTATCAGCGTGGCCGGCGTCCAGCCCGGCGGCCGGAAGCTGCTGAGCGTGGCGGCATAAAAGCGTGCCGTTTCTAGTTTGCCAGGCTTTACAAACTTCAGGTAATAGAGGGTGAAGTAGTAGTAAAGAGTTCGTACGCATGGTCTGTAAGTTCCGTGCGAGGAAAAGCTTGCAGCTGAAAGAAAGCGAGCCTGTCAAATTCACAATGCAGTTAGAACCAGTGGGGACTGTGGAAATGTCGAAGTTGCGAATGTAAAGGCTGGGTGTGAGGCACAGAGACTAAACGCTATTGCAAGAAATAAAATTACATGTGGCGCGTAGGACTCGTGCAATTTTGATTACTGCCTGACCGCTACTTAGGTTACTTTGCTCGCAGCTGCAACTGAACTCAGTAAAGTCGAACTTTGCGTCGTGAAACTTTTGAAAAAGAACAACTCTGAAGTACAGTGAAGTATTCAAAGTAGAACGCGCACCTTTCTGGCAGACATTAAATAAATAGCATGCATCTCGCTGTCCCATTTTATGAGACAATCTCGATCATTGTCAAAGGCTTACTAAGTCTTACTAAGTTAACTCCATAGTCTCCAATCTACCGGACATGCCTACTCAACTAAGCGTATTTCATTTATGCTAAGGCCATGGAATATGTTTCAGATCTTTCCAGTACTAAAAGCCAAAACGTGCACTATTCTATCCAGCTGCAACGTTCACATGTACCATGGCACTCCCATTTGATTTACTCCCAATATAGTATACTATTTCGTAGTACATCCTTTTCCTCATAACTTGGCAATAAACGGCCGGACCTAGTACTCACACAATTCGTCATTCTATTCATCAGTTCATCCGCTTCAGCTGGGCCCGATAAGTAAGTCTCGGCACTGTCACTCCTCGCAACAATGGTCACTGTAAATTCCACTTTAATGACGCTTTCAAGTTCGAATTGTACAGAGAAGAACATCGCGCCAAATCTAGCTGCATGATAACTTGATAAATTTGGTTCGTATCAACTGGATCATACTACCTACTCACGCACGTCAACAGACAATGAACCGTACAGAGTTGTAACAAAAGACAAGCCGAGCATATGTGCTGGTCAAGGATTGCATGTTAGCTTTTTATACGAGGTCAAATGTGAGCTCTACAATACGTAGACGTTTGAACCTACACGTACCCATCCAAAGACGTTCAGGCGAAAGAAAGCTCAACCCTTGAACCCGGCGCACCTCAAGTCTGTCATTCGAATCTACATTCCTCAAACGCTATATACGTTTCCGTAATTAGTTAGTACGCCTGCGAGCTACGACATCTGCTTGCAAAGCCCGCAGGCCCTGAAGAAGTTCTCGGATTCGAGTTGCGCCGCGCGGGTCCGCCGGCCTCTCGCCGCCCTCCGACGTAACGGGAATCATGATAGACTGTGTGCCAGAATGTATATATGTCCGCAAACCTAAACGGCCCGGTTTATGCAAGCGCTTGCTAGGTACAGCTGCACCTCGAGGGCTTTTGGGGGTTGAAAACTCCTCAGGTTTCAATCAAAGAAAGGCACTCTTTAGAACATCACTGCTCATATAAGCGTCAGTGAATCTTCGATGTGCGGACAGGTTAGACTCGTGTCATGCTTGGAAAAAGTACCGTCATACGTCACCGGTCGCGGGCCCCGTTTTTTAGAAGCTGCGCATGTAGTTCGTTCAGCATTTCAGCAGTTAAGCAAGCCATGGAAGCACGATTCCAAGCGGCCCCTCTTCTATCTGTTGGACAATTACTAGCCTAGTCTGATTCATACAACGCGCCGCGCACCGGTCAAGAAGACTCCTGCTTGGAGCACGCGCGCTGGCATAAGCCTTGCTCCGCGCGACTCACTTTCAGTCCTCTCGCTTTCCCTTGATCCAACACATCAAGTGCGTCGGCCTCTCATATTGGCTTGCCTCTTCCTGAAGGGAAGAGGGCATCCATACAAATCGGGGTTTTTGCCGCCGTACGGCGCCGCTCTGCGGGCCCGCCGTCGGACCTGCTTCGCTTGGCCCGTTTCGACGATAAAACTCGGCGTACGGCCTATAAATTTGTCAACATAGTTTGGCGAGATTTGTCCGACTGGGCCCGCTTGCGGCGCAGTTCGCAGCTTACGGATCGAACATTTTGGTCCGACCACTGCATGGTGCAAGTCCCGGTGTCGAGCTTCGTGCATGTTCGCGGACTTCGACGACGAAGTTTCGTGCTTGCTTGGTCGGTGGTGTTACGGCTAAACAATCCACACCGTTCAAACGAGCTTTCGACGATCGAAAGCAAAATCAGATTGTCAACCGTTGATCGGCGACATAATCAAGGAAGAGGCAAGCGTCCGCCGTCACACAGACGGCGACCCATGTAGTAATCTACACTCATCCGAATTTTCGCGTGACCGTGCATGATCCAATTCATCATAAAATGGCCGCTCACATTCATGTGTGCTTAAAGGGGGCGTCGGGGTATAAAACCCAATTTCCGCCGACCAATTTTGACATCCGGCTTGGCAAATATTGGCAACTTGAATAAAGTGGCATGCAAGCGCGCTCGCCTTGAAGTCGAACTCTGCCGTGAAGCGTGGGTTCGAATCCCAAATTTTTGACATTTCAGTCTCTTTTGCCCCGTTCTTTTTGTGCCCCTTGGCAGCTGACGCAGGGTGACGTCAATGATTAGGAACCGCGGTACTTGTCGGTATGATACCTACGGCCAGCTTCCGGTCCCTGCCTGGCGCCCCAGCTTCGGTTGGTACCGCATTTGGCTGGTCCTTGAAAGGTTCCACACCGTGTTGAAATCGAGACAGATTTCAGCCGTCCGATAGATTCAACACCAGTGTTTGCACCGTGCGATCCAAATGCACTCGTGAGTGCAGACGCCCACTTTAATCAAATTGCCGCTTGATCGGATCGAAGACTATCATTCTTTTGTTCAACTGAATCTGGATTCGCCCTACTATTACTGAACAGACTATTCTCGATGTACTTGACAGTCGAACAGGAGAAACCGCCGTTCAACGAAAGCCTTATTATCCAACGTAACGGGGGGCAGCCAGCCCACTGGATGCTGCGTCGTACTGATCCCCCTCCCGTTAAAAGCGAGGTAAATCGTCTTCCCCTTGAATGTGAAAAACAAGCTAACGTTTCCCGGCCGCTGAGGCTCGCCCAGCATCCAGATCGACCGATTGTCCGCATTGAAAACGCTCCGGGGGGGGCAGGTCGTACACCGTTTTCGACGCGTGCGCGGCCCAGCCGCCTGCCTTCTCTTTAATCGTCGAAAACCGTTAGCTCGGAGATGGACCACGTGGCGGGCGACGAGCCCGTCTGACGGATCTCCAGGCAGCGCGCGCTGGCTTGAGTTTTCAACTTGAGGTCGACGAGACCGGTGAAGGAAGCGGAGACGTTGGCGGTCCCGGTTTGGGCGGTGGCGTATGGATACGTCGCGACCAACTCCGCATACGACATGGGGCTGTGTCAACCGCTTTGACAAGAGGAATGGACATCTCTCCAAGGACATCTCTCCAAGTTAACAGCCGGCGCACGTCCGCGGACCCAAAGCAAGCAGTTGACATCTGCTAAGCAAACCCTTAGGACTTCAAGATGGTCACGAATTCGCAACTTCCGTGCATCGCGCCCTCGACGCAAAACCTCCGCCTAATAGCGCTCTACCGGACTGCTCATGTTTGCGGGCCAAGTCTAATCTCGCTTCCTCCAATCACGAGGGCAATCCAGATCGAAGTTCAGTGGACTCTGTCTCAGACCTTAAAACTGAGCAAAGACCGAAAAATACGATGCCGAGCGACACGAGGCTCGGAATCTTCGACTTCGATGCATCTAATTCACCATGCCTATCCTCAGCGCAATGCTTACGCAAGCGCAGTGCCGACAGATTTATCCACCTTCTACTTACACAAAAGGGACCAATTAGAACCTCCGTCGAGTCTCAAGCTTCGCTTTGGAATCGATACTTCCAGATTCCAACTTTTGATAGCGGCGACTCATGAATGGGCGCGGACTTTTCACTAAAGAAGGGGACAAGATGAGCGCCTCACGAAAGCGAGCGGAACGAGGCTCGGGTTTCCCCACGTGACGCAGTCCAGTAACGCGTACAGCATTGAGCCGCGGCAGTAGTCGAAGGGCCGCCGGGCAGGGTTCAAAAGCACCCGCGACGCCGTCTGTGCGGCTTTCATGTCAACCTGCGGGATGCACTGTTTCAGCTCATTCGTCACTTTCTGGGCGGGCGTTTTGGACGGGGGACGGGTCAGTACTCCGGCGACCACAGAGCAGGCGAGGCAATTTGAAGTAGTCGCTCAAGACATTTTTCAAGATGGAAGACAGCTCTTTCAGAGACTTGTCATTATTTGAGTGCAGGAGTACAAGCTCAACTACGAAGCCTGTCGAGGTTGCGTAAGAGGTTTCAAGGTCAAGGCGATGCGACTTTACGGCTTTCTCTCGTGTTTCGGAATTACAAGAGTTCTGACAGTGCTGGCGCTGATGGAAGTTCTGCAAATGCTGCAGACCCTGTTTCCGAGTCAAAGTCCATAGGCTCTAAGCTCAATAGCATCATAGGAAGGGCCTAGGAAAAAGAGGAGCCTTATGACCTGACTTGGGAGAGGAGAGCTTTCGACAGGTCGCTTCTGTGGATTAGATCTTAAAGGACCAGCTTAAAATGGCGACTACGACACCGCCCGCGGCACATTTCTCAACCACCTGCCAAGCTTCCGGGTTCCTCGAAGTGCAGCAACTACAGATAAACGGGATCGACAGAAGACGAAAGCAGAGATTGATCCGAAAGGAAGGCGTAGCTTCTTACCAGGAATCGCTGGTTCGTGTGATCCTGAATGGGCGCCACGAAGTCTGTAAAGTCTTGAGGCGCCACGTTGGTGTGATCCCGTACTGTCGCGATGAGTCGGCCCCTGGTTGAGCCGATACGCACGTCGACGTGTGCGCGCTGCGAGCTGCGAAGGAGAGGAACTCAAGATTCAGAGAACTTAACACTCTCTTGTTTAGCCTTACAGGAACCAGATCGGAAACAAAAGCTTTCAGAAAGCGCTAGCAAAATCGCGCTAGTGATGTTGTCTGCTTTAAGGGCATGCGCATCCAATATCTGTTTAGATGCGGGCGTCTCCATAACGTAACTTCAAGCGAGGAACAAAAGATGACGCGGAAAGCACTCTCTTTCCTTCAGAGTACAGCCCGGTATGTCGAATGCATAAGCAGAGCCTAAAAGGGGAGACAAGAGGTAGTATAAATGTCCGAGCTTGGCATGTACCTGTATGCGGGGATGCGTATTGAATCGATGTTGAATAGGTTCCAGTTGTCGTATCGCAGCCAGTCCCCGTCGGTGACATTGTATACTTCGGTTTCGCCCCGGATAGGGTCAGCCGTTGGCCGCTCCGAAATGTATGGGCTGCTCTGCAGAAGAAGAGTCAAAATGAAGTTAGGAGGACACGGATCGGTTCTCTTCCTTCGCTGATTCTGCGACCAGAAAAAACACAAGACCTGGAATCTATTCGACGACCTTAATGATCGCCGGAAAGTCTTTTATTGCCGATAATACCAGTAGTAAGGAATCTCCTGTCGAGAGAGCAAGATGAACTTCAAACTCTCAGGTCATCATATTTGCTCGCAATCCTCGTCAAAGTCCAAGCGGAAAACAAGAGCTGATAACGGCAAGTCGTTCATTGGCAGGCACCTTTGTGAATCAAGGGGGCATTTGGCCATTGCATACCTCGCCCTCTTCGGCTAGGAAGATCTAGGAAGCAGCAGATCCGGCTGATTGCAAACTCGCGGACAAATCCAGGAGGCTTGTTTTTCAGACCCACCTTGTCGTCGTAAATTTTCGTTTGCCATACGGACGGCATGCTCTGGGACCACCCAATGTCCGTCAGCGGCGGTGCGCCATTCAAGCCGCCGCTGCAATCAGAGTGGTTCTGAATAAAAGCCAGGAAACAGGCGCTTATCTTCGAAGGCAGTCGTTCATGGAACCTCAAATGGGGACCTCTGTTTTCGTTGAAAACGTGTTTGTGTGGGGCAGGGGCGACTAGCTGATAATACTACGGGTCTCGCGGAGCCGCAACCCCGCGAGCGGCGTTCCAAAGAGCGCAGAACTATACTGATCTTGCCAAATCCTCCTCAATGCTTTAAGCTTGAATCCTGGGAACACCCGGCTGAGCGCGCGCTAACCCCCTGCAAACCCTCCCGTAACCATCTCGGAGGACGAGCTCCATGACGTGAGCCCAACTCGAGCGGCCGCGACCCCGCGAGCGGCGAGAAGCACAGTGGACCTTTCAGTTCTGATTACCCTTGCTGAATCGCGCGCTAACCCCGTCGAAACTCTCCCAAACCCACCTGGTTCATTAGGCAAACCCGACTTCGAGCGGCGTCCCGTACACCCGGAGGGGATCCCCCAATGCTTCCCTCCTGTCTTGTGCCAGGCCCGGCCCGCCCAGGCGACTCCACCGACCACATCTTTGCTCATGAGCGGGTCTGCCCAAGAGGTCGGGGTTGTGCCCCAGGCAGGTGTAGACGGAGTAGGAGCCAAAAGGCCTGCAGCCAGCCGACAGAGTCTGTCATGTATAATTGCACCAAGGGGTCCTCACTGTTGGCAACGAAGAATTATGGCCGAAAGAGGTATGCATTTTGACCAGTCACCCCTTGGCAGAGGGATGCTACTTTGCAGATCCTTTACATTTATTGTGCAATTGTACGATCCTCCGCAGTTGGCAATCTGCGCTGCTTCGCAATGGGATAAGATGAAAGATGGTCCTGAGGAATGGTAGCAGTCGAAAGGCTGCCTCAGCTCACACAGAGGCAAAACCTGAAGTTCCTTTTCTATGGCTGGGATCTGTGGCTGGACTTTTGGCATACAACTCCCAAAGCAGACATCGCCAGCTGCTATGGTTTCTTTGCCGTTGGACTATAACGCTGGCGCTCAAAGCACTGCCTGACAATTAGAAATGAGAAGCCTTAGTGGTTCTCCCATTTCAATGAGGCCAACTAACTAGAGGGGGGGCCCTGCTCACCCGTGCGTTCAAGCGAAAGGCTGGCCGAACTCCGCTGCCCCGATGCTGTAACTAGGCACGTCCGCTGACTCAGCGCTGGGGGAGCCCAGAGTGTGCACTCCGGGTGTCAGGTCAAAAGGCAGCCAGTGCTCAGAGATGTTGCAGCGCTCTGGCAGCACCGTCGAGGCAGGTGGAACCTGCGTGTAAAAGTTCAACAAAATCATAGCCATAATAGGACATCAGTCTTGTCAGGTGTACGTGATTTTTGAAGCAAGTGTAAAGCAGATGCAGATGCACAATTTCAAAATCGCTTGCACAAGATTTCAAAACCGCTTGCACCAGATTCCCAGCTGGCTGCAATTCCAAAGCATTGCGTGCGGTCCTCCGTGATTGATTGCTGAAGCAACATGGCTAGACACAATCTGCCAGCATGCCTGAAATGGGGTATAGAGGATGCGTCAGCATAGACCACTGGTGTCAGATTGTGCCTTGAAAGATCCTCACTGGCAAAGTTGCAGCGACGCACCAGTTACGCACTCCCAACCAGAAAACTGAGCCAAATGCCCCCTTTATCCAGTTTGTGCGGCGAACAAAGAAGAAGTGGAGGACAAGGCAGCAACAGCAGAGCTAGTTTGATTAACTGGCCAACGTGAGTGATGTGGCGGCTGATAATAATGTGACCTTTTGGTGCTCATCTAGATTGGAAGTTAGCTAGACCACACCACCACCACCACCACCACCACTTTCTGAAACTAGAATGGCATGAAGCCGGACCTGTCAATCTCTTTGTAAAAAGTGGATGTTGTTCTTGCCAGCTGGCGCCAGCTGGCAAAGCGTTCACTATCAGCGTCAAGCTAGTACAGAAAGGAGCAGTTCGCCATAGTGCAGCGCAGCCAGGGATCCTGTAGCCAATGCCAATGCCATTTCAACCAGGTCTCCAATGAGACATAAGCCAGAGGCACTGCCCCATCAAGCAGATTAATATGAAATTGACCACCTACCTGTCATGCACAGGTGCAGTCCTTCTATCCTTCTATGAGCTGACTTTCATTATTCCCAGCTAGAGGTCTCCCTCCTGTCAAAGTATCCAACCAATTTCAGCCGGTCATTGTCTGCGCCGCCGAATGCGCGCCAACAAAGCTGTTGCCGCCCTGAATGTAGTGGACGAAAGTCCGCTGAAGTTTGCTGCGGAGGACATTTCCACTTGTTACCAGAAAGACCATGGTGTCGTAGGCTGCCAAACCCATTGGCTGAGCCCTGCGTTTCCAGGTTTCCAGGTGCTCAAAGCCACCTCTTTGCAGAGCTTAATTGGGGGAATCGGTCCATGCTGCTCTCCAGCTTGACCTGTGAAGAGGAGGACTCGGAGGGGAGCTGCACCAATGCATTTGGTGCAGAATAGCATCCCTAGAAAGAGAATGTACCTAAGACAAATGGTTGGGCGCTTCATCCCTGCACGGTAATTCGGTGACTGGCAGCCATCTCAGGCCCGCCAGCTTTCAACCTTCGAAGTTCGAACGTGTTCCACTGGCGCGCTTTTGATGTAGACAGGTACCGGTAGGACCTGAAGGTACTAGGTACCGTAGTACCGTCACGGTAGGTAGGAGCTATAGCTTATGGGACATGGTTGTCATGGTCAAACGGTCCGATCAGTGCCAAGTTGGATTATTCACAACAGTAAAACGGTCGGCATGTACCTACTACCTAGTAGGTAGATCAGTGTCGAAGCTTGAAGGGGCCCTCGGGCGGTGCGCCATTGGGGACCGGGCCACCGGGGTATTCTGTAGTAGCCGGCTAGATACTTAGTAAATTGTAGGTACCGGGGGGCCGCCTCGCCTCAGCCCGGGAGGTCCGGCCTGACTACTCCCGAGTCCCGACTCCCGAGTCCGAGTCCCAAGTACCGTACGTCCCTAGTACCGTACGACGACCGACAACGAGTCCGTATAGTCCGGACTCGGGGAATCGACTACCTAGGTAGTTCAAGTTTTAACTGGTTTAAAGTTGCCTGTGGAACAGGTGGCGCTCACTTGTCCGCTCGCGGCTCCACCTGTTCCACAGGCAATCATAACCAGTCGTGACTGCATTCAGTGCATTGGTCACCTACTAACGTAGCCATTCCTACCGCGCCGCGGCCTCTAGCCGGAGGCCGAGTTGTACATGTACCGTACCTGCTGTAGGCTAGAGCCTCGAATCCAATAGTACCTGTTTCTCGTGCTGTCGGAAACCATGATGATGAAGAAGTAAAAGCAGCAATGAAGTTTCATCAGCGAGTCTGCCACTGGTCACAAGCTACTCATTCCAGAAAAATAGTCGGACCTGACGGAACCCTCGACTTGATACGTGTCAGCTGCTTGTGCTTCGAAGGTTTTATAAACTAATCATCAGATGCGCATCTCGCTATCTATGGCGGCACCTGGCACTGTTGAGCCGATGCCAGCGGTGCATCATCCCCCCATCATCCCACAATTACGTACAACTGGCCCTCACATGGGCCACAGCTCGACGTCATCCAGACATGTACGTACACCGCAGTTTACGCACAAGATGACGTGGGCGGCGGGCCGCTTCGACAGAAACCAACGACACTCATTAAGTTTGTTACCGTACCGTATTTCCTGCCACGTGGTACAACGTTCATTGATCAAAATGGACTGGTACGTTGTTCACTGTGCTGCGTTGCAGACTTTACAGACTCCGGACAGTGTGCCAGGAGTCTGCTTACTAAGGTTCTGGCTCCAATAGGTATGGTCGGGAAATCAGTGGCAGCTCTAGCTCTGAAACGGCCTGTATAAAACCCGCCGTTGTCAAATTCTGAGCATCAGATTTCACACCTCTCCTTCCGCTCCCTCTTCTCTCTCGTCAGCGCTCCCGTTCTCCCAGTGCGCGCCACCAAAGCCAGGTCTCGGCCCTCTCAACAGCTCAAGTACTCCCAGTCCCGCGTCGCTTGAGTCAATAGCAAAGGTGAGTTACCAGCCGGCTTTGCGGGTTTGCTTCTACTCGCCAGCTTACAACTGTCATTGGATTCTGTCTAGGGAACAGTTGAACAGAAGGGGTCTGGTGGAGCTATCGCGGTGTGGTCGTGGGGAGACTCGGCTTCCCCATAGACTTTCTGCTTGATTGCTTGGCTCAGGAAAGATGGTGCCTTGTTTCAGCGGCAGTCGCCATTCTGCAGATTTTAATCAGTTTGTGGAGTAATTGCATCGGTTGTCTAGGCTGGTACCAGGTAGGTGCTTTGTGGGAGCTCACGTCAGGAACTATATTCACTGCATGGCTTGGCTGTTTGGAAGAGTCAGACAGGTTCTGTCGTGGTTCATGCGCTCCTAGTTACAGGCTTTAAAGTAGATGGTTTTAACTCTTGCCCAATTCACCTAAAAGGGCCCCAGGCTTAAAACTTCAGCCTTTCATTTCTGAACCTCGGACATTGAATGGATCAGTACTTCAGTCTGCCCGTCTCAGCGCGGATTGACATCCTTCCAGGCTGCTCAAATGACATTTGTCCAGAAGCTCTGTTGGTAAATTAATAAAATCTGGCCTGCATAAGGCTTGCATGGTACTTCGACCAATTTTCAACCACCATCTTTTGACCATTCATGTACCTTAGGGGCTGCAAGTCTCTGCCTCCCCGCGGTCTTGTCGAGGATGCATCAGTGGATTGAGCTCAAGCCTTCTCCCGTGCATCAAATGTCTTCCTGACAGCTGTCTTTCGCCCCTCCTCCCGCAGATGGCCCGCTCCCTCGTCGCCCTGACCGCCATCCTGGCAGTCGCCAGCTGCATCGCCAGCTCGGAAGCGGCCGCGACCGCGCCGCAGACCGTCGCATTTCTCCACAACGTCACCACACAGACCCAGCAGCTCCAGCCCACTGCAGACTCGATCACCCTGCAGACCGGGGTACTCCTCGTCATTGGCCAGGGCCCCTACCGCGATATTATCGTCGGCCTTACCAACATCATTCAAACGGAGACTGATTTCTTGGTGAGTATTTCTCGGGCTAATCGCCTGGGCTTGCATGCCGTTCGCTGCTTCACAAGCGGGAAGGGTCAGACGCCCTCGTTCTTAGTGACTCTGCATGGGCCTCTGATAGTCGTGAGAAAGTGAGTAGCTTACATACGCTCTGCTTTTGCGGGAATCTCCCAGTCTCTCACTGATCATATAGCATGTCCCCAGGGTTGACGTATGGAAGCTGAAAACGTGTTTCTGCTCTGTCCCACTGAAAAACTGGAGGTCTCTTTGAAGCCGTGTTTGTATCTTTGAGCGCTTGGGTTTGATAAAATCAATGCTTTCAGAAGTCCAATCCCCATTAAGCTCGCGTTGCATTCCTCAGTGCTGAGCTAAAACCCGGCCTCTAAGGGGCGACTTCGTTGCCAAGCGAGACATCAAGAGACGTCACATTCCATTCGCTCCTCTGAAGTCCTGTTGAACTCTAGGTACTATTTCCAGTTGCAGCCAGTTTCATGTTTCCATCCTTCAAGACATCCGTCGTTATTCACCTTTGAAGTAAGGATTAAAACAAAAAGGTGACGAAAACACTGGGAAGTTTAAGCAGATTCAGCGTTCGTGAAGGACCCTTGCGTGTTACATCTAGAACTACTGTTTGTGCAAGCCGGCCCCTCAACCCCGCCGAACATGTTGCAAACTGCTCTTGACCCACTCGTAAACACCTAACCCTGCCACCCTAGAGCTATCTAACAAAACAGAAAAGCCCAGCTCTGATAGTTGCCCCGCGTCTCTCCCTTATGCAGCAAAAGCTCCGGGGACGGGCACCCTCCCCGCTGCCGACCAGACCAGCATCTACAACGCGTTCCGCGACTTCGTCCGCGTGCAACAGACACTGCTCAACACGCTCATCAACAGAGCGGCGCTCTTCAAGACTGCGCCCTTCATTGGCGAGCCCATGGTTACGGTGCTCACCCAATCGCAAAACTCGTTCGACAGGCTCGCATTCTCGCTGATCGACCTGTGCCCAACTAAGGCGACGGACTTGCGAGTTCTGGCAGGTGGCCTGAGCGGGACCTATAAATCGGCGATTGAAAATTACGCAGGGCTTAGTCTCGGCGGTAACCGCAAGCTGCTTAACGTGGCGGCCTAGAAACGTGCGGCTCCCAGTACTACGTGTGTGTAGTCGACAAGAGGTTGTGAGGGTTGGCACTATTGGGAAAAGAGTCTACGCAATATGTATATAAGGCTTAACAATCTTTTGTGAGGAAGGAAGTATGAGATAAGCTGCAGCGTCCGTGTGGTAAGAAGTACGTCAAATCAAAGGTTCGCTTTGAGCAGGAATCGAAGCGGCGGAATTGCCACTAGCAAGTGTCACGGTAGTCAAAAAGGTAGTATATTCGGCCACATATAAACAAATCTAGATGTGGAGCGAACTTAAAAGTTGTGCGCCATATTGGACTTCAAAACTCCAACGAAGGGTGTGTAACATACCAGAATTTTGTGTACCCCTCGCGAACAATAAATATGAAAGATTCGAGGCAGCTGTGGTACGTGGGCTCTTGAAAACGGATTGACATACATCTCTGCTCTGCCCGGTTGCGTGTTATGACTCTCGTAGCCGGTATGTGCTATGATATCCTGTAAGTGCACGTCACATTATTACAATCAGTCACATGATAAACGACTTTTCATCAATCTGATTGTCGGAGGATTATCTTTGATACATCATATTGCCAAACTCGATCTGACGCGGGTATGTCGCGGCGTTCAATACATCGCTGACGAGGCAGACTCTGCCAAAGCACCAAAAGTTGCTTGTCCAGGCAGTGAATAAGTATACGTCTCAGTCTGTAGGCTGCTTTTTCAACATCTCAGCGCATGCTCCGCTGTGACGTTTTTGGAGTACCAGGTCGGGATTTAGAATTGCAGACACCAAAAGCTACTAAGATTGTAACAAGTGCTTAGCAAACGACAGAACCCGGGGCCAGACACACAGCGCGCACCTTTCCTCTTATTCGCTCCGACTATAACTTAAACTTTTCAGGCTTTTGTTTGCAAAACGCACATGATGGCTGGACAAATTGCTTGCTGGCAGCGGCAGCTTTACACTCAGCCTGGCTAGCGCCGCAGTCCGACGGACCATATAGTACCGTCGTGCTTTCGTGATTTGTGGCACGTCCGAGGTGGATACAGCCGCGCGCGCCACCCGCGCGCCTGCACGTTTGGAGTACGTCGCCGTTGCGCCGCTAGCAGGTTTAATTAAAACCGGTATGCTTGGTAGATGGATCTATATTTCCGACTCAGTCGCGTACGTTCTCTGCATGCATGCATCCTCATATTGCGTCACGCTTAGGCTTTTCAAGATCACTGAGGTTTTGAGTGCATCTGAGCGGTACTTCATCTAAAACCGGCTCATTTGAGGACGAACCGTTTGCATAGGAGACTTCAAGCCAACTGTATTGGAACTTGATATACCACAATCAACTTGAGCACTTTGGATATAAAACCGTGACCAACGTACTGAGCAACTCGAGACCGTACTGCAATGTACATTTGATCGGTCGGGCCCGACTGCCAGTTAGCACATTCTTCTATCATTGCTGAATCCATACCGCACTGATCAAGTTCCATCGCACCTTGGGAGGCGGCCCGGTTTGCAGTGCAGCCCCTTGCCAGATCGTCTATCTAGTCTACAATCGCTTCGTGCTAACTCAAAGTGTGTAGACTCTTACTGTCTCTAGTTGAGAGCCGCGCGTTGGCGGCGTTTTGCGACATCGGTTGGAGCACGCGCGCTGGCAATCGTGAGGCCGTACGCGACTTCTAGATTCCTCACTTCTCATGAGTCAATGATCTCGTTGACCTTGGCTGCTCGCTGTATGCTCCCATCAATGAAAATATGCCGCTGAATCAAAGAATATCTAATGTACAATTGGATCTGGATTGACCCCCATTGCATAGCGATTTCGGTCTATTTGGAAGTCAAGAGATTCGAGTAACCGCGCGTTCAACTGTTCAACACTGCTCAAAATTCCAACGTGACGGGGGGCAGCCAGCCCACCGGATGCTGCGTCGTACTGATTCCCCCTCCGTTAAACGTGTGGTAATTCAACACCACCAGATCTGTCGCGCCTTTCGTCTCCCCCCTGAACGTGAAAAACAAGCTGACGTTCCCCGGCCGTTGCGGCTCGCCCAGCATCCAAATCGACCGAGTGTCCGCATCGAAAACGCTCCGGGGCGGAAGGTCGTACACCGAGTTCGACGCGCGCGCGGCCCAGCCGTCTCTTCGCAGGGCCTTATCTTTATCATCGAAGACCGTAAGCTCGGAGATGGACCACGTGGCGGGCGACGTGCCGGTTTGGAGGATCTTGAGGTAGCGCGCGCTGACTGGAGTCTTTAACTTGATGTCGACGAGGCCGGTAAACGAAGCGGAGACGTTGGCGGTCCCCGTTTGGGCGGTGGCGTATGGATACGTCGCCACCGACTGCGCATACGATATGTGGCCTTGTCAGAGGCTTGCGACCGGGCTCTTGCCAAATTTGACAGCTTTCGACGCTCACAAAGTGAGCAAAAGCGGAGAAAACTGGTCGACATTCCAGGCAATCCTCTTGGCTAGAGACTTCAAAGGTTTGAATTCTCGTTCCAAGCTTCTGGCTCGTGCCCTTGAAGCGAACCCCCGGCGCTTCAAAAAGGATTACTAAACTGCTGATGATCAATCGAAGCAGTTGTCACCCACCCCGCGTCCTCGCAGAGTCGACGTACGATCTTCACTCTTCATTCCGCCTCAGATTTACGCAAAAATGGAAAGCAAGTGCTTTTCCGAGAACCCCAAAGGAGGAAGAAGCACGAGACTTACGAAAGCGAGCGGAACGAGGCTCGGGTTCCCCCACGTGACACCGTCCAGTGACGCGTAAAGCATGTAGCCGCGGCAGTAGTCGAAGGGCCGCCGGCCCGGATCCAGTAAGACGCGCGACACCGTCTGTGCGGCCTTCATGTCAACCTGCGGAAGTTTCAAAATCTCGGCTCGAAAGCTTTCTTTCTGGGCGGGCGTTTTGGACGGGGGATGGGTCAGTCCTCCGGCGACCAGAGAGCAGTCGAGGGTGTTGACTCCGTCGCTCGAACCAATTGGAAGATGAATCGCAAGTTTTCGTGAGAAGTCTTCAGAAGCAGGTGCACGAGTATACCCTCAGACACGTATCCTTTTTGAGGTGGCGATGAGAAGTTTCGAAGTCAAGGTGATGTGAGCACAAAATCAGTCCGAAACTATCAAAAAAGGAGGCAACCGACCTCAACAGCACGACAGGGGAAGCGGGATAAAATAGACACGCCTGATCGCTAGATTTCTCAATCTGACGCTTTTCAGCTTGGTGGCTACTCCACTTGTACTGAGCTTTTTGAATTCTGGTTCACAAGAATCAGGCTAAACGGGCGACACCGCCTGCGAAGGTTTTCATGGCCGCTTGCCGAAGCTTGCAGTTTGCGACATGCGATATTTTGAAGGCTATCCAACGGACTACAAGAGCTTTGAGAGCTCCAATGGGAAGAGAGCGAGTTCTGACCAGAAACCACTGGTTCGTGTCCTCAATGGGCGCCACGAAGTCTGTGAACTCTTGCGGCGCAGTTGGTGTGATCGGTACGGTCGCGATACGTCGGCCCTTGAGGGAGCCGATCCGCACGTCGACGTATGCGCGCTGCGAGCTGCGTAAGGATGGAAGCCAAGCTTGAGAAAACGGTGTTTTTGACCTGAACGAGTCCTACGGGAACTAGACCAGAGAAGAAAGCTTCTCACATGACAAGCGCTGTGAAAGAGCTCGCGCGTGTTCCCTTGCTTCAAGGCCACACACTTTCAGAATTTGTCAACAGTGCGGCTGGTCCCCAAAACGCACGCTGTAAGGGGGAGACTAAAGCTGACGCGAAAGGCTTTCTCTTTCGTTTAGTCACAGAACGGGCATGCTGAGAGCATCAGCGGAGACTAAGGTGGAGACTCAAAGGTGTAAAACTGTCCGAGCTGGAATATACCTGTATGCGCGAATGCGTATGGAATCGATGTTGAACAGGTTCCAGTTGTCGTATCGTAGCCAGTCCCCGTCGGTGATATTGTACACTTCGGTTTCACCCCCGACAGGGTCAGCCGTCGGCCGCTCCAGAAGGTATGGGCTGCTCTGCAGAGGCAGAACCGCTTGAAAATCAGGAGAAAGGAACGGACGGTTCTCTTCGTGAAGGAGATTCGCCGAGTTGAACTTTCCCAGAGAAAATAAAGGCCTGCAATCCGTTCGAAAAGCTTTGGAATCCGCCGGATACCTCTTTTTAGATGCTGAAGAACCGAAAGAGAGCTGCAAAATTGGCCTGATGAGAGGGCAGATAAGACTTTGAATGCGCAAATGCGAGAAACCTCTCGCTGTCCTCGTCACAAAGGCAAGGCCAACTAAAACTAGTCATGGCTACTCATTGTTTGGCAGATATCTTTGGTGGCGGCATCGAGAAGAATTTGGCCACGTGCGGTGCAAAGCTCGTCTGCTAGCTAGGATGCACACGGACGCGGCAAGAGATTGGCAACCAGCCGGACTATTGAAGATGTTGTTTTGAGACCAACCTTGTCATCGTAGAACTCTGTCTGCCAGACAGATGGCATAATCTGGGACCACCCAATGCCAGTCAGCGGCGGTGCTCCGTTCAAGCCGCCGCTGCAATCAAAGTGGGTCCGAGTATAAGATCAAGAAAAGGGCGCTTAAATTTGAACGCAACCATTCAAACGCATATCTTGACCTCTGTCCTTTTTAAAGTCGTGTTCGTGTGAGGCAGGGCCGAGAAAAGAACGGGTCTGTGATGCTGAGAACGCTTCAAGCACTTTCGTGTGCGTTTTCTGGTTCTTTCTGATCCAGCAATAATGGCGATCCATCGTACACCTCAAGGGTTGTTTGTACTCGCGCAGCGTCTCAAGTCTGCGAATTCCAAACCCACCTCGGAACTTCCTTCAAGATCCAACTCAACTCAAGATCGAAGTCGGTCAATCTCAAGCTCATTCATGTCCAGATCAATCCAATCTGGGTCAAAACCTGTTTCAGAGCACTCGAGACCCGTGACAATCGATCGCTAAAGAAGGATCCGAAACGCTCACTGGTCCGGATAGATCCCTTCCACAAGGTAGTAGAATTTCTCCCAGGAGTGCTCGTCAATCAGCGGTCCAAACGTGGCTTGGCAGTCGTAGTAGGTGATGCTGTTGTGCTCGTGGCACGGGGAACTGGGCGACGGGCAGTGGCCGAGACCGGGGATCACTTGCACCGTGCTGCAAGAGATGCCGCCGTCCTCGGTGCTGCCGTCTTCGGCGTCGAAGACGGCCACCTGCGGAAAAAGGATATATGCAGGAATTTCGACAAGAAAACCTATCGACCCAGTATCCCCTGTTTGGCCACAAATTCATGCGTGAAATCGGGTTACATGCACCGCGCGCGTGCTGCACAAATTGGGTGCGGCCATCCGTGTGCTACTGAGTTTCGCGTCGAAGAGGGCCACCTGCGGAGGATGCTTAAGGGGTTTTGACGGTCAAGTACATTGGAAGGAGCCGTTCTCAGCCGTACCGTCCCTGGCGTTAAGAGACGGCTACCGGTAGGAAGGTCGACCTGCGGCGTATCGTGTCTTCGTAGACTTTTTCGGGCAACAGTCAAATTAACCTTTCTTTCGCAGAAGAGGAGAGAGAAACTTTTGAAATCACAAGTTTGCGTTGCAGCTTTTCCTCAAATTGTGAAAGAACCGGTCGCCGCAACACCTGAAACTGTTTCAGTTCACCCAATGTGTTGCTGACGACGACTAGCGCGCCTGCTTCCTCGGAAAGTATTGACCGATATGGAATTGAGCTACAACGTTTCGAAGGTGGATGTACCAATACGAAGATAGGAACTGTGGATGGACGAGAGGGGGGGCGACCCATGATCGGCTTACCTTGAAGTCAACCTCGTCGCCCCACGTAAACACCCCCCCCTGCGGCGGGAAGACCACACGCACGTCCGGCGCAGTGTTCCCCTCAGATGCCACGTCGACGGGAATGGTGCACGACTTGGTGCTGGCCGCGGTGGTAATGGTCAGCGTTGCCACGTGGACGCCGGCAACGGTGTACACGTAGTGCGGGTGCGGCTCGTACGTGTCGACCGTTCCGTTGGAGTTGAAGTCCCACGCGAAAGTCATGTCGAGGCCGTCGCTGCGGAAAGGTGACGTCGAAATCGTCAGGAAAGCGTGGATTGGGTCTGAGGGAAAAAAAATTAGAGCCTCATATTGAAGCGTCCTTCAAAGTTGCGCATAACCTGAGAACAAACCTGATTTTCTGACGCACTAAATTTTGGGACGTCTGCGCGCTTGAAAAGTTTCAGGAACAAGCCTCGGAGCCTCAATCTTCACCTAGAATATGTATCTCAAAGCGATCTGATAGTTGAGCCCGAAAGCTTGACAGAGGACGAAGAGAGGTTGCGCCGCGCGTCTCAGGCTGCGCTTGTGCTCCAATCGAACCACAAGCTCGCACACCCAATTCTTGCAAAGCATGAGCAACCAGGATCTTTGATGAATTCCGCACATCCCTGAACCAGAAGATTCAGATGCACAAAGGGGCAGAGAAAGCCTCTGTCTATTTAGATCAAAACAGCTGATACAGCGTGCTTCGCTCCGGCATCGCCCCAGCTGCAAAACTCTATCAGGCAGTACTCCTGCAGCTCCTTACACGTTGCTCAATCGCCATCAACGGGGAAGGGTCCTCGCAACCGCTCCAGATTATTTCAGTTGACGATTACCAATTCCGTAAATCCGGTTTCGCGATCGTGTTCCATCTTTTGAAACAGCGCGGAACCTCCACAAAATTCCTACACCCTGCTGGGATCAGTCGTTATCCTCTGGAAGGATCTGTGCTAAAACCTGGTGATTTGCGCGCTAAACCCGCTTAAATTTTTGCCTCATTCACTTCCTTGACGAGTTCGTGAAACCAACATCAAGCTGCCGCGGTCCGTAGACATGTTTCAAATTCTCAAAGAGGTGAAATTTAGAATATTGCTAAACCCTGCTGAATCTCTCGCTAACCCCGCTGAAACCCTCCCAAACCCACCTGGTTGACGAGCCCCAACTCGTAAACCCGACCTCGAGCGGTCGCGGCCCCGCGAGCGGCGTTCCGTACACCTGGCAGTGGATCGGACTGGCGACGCCCATGTAGCGTAACCGGCTTAAGCGGGCGCCTTTTAGGTCGAAACCCTGGCCGAACTCAACTATGTACAGAGACCCATCGGGGGCGACCTCGATGTCCATGGGAGATAACCAGGTGAAGCTGGTGAAGGCCGGGGTGACGGAGAGGATGTTGGCGTTCTCGTCGAATTTGAGCAGCCGGATCTGGTCCCTGGACGGAAAGAGAAGATCGGGCGGGTGAGATGTACTAAAGGAAAGGGATCCACATTGCTTTGTAATTAAGCTGAAAATTTCGAGAAACCTCTACGAGAGCGGAAGTCGTGTGGAATCCAAGTAAGGTGAAACGGAGAAGAGACTAAACTGGGACCAATCGGCGTTGAACGTATCTTAAAGAACCTCCTGCGAAAGATCTCGAAAATTTCCTCAAATCCGAAGCTTTTGAACTTATCTCCAGCACCACCACTACGATCATGCATGCTGGCACTGAGGCACACAGGAAACCCTTGTTTCATTACAAATCTTGAACGATCTTGCCGCGAATCGCCCGTAATCAACTCACATCTTAGAAATTCCACTATGGGCCTGCCCGCTTCACACAATTTCATAGTACCTCTGCGGAATGAAGTGACTATCTCCCCTGGAGAATGTCTCGACAGGATGAACTACCAAAACCTGCAACATTCGTACTTGCTTGCAAGGTGAACCGGTCTGCAACCCACCTGAACCAGTCGGCCGCGAACAGAGTGTTGTCGAAATACGGAGGCAGTCGGTAGGGCGCCCCGGGCGCGATGAACGGGTGGTCGTACCGGTAGAAGAACGGTGCGACAATGCAGCGACCGGCCGCTTTGCTGGGATCTGCCGCGTCGAACTGCGGCCAGTCTTTGCTGGGGCCGTAGTTGTAATACACCATGGCAGGCCGAGACGGCGGCAGTCCTGTAAGAATCAGACTCTCAAGTTTTATGAAAAGTCTTCAACATTGAAAGCGAAAACATTCGAAGCAGAACTCTCAAGAGATGGCCTCTTGAGTAGATGGGGCTCCAGAAGTCTCCGTCAGCTTTCGGTTCACATGAAGTCACTGGATGGTGAAGCTTTTCGTCTTTTCCAAAGTAAAAGGCGACAGGGAGACGTTGATCTGCCCTGTGGACCGGCCAGCTCTACGAGCCCAAGATACTTTCGCACTGCCAGTGATCCCCGCACTTTTCTGTCATTAGGAAGTGAGTAGGACTGTTTTCGTCACAACTTTCTTCCAAAACCCTATGTGTTTCAAGCTCCTTTGCAAGGAGAAGTAGAGCTGCACATCTTCACAACAAGGGACAGCCTCGCTTAGCACCTTTCGGAAGGGCTTTCGCAAGGCTTCTCCGTTCTGACTCCCTGAAAAGAAAGCAGCAACTCACCTGTCTTGGCCCCGTTGTTGTTCGGAGATAAATTGCTCGGGTTCTCGCAGTCGAACGGCACGCCCGTACTCTGCTGCGTTGAATAGTCAAACTTCACATACGGCAGATTCGGCCCAATGCAATACGGCCAGCCGTAGTTCCCCGGTTCGTCGAATTTGAGCTGGTTGATTTCGTCCATTCCCAGGGGTCCGCGAGCGGGGTTGGGCGCGGTCTCGTCCGGGCCGACGTCGCCCCAGTATAGGTTATTGGTGTGCGGGTCGATGGAGAAGCGGAACGGATTGCGCACGCCCATCGCGTATATCTCCGGCCTGCGCAATAGCACATGTCTTCTCAGAGGAGTGCGAAAGTCTGGTTAGCGGGTTGATGGGGTGACGTCGGCCCGGACGAGATCGCGGAGGGGATTGATTTCCACGCCCATCGCGTATATTTCCGGCCTGCGAACCAACAGCTGGATAGCTTTTAAAATGAATCAAAGTTTTTCGGTGTGCGGTTTGATGCAGAAGGGGAACGGGTCGCGCGCACGCCCATCGCATATATCTCTGGCCTGCGGACCGACAGATTGCAAGCAGGAAAGTAGATATGCTTGGAATGCGGGGTTTGATGGGGAAGCGGGACGGGTTACTGCGAATGCTCATCGCGTATGACTCCGCCTTGTCGAGGGGGGAATACTTACGAGTTGAAAAGGGCCGAGATTGCACATCAAAGTTCTTTACAGTTGCCTCAGCTGAGGTGAAAAGGTCAACCGAACTTCACGAGCAAGTACTAGCGAGAGCAGAGGAGTAAGAAGGCTGGCTCGGAGTCAAATTGGCCGGTTGATTCTTCTGCACTTTTATCAACACTCCCTTTCAGGGACACCCCTTATTCGTTCTCAAAATTTACGAACCTCGCTTTCGCCCAACACGCTTGTCTCGGATTAGTTGCAAAATCGCAGTGACTCTTCTTGGAGATCGCTGCGTACAGATCCTCTGCACTCAGCGTCCAGTTATCCGCCTAATCAGTCCTACGCAACAGCCTGAGATTTTCACAACCTGAAAAGTATCAACGACAACTCAAGGAGGACCAAACAGGAAAGATGTGCTGACCTGTGCAAGTCGTCCCCTGGAAACAGGTTGTTGGGCGGGATCTCGTAGCCGTCCTCGGTTGGCCTGATCCGGTTGATGGCCCCTCGGAGGTCGTTCGTGTTGGCCGCAGACTTTTGCGAGTCGAGCACGTAGAACCCTGGGCGGTCGTCGGTGGGCGCCCAGCCGCTGCAAAAGACACCGTGACATATTCAGATACAAAGTTTGATGACGTCATTCAGCGTCAGCATGACGTCATCAAAAGTGGGCATTAGCTCACGTAGAAACCCGGGCGGTCGTCGGTGGGCGCCCAGCCGCTGCAGAAAGAAAACCGGGACAACTTCAGATACGAATTGCGTTGACGTCGTCTGGTGTCAGCATGATGTCATCAAATGTCAGCAGTGGTGTACGCAGGAACGCGGGCGGTCGACGGTGGGCGCCCAGCTGCTGCAAAACAAAAAACGAGACGATAAACGATGACGTCGTTCACTAAGCAATGGTTGCACGAAAGCCCGGGCGGTCGTCGGTGGGCGTCCAGCCGGCTAACATAGAAACGGGAACGGATTTGCAAGATAGGTCCTAGATGATGACGTCACCCGGCGTAGGCAGTAGCGCACCCGAAGCCCGACGCTTATGTCCGGGGCTGCCCAGCTGAGACCGTACGCAGGCCGTCGATTTAGCAATCTTCGGGTCCGCCGTTTAAATGAGTTACCCGTTGTGAGAGCATGAGAATTTTTGAACCAGCTGTCTCGACGAAGTTGACCTCAACATGCAGCTTGGCTTCCGCTGGACTGCCAAGCCAGCCGCGATCTGAGAAATGCAAAAGTGAAGTGCCCCAAAAGAGTTCAGGCTTCCGATTCCCCCGCTCTACTACGATCCATTCCTTTGGGAAGGGGTTTTTAAGAGACAGTGTGAAGTGAGCTTACGTCTGGTAGGTGTTATCGCCCACGCTGAGCAGCAGGTTGCCGTGCGAATCGAACTTGATGTTGCCCCCGCTATGGCAGCACGCCAGCCGCTGCGAACGAAAGGGACAAAGGCCTTTTTATAACGTAGAACAAGAAGACGAAATGTCTGGAATGTTGCGGCGGCCCTAAAAAACGCAAGCAGGAACGCCCTCTTTTCATTACTTCGAACGCAGAATGAGGTCGTCCGTACCTCTTTCTTTTTCTTTCGGTGACTGCAGCTTGTACTGTTCGCTTTACACCACTCGCTCTATTCGTCGGGTTGCTTTCACGCTTCTTCTTTCTGCTCCATCTAGAATCCCGTGGGCTCTATCCTTTTCTTCCAGAAAGCCGGGAAGCAGTAAAAAGAACGAGAAAGGGAAGACTTTCGAGCGCACCTGTGTGTTGATCCTTAGCAGCCGCTTCTCGGACGACACGTCCACGGTGTCGCCTGTCATCTTGTAACGCGAAAGTATGTTCTGAGTTGGGCTGGTCTCGTGCACGGGCGACCAGTAGACGTAGATGTACCCGTTGTTCTCGAAGTCCGGGTCGAGCCCCAACCCGAGCAAACCGTCCTCGTTGCTGTTGGTCACATTCCACCGGGCAGCTGACAAGAGTAGGTTTCAGGGTTTAGGGGTACGTTGAGAAAGTTAACTCAACGGACAGGATCACCGAGCTTTTGGTAGATCCACATTCCACCGGGCAGCTGACAAGAGGAATCTCAGGGTTAGGGGTACATTAAGCAGATTAAGTCAACGGTCAAGGTTATGGAGCTTTTTGGAGATCTACCAACCGGCCGTGTGAGTCGCTCGCCAGACAGTAAAAGCTACTGAGCGTCAACGTACAAGATTCGAAGCCGGGATGGAATCGTGGGGCGGGCTGCTTCGAGCGCGGCGTTCTCGGGGCGAGCGGATACTTTTATGTGCGCCTACTTTTATGACGAGCGCTTACTTTTATTATGAGCGCCGCTCCACCAAGGAACGTACCCTTTAGGTACACGAACAGACACTGTCTTTGTTCTTAAAATGGTTTCAGCCAGTCTTGAAAACTTCGTTTCTGCTGAGACGTGATGTTTCCGCCGGTAAGCGGTCTTCTGCTCGTTCTCAAGCAACGCAGCCTACAAAGGACGGAACGGCGGAAGCGGAAGGGAGGGAGCTGACCGGTGCTTATGGTGCTTGTGGCGGGGTTGAAGATCTGGAGCTCGCCGTTTCGGACGACGATGAACACTCGGCCGTCGGGAGCGATCGCGATGGACATGGGCTGCAGAGAGGCCGGAGTATATCAGCAGATGCGGAGTACACTGTGCGAGATTGACAATCCTTCGGATAACTGTCTCTCCTTCCACATGTGTTGAGCGAGGTTGGTAGTTTTGACTGCTTCCAAGTGTCGGTTCGGACAGATCTTCTGAGAGCAATTGGAGGGAAGGACTATTCAGTCGTACTGGAGTACCCCAGATTGAGCACGGTAGGAGCATTGGAGACGAAGTGCCATGAGCTTGAGAATGATTTAGATCTCCACATGTGTGCCCAAGTTTCCCTTTCGCAACTTTTGACCATTGATAAGGTGACCTATGAAGTGCCCAGAAAGTGGCAAGCAAGGCATTTGAATTGCGTTTTCCAAAATATCGACTGATAAATCCTTGATGAAAGTTGGTTTCGTGCTGACCACTCGATTGCCAGCCCAAAGAAGTACCGAGGGCTTAGAAATCAACGAATCCGAGATTAGACGTACAACGCAACGCCGCCATACCTGCTCCCCTTGCTGGAAGTTGTACAGCGTATCCTTCTCGTAGGCAGCGTCGTTGGTCGCCGTTCCGTCATCATCCGCCATCATTCTCCCCTCCTTTGCCAGCAGACTCCGGGCCCGCGTGTCCACTGGTAGGTGCCCGGAGGGAATCCCCGGGTGCTCCCCGCCCTGCTTCTGCCAGGCCCGGCCCGCCCAGGCGATTCCCCCAACCACATGTTTGATCATCAGCGGGTCTGCCCAGAGGTCGGGGTTGTGGCCCAGGGAGGTGTAGAAGGAGCGTGAACCAAAAGGCCTGCAGCCAATGGCTGGAACGTTTGGAATGACTTCAGAAATTGGGGCTTAGGCCTCTGGCAAAGTTCAGTGTCGACAGAAAGAGTTCCCTGCTCTATTCTTTTAAGCGCCTTGCCACATGGATCATGCAGCTTTGCGGCTCGACAACCTGCTAGATGTGGGAACCAACGTCCTCAGACTTGACAGTTGAAGCTGGTATAGGACAGCTAAAAGGAGAAAGGTTCAGAGAAGAGACCTGAGGGATCATCACAGCTGCAAGGCTGCTCCAGCTTCCAATGGTCACAAGTCTGAAGGTCCTGTCGCCAGATATCTTCTAACTGAAGGTCCAGCAGCCGACTCTTAAAAAGCAAGCATGGCCAGCTTACATGGTCACTTGCATTAACAACCAGGCTAATGCTCAGAAGTTGGATCAACATCAATCATCAGAATGATCAGCCACAGCGCTTACGATTACGCTATTCTGATAAGAGTCAGCTATATAGACTGGGGGCCCTGCTCACCTGTGTGTCCAAGCGATAGGCTGGTCAAATTGTGCTGCCCCAATGTTGTAACCAGGCATGTCGGCTGAGCGCTGGAGGAGCGCCAGAGTGTGCACTCCGGGGGTCAGGTCAAAAGCTAGCCAGTGCTCAGAGACGTTCCAGCGCTCTGGTAGCACCGTAGACGCAGGGTGAAATCTGCAGATCGAAGATAGAAGACACCATTTCTTGTCAGATGTTATATGTTAAGGGCAGGGATATAGCAGCTTTGAGTGCATTGTATTGAACCAAATCGCTCCAGACTAGCTAAATGCACCTTAGGATCATGAGACTTCACTAAATGCTGAAACAAGCTGGCTGCATAGAGTCTGCAGTGCCACCGTGTTCTGATATGTACCTAGTAGAAAGGTTGTGTCAGCAGAGAGCAGTTTCAGATTCTGTCACGAATGATGCTCAACTGCTCATCCTCCAGGTTAACTTTTCAAGTTGCAACAGCGCACTAATTGACCTCAAAAGAGGATACCAGAACGATCCGTTGTAGGCACCTTTCATCCAGGTTGTGCGGCAAAAACAAATCTTCAAAACGTTGGATCAGAGGTCCAGTAAGAGCTGGAGAATTAGACAGCAGATCTAGGTGGAATAGTCTACGAGGCTGATCTGAGTGGTATAGCAGCTCATTGTAATACAAGTACCTGGTGCTCAACTAACTGGAAGCTAGCTAAACTGCACCACCACCACCACCACCACCACTTTTATGAAACTACATTGTCTGAAACTGGACCTGACATTATTGAAGTAGTGGACGTCATCGTGCCAGCTGCAAGGCAGTATGTAAAGAAGCATTTCACTTATTGTGCCTCGCAGCCATGGATTCTGAAATCAATGCGGGTGCCATTTCAACCAAGTCCTCAATGACACACAAGCCAGAGGCACTGCCCCTTTGACCAGATTACTTCACGAACTTGACCACCTACCTGTCATGCACGAGTACAGTCCCTCCTGTGAGCTGACTTCCATTCCTCCCAGCTGCAGGTCTCCCTCCTATCAGAGTATCAAACCAATCCCAGCCGATCATTGTCTCTGCCGCCGAATGCACGCCAACAAAGCTGCCGCCGCCCTGGATGTAGTTTGCAATAGCATTCCGCTGATCTTTGCTGCTAAGGACGTTTCCACTTGTTAGCAGAAAGACGATGGTGTCATAGGCTGTCAAACCCGTTGGACTGAGCCCTGTGCTGGTTTCCAGGTGGTCAACCATCCAGCCCTGCTCGAAGCCAGCTCTTTGCAGAGCTTCAACAGCTGGGGGAATCGATTCATGCTGCTCTTCAGCTTGACCTGTGAAGAGGAGTACTCGAAGGGGAGCTGCACCAATGCATGTGGTGCAGAATAGCATCCCTAAAAGGACAATGCAAGACAAATGGCTGGGCGCCTTCATCCCTGCTCGGTGACTGGCAGCCATCTTGCCAGCCTTCAAGCGTCCGCTGACGATCGCTTCGTCATGCACGAAGACGTGCTTGTCCCACCCAACATCGTCTGAAGCCCGAGGCTCGAGCTCCCTGGGCCTAAGCCTTCGATCGTTTCCACTGTGGCGCCTTTTGATCACTTGCCTAAATCATATCAGGGCAGATGTATTCGAACTGCTCAAGCTGCGTCTCTAACGTGTACTCGTGTTGATCAACAGTCTTTGGTAGGCGCTACAAATGTGATGTGCGCGAAAATGACCGGGTACGGTACGTTTCGGTACGGTACGGTACCTATAGCAACATAGTACCGGTACAATGCTGGGAGTCTGTGCCTGGGGCCCTCGGGCTGGGTGTAGGGCCGCGGACATTCTTCTATCTACCGGTACATGATCGGTCGCTCGGGTTACTAAGAGTCGGGTACCAACCAGTACCAAGGTCCCAACGTACTCTTTGCTGGACAGTACCAACTTCACAAAGCATGCCAGGATACCGGTAGGTAGCCTGGATAGGTACGCGATTGTGCACTGCGCACTGCGCAATTGTTTGCAACACTTGCGCAAAGTCCGAAGTCAGACGAAAGCCAGCGTGTCATTGGAAATTGAAGTCTGACCCTCGGTTTTCTTCTGCAACTTATCGAGCGGCTAGGAATGAAGCAAATGCCTTGAGATTCAGGAGAATTCAGTGACAACTGTGTATCAAATGACGTCAAAAGAGCGTCATGGTCCAGATTTGCCACAGAATGACGAGCGCGTTGCAGGGCCGTTGACTGTGTGGACAGCACATGCAGCCACACAGGCCGCGAGACACCCACAGGCGACCGTGCTATTCGAAGTTGGGCCATCCGAGGTCGCCGTCTCTTCAGTCCACGTTCTGTGATGTTTGCTTTAACACGATCGGAAACTTTCAACCTGTGAACGATGAATGGCGGCATTGGGGAAATGCAGGCTGCAGGATGGCGTGACAAGGGCGTCGCCTTCGAAGTGGTTGCTTCTGATTCTGTGTCCTGCGAAGGTTGCCCCTTCGGCAAACTGACAAATATCCGTTCGGAATCCCCACTGCTCATGCTTGACTGGTCATGCTGGACAGGCCCACAAGAAGAAGAAAGTGATACAATGGTGTGAGAAGGACGAGCAGCGGTAGATCCGTCTGAAAAGCTTGGCGCCGCAGGAAGGAACTGGTAAGCAGTGCCTTGAAAGTTTTGAGGCGAAGTAACTTCACAAACTTATACTCCCTGATGCAACTGGCCAGTCAGCCAAAAGGCTGCATTTGCGATCTGCATAGGTTTGAAACAAAGAGCTCAGTACACCTTTGACTATCTTCATGAGAACACCACAACTGACAGATATTGACGGTATCATTGACTGAGGGTATCTGTCAAGTAGTCAGTTCAGAAGTGCTAGTTATATCAGTAGAAGCTGAGAGCCGTGCCCCATTGCAATTTGATCCTGTGGAGACAGCCAGAGTGAAATTGTTAAAGAGAAGGAGTGGTCGAAAGTAGGAGAAATCTGATTCTTACGCTGCGACCTTGACATTCCTACTTTGTCTCTTTGGAGTTTAGCTCAGGATGACAAGTTGGCATTTGGAGTGTCCCTTTCCCTGAGCTCAATTAGCCTTTGGACTCACATCAAACAAAGCCCCTCAAAGGCTGGCTTGCTTGGTATAGAAGGATTCACTACCTGTCGCCCGGGTTCGTGAGGCAGTGCCCCAGATGAAGATTGTCGATCTGCTTTCATTGGCGCATGTTTCTCTGGTCTTTGACTGTTTCGCAAACCAAATGGTGTGCAGACTGGAAAAACGTTCGTATCTTTGAATAAGCCTTCAACAGTGTGAAGGCGGCAGAAAAAGTAGACAACTGGCCGTGCTCTGATCAAGGGCTTCTTCTGCAGGCTAAGTCAGCCAGCAGGTACTAAGGGGAAGTTTAGGCATGACATGGGAACTGAGAAGGAGACAGTCGCAAGAAGGCGGCACAGAATGAAGACAAACACCTGGGTTTGCTCAGCTTTGGGGCTGCTGCTCGCAACCCTCAGTCTTCTATGTCTTTTGACCACTCAGGTTCGTTTCTCTCTGACACTGCTGAAGGACTTAATATGAATGAGGTGACAGTAATAATCGAATCACACAAAGCTCATGATGGATACAGCAGCTGCATGAATCGACCTCCATGACTGATTATCGTTTTCGGCGAAGGTCATGGATAGGCCCAAAACATCATCTTCCTCTTTCAAGTGCTCTCTCCAATCAAAAGCTCTGCCTCCGATTGTGGCTAGATGTGTTGCTTCAATATACGCCGACAACGGATGCCTCCAGCTGCAAAGCTGAGCGTGATGCTGCAAAATACCATTACACCCTCTGAGTGCAGGTGACTGGAGCAGAGTTGACACATGAGCAGCTGTTCAAGTTTGCTCCATTGCCCGATGGGGCGCTCCCCGATGAGCACGTTTACACACCAGGCGTCCGAGAATGTGAGTGCAAAGAATCGAATCCGATTGAGCCACACTGTCTGCTAGGCAGAAGGTATCACTTTCAAGCTGGCTTGAAACTGGTAATTGACGTCCTGGTCAAAACCCTGAACGACTTGGAGGGGGTTACATGGTACCTAGTGATTGATACTAGGGTCGTATCATCTTTCTCCAGGAAAAAATATAGCTCAAGGCATGCTAAAACAGGGGTCTAATGCTGTCCTGTGCAGGCATCTTCCAGATCATCCGGAAGAACTTACTGACCATGTCCCTCAAAGATGAGCGCATCAATGCCAAGTTCTTGCGGCTGATATTCCACGACTGCGGTAAGCGCGATTTTATCTGGTGAGCATTTAATTGATTCCAATGAAATCGTTGTGAATGGGTTCTGGAATGTGTCCTATCAATCAATTCCGGTGAAGGACCTGCAAATCTTTTGTAGAGTTTTCAGCTCCCCTGATCTGGTTGCCTGTTAACTCTGCCAACCTTTCCAACGAAAAGATACCCGTTTAGGGACGGATTACCAGAGTCTGTGTGGTCCACAGCTTATGTATAAGTTTGCATAATCCTCATCAATAAGCAACAGCTTATGTACCCAGATCTGTCTGGCCAAACGGGCGCTTATGCATAATTGACTTATCGCTGATATGCGCAGCTGCTGGCGGCTGCAACGGGTCCATCATGCGGACAGAGGAGCACAATGGAACGGCAAACGAGTTTCTTACTGTAAGTTGTCGTCCTCTTTTTCTTTCGACTGTTTGGTGCTGTTCAGCTTTCGAAAACATGTGGACACGATCTTGCCATTACTTCTGAATGCAGAGCACTTTGACAACCCTTTTTTATTGTTGGAAAGGTATGTGTATGTGACTTTCCAAAAGGTTGACGTTTCAGGAGAGCGAAGCTGCCTGACTGAGTATGATCCACTTCGAATGCCTCAAACAACAATGAAACGACCTTCTGACGTGCAATTTTCGAATCCGCAGGGGTTTGACGAGGTCCGTATGGTCAAAGCTGCAATTGATACCTCGTGCAACGTCAGCATCTCGGTGAGGCTTCCTTTACAAAGCTATGTTGCCACTGATCATTCTTGTATCGAGGATCAAGGTTACCCTCGATCGCTTTTGTCAATACACTTTGTCTACGGCTTGACAAGATTTTTGCATACTATCAACATCGCTCACGCTAGTTCTGGATCTCTGGCAACGGGGTTGTCTTTGGAATTATCTCTGAGCAGCAAGCTCAAGCTCTCATCCAAAGTGTGCGTCCCTTGCAGCTTGCTGATACGATCATTGCTGGGGGAGTGGAAGGAGTGAAGGAGACGGGTGGCCCTGACATCACGGCCTACGTCAGGTTCGGCAGGCGGGATACAGACGACCGAGACGATCCCAACAAAGTGAGAAGTCCTGGAATTTCCGTCAGCATCGCAGCACTTTTCAGGCAGATGTTTAAAGGGTTCTACTCGGGTTGGAATACTGCTCTGTTTTGGGTCGATCCGGCGATAAAAGATTATGTGCTTGGGCCGAATCATGGCTGTAAGGATGCTGACTTTCTTCACCCTCTCTGCAGCTGCCGCTTCCGTTCGTCTCGACGGACGAGCTGGTCAGAGTTTTCGCTCCTCTCGGTAAGCCACGCTTGTCTTCAAGCCGACTCAACCAGTTTGGCGTTACTTCTTCCCGTTCAATGCATTAGCGAGCTTCCGTTTCTCACTGTAACGCTGGGCCACCAGACTGAGGGCAATCAGATGTTAGCAATCACAAGCAACGGAGGCTGTCGCATGCTGTCGGAGGCTGCCGGAGTCGAGTTAGTTGATATGACAATTGAGGGTCTTCTTAGCTGGTGGCTCGTAAAACTTCTTTCAGTTGAACAGCTTTCGACTATAGATGGTTCAGGAGCTCGAAACGAACTATGAGAAGCTTTCCGAATCTACCGAGGAACAAAGCGCTGGTCGAGAACCTGCAGACGCCTGAGAATATTGAAAGTCCTACTGCTTTGTGTCCTAAAAAGCTCTCCTTTGCTACTTGAATCAAGCTCCCTCAAACCCTGTGAGAGACTTGAGAGGTGAAGTACGCGCTGTCAGTGCAGGGCTCAACGTGGAGGACCTTGTGGCGCTTTCTGGGGCCCATACCATCGGCAAAGCCACGTGCAAGAACATCGTCGCCAGGTAGGGCAGCGTCACCGGCGCCCAATCAAATACCATTTGTCTTTGAGAACACTAACATGCTGCGACGGTGTCGACACGTCACTTGATTGCGAGGTGTTTCGGAGACTGCCGGAGGGAACGATTGGGAGATCCGTATGACATCTTGCGGATCCATTATCGTTCTCCAATTAAGCAACACAAGAACCTGCTGATCTGCCCTGTCTTTGTCAATGGTTGCAGCATATATCAATGAAGGCACCATTATATGAAAGACCATAGACCTCTTCTACTGAAGGAAGTGAAGAGGAAAATGGTTCGAGACTTTCTTTCTCTCAAGGGTGTCTTCCTGGAACTTATGCAGGCTGGGAACCGATCCAACAGCCGACCCCGCTTTCCTGTTCAGCCTTCTGCCTAGATGCACAGCCCTGGCCACGCAGCAGCTCGATCTGGACGCCAAAACCCCTGAGGTCTTCGACAAGTACTACTTCCAGGTGAGACATGCGAATCTGCTCGAATGGACGCTCGGACCGATGGCACTGGAAGGTTGTAGAGCATGCAGTGTGAGGTCGTCTCTTCGACTTCTCCATCCGCTCTTTGAAATATTCTGGCGTCCCTCTCTTCTGTTCTCCGCGACTTTGCTCACGCTGTTCGTTCTCTTGCCGCGCAGGGCCTGAAGGAAAAGAAGGCGATGTTGCAGACCGATCAAGAGCTCTACGAGAGCGAGGCAACGCATCCGTACGTCTTGGAGTGAGTCTTCTTCTGCCAATCACTTTTTTGTACGATGCGAGGATGTCCTCCAATCTTGGGTAGCAGAAACATTCCCCGTCTGCATCACAGGATGCGAAATTGTTTGCTGGCTCTTTGTCAGGGCCTTTACTGAAGACTACACCTGTTTGCAGTCCTAAGAAGGTTTTGCCTTGAATGAAGGTACAACCTGCGTGACCTTCTCTAGACCTTCTTTGGATCCGCTCACAGGGGGCTGCAGCGGAGTGACGCAAGCCCTCCTTAGTATTCTCGTGGTTTGGTCTGTTCTTGAGCATATTTGAGGATCCTCGTCGCCAATTTGTGGTGCAGATACGTGGCCAACCAAACAATGTTCTTTCGGCGGTTCCAGGCCAGCCTCCTCAGGCTTAGCATGGTCGGGATCATGCCCGATCGCTTGTCGCCTCCGATCGAGCATCGTGACGACATCAACTTCACCGGTAAGCAATGGCAGCGTTCCTATGTCATTGCGTCAGACCAGTGATGCATTCTTGTTTAGCAAGACGCGTTATCGGGCAGGATCACCATCCAGGTATTCAGCTTACCTGGTTTTCCTTTCAGCTTCACATTAACCGGAAGCCAGCTCAATCGGCACTAACCACAAAGGAGTGCATACATTTTCTTCACTTCACGCGGTGTATTCGATGTCCTTGGGGCTCAACCTCTCGCGTGCATTTCTCAAATCGGCCTCTCTTGTATGCCAAGCACTTGAGTTGACTGGCCTTTCTCGGCTCCTTTCTATCTGCAGTTCCAATCGAGGCATCCTTCACCCTCTTCCGGCCGTCAGCGCTCGTTCGCAACAACATCTACACGTTGCAGGCGGAGCTCAACCAGCAGTTGGCCACACCCAACACCTCGGTAAGCTTCTTTAACCGCAGAATCCTGGTTACACGTTCAAAGGCTTCTATCACGCTGGGAAGCCCGCAAGCTTTTGCAGACCGGCTACAGCCTGCCAGGGTCAACTTGCCGATTAGTGACGCGTCAACAAACTTTGGCCCAGGTATAAAACATGGCCGCAGCAACCAAAACGTTCTGTACCCTAGTCTCACTCAATTCCAACAAAAGCGAGGTCATGCAACCGACAGGAAGGGCCTCAGGGTTTTTTCACCGTTTGATAATATGCGCGCACTTTTCAGCTTTTGTAGTAACATTTCTTCACGAACGAGATTCCGTCAACCGCAGGCTGTCGTCACGTCTGTCCTGGACGACGTCTCCGTTCCGGGCCAGTCGGTGGTTCGCTTCTGGATCGTTCCGCTTCCGCTGTACCACAAGCGGAGCGGCATCCCGTACGACGAGCTGATAACCGTTCTTGCTGGACTCAACCAGACCGCAGTCGACCCAAGCAAGCTTCAGCTAGACGACACCTTTTTTGGTCCGCCGCAGAACTTCCAGGTGAGACTCGAGAACTTTGGAGTCTGTGATCAAAACGCATCGAGAGGGTTGGAGCCTAGAGCTGGCCACACCTTCAAATGAAGAAATCTGTATGTAGCCTTACGGTCAGACCAGGCACACTTCCCGTCCAGATGTCCAGAATTTGTAAGTACGACGAAAGATACCGAGCCAGATTGTTCCAGTGGTTCCGCCACGTCAATCTGTTTGAGATGAGACACGGAAGTTCGTTTTCGACTCCTCTGACGACAGAAAATCCGTGTGCCGCTTTGTTGCAAGCCTGATGGTAAGCTTTACAGTTGGCCTTGTGCAACTGTCCCTCGCACTCGAAGCCAGTTTTCCCAGCTTACGCGTCCCTTTTTCGCCTCTCGGAACGCATTGCCATGTCACCAATCACCGGTGCGGATACTGCAAAATGCTCAAAACGTCCGTTCGTGCCGAATTCTTCTTCAATTTTCCTTTCAGGTCGTCTCTTTCCCGATCAACACCACTTTCCCAGTTTCCTCGGGAGGTCCTGACGTGAGCGCCTACGTCACGGAGCCCCTCGACTTCGCAAACTTCACCCTGCAAAGGAGGCCCGCCTCACAGCGGGATCTCTTCGCTTCCCAAATAAGCGCCGCGCTCCGCGTGCGGCCGAGCGAATCTTTATCAGTCTCCCTCCAAAGCCCGTCTGAAGTTCAGACGGTTGTAACGCTGTCCGTCAGGCAGACTGGCAGCGTCGATTTTGTAGCAGCGAGAGTAGCGGAGTTGCAAAGCGCAGCCGCAGCGGCTCTAGATCGGGGCCTTCTTTTCAGCCCCGCCATTTTCGGTTTTGCGGAAGGCAGTCAAGCGGCTCGCGACGCGGAGCAACCGCCGACCGTGGCACCGGGACCAATTGCTAGCATTGCTAGCATTGCTAGCCCCTCTCAGGCTAGCAATGCCACATCAGCCGAGGGAGACGACACGTCAGCGGAGGAAGAGGACACGTCAGCGCTGCGTGACGTGGCGTCCGAGAAGCACTCGGGGGTCAAGGAAGTCAACTTTACGTTTGGTATCATGGCTGTTCTCGTGGGGCTGGGTGGCGCGGCCGCGTTTGTGCTCCACTGGCGCGCGACGCGGGCGGCCGCGCAGAAGAAGCAACCGGAGGAGTCCGGCGAAGGCGAGCAAGGCAAGTAGAGCTTTCGGACGTTTGCGTTGAAAAGATTTCAGAAGCTCTGCATGGGAATTTCGAAGTGACATACTGTCAAAGTCAGCCCGTTTCCTCTGTTCACGGTAATCTGATCAGCCAGGTCTCACTAAAGTCCAGGATCCGCTCGCTTTCCTTTGCAGTGTGAAACCATTGTCTGCACGTTTCCTGGGTACGGGTCCCTCGAAGTGTCAAGCTGCCACGTACAAAAGACTTACAGCTTGCATCCCCTCTTTTTACTGCAGAGCCGCTGCGGAGAGAAATGGATGACTTGTCAAAAACCAGGTCGACTTAGGGGCTCGTTATACTCAAGCACGCTGGTCATAGAAGGACGCTCGTACGGTCCCATTCAGTCAAGTGCAACTCGACTGCCTCGACGTTACACATTTGGATTAATAGAGCATTGCGGAACGCCGCGGATCAGATTGCAGTTCAATTTTCAGATCGAGCGTGATTACGAGATGCCACGATAATCAGACAGCTACTCAGGACATTCCTGTGATGTATTCTACAGTAGACAGTCTTCTGACGGAAATAGACGGCGCTTACTTCGGCAGTCTGGTACGCATCCAAGCCAGCCTGAGTCGAACGTTTCGGAGACTGAGAACTTTCATTTGGAAAGAGCTCATTGTAAGCAAGTGTCAAACTTAAGCCTGCATCAGCCTTTGATTTGGACATCAGCACACATATGCTGCCCGGAAGCTACTGGTTACTTCTCAGTATTCATGATCATTTTGAAAGGAGAACATCATCATGACTATGAGAATTCAACAATCTGGTTAATTCTATGCCGGCTTTAGAATCGATCGAGATTTGCGTGCGCAGAGTTAGATAGACTGCATGCATGACCCAATTATCAAATTCAAACGTGGTCAGATTTCAATACAATCACTGCCACGTACTGAGCCTTTGAGGCGATACAATAAATTCCATAATTCTGGGGGGCATCAGCTCAACGGTCTGTTCATACTTATCATTCCGCCTATCACCGGAGGCCGCGGGCCGCTTCTTCTCATGGGTGATCAATTGGCATGGTCTTCCAAATGTTGCTGAACTTCGCATTTGGTCTTCACATATAGTATCTATTTTGGCGGCGGCACTGCGAGACCGGTAACGGATAGAGAAAGCAAGTATTTTTAATTGCGTGTTTCTTTGCATTGGCAGATCCCATCAGTACAAAGTAAAGCCATTTCAATGTGTATGGCCGGCCGTTGCGGAGCCGCTAAGGCTCGATCGAGCGGCTCTTAGTGCGGATTCGATAAGAAGTTGACATATTAACCTCCCTACAGTGCGCAATCAACGGTCGAAACTTGGGGTCGATCACCAGCTTTACTTCTCGACGACAAGGCTCGATTGACACCCACTTAACAAAGTACCTAAAATCTGCTAGCGTCACGTTGATTCTCAATCATGTCGTCCTGTTGTAGGCCTCAAAGCCTATCTGGTGGTTCATTGGCGATCTCACTTGCTTCGTCTCTTTCCACATGCGATGAAACTTCGTCTCCATCTCCATCATCCAAAGCGGCTAGCTTATCCCTTACATTGGCTAGCAAAGTGTCCATTTCCTCCCCCCTTGATCTAAAACCCCTCCCTTCTAGTTCCAATAATGCCTCCTCGCTCTCGTTCGTTGGCCTCACCACCCGAAACTCCACCTCAAATGGACCGCTCGCGTTACACAGCCCGTATAACTGGTCATAGTTTGTGATCCAGTGAAATAAACACGAACCGGCTGCCATCTGGGCTCCGTACGAGTTGAGCTCGATGAGCTCGACGGACAGATCTGGACGGCAGAAAACGTCCGCGCAAAAATCGGACGGCAGGTCCAAGCTCAGCTGGTCGTTCTGCTCCCGGATGTCGCCCACCAGGCGCGCGATGTTGTGCGCGATCGTGGGCAGGGCGTGCTCGCGCGCGCTCCATCCACAGTCCTCTGTCCCTGCCGCAAAGCAAAGACGTTTCGCGAAAGAACAAAGAGGGCGAAGCTGGCCCGGAGTCTTGGTCATCATCTTCGGCTGTACCTTTGCGAAGCTTTGACCAAGAGCAGGTTCAGAAGATCTCCTTCCGTTTCTGAATCGCCGCGGTGATCGAAGTCCTCTTCGCTTTTTCAGTGTGAAGTTACACAGCGGGCAGAGTATTGAACGGTCCGTTGCGGCGTCCGTTGCTTCAAGAGGTACATATCCCTCTTGAAAAGGGCAGAAGCGTCGAGCAAACATTCAAGGACGCACACAATTTTGTGCAGATCGGAGTGGGCCCCCACAGACTCACATGACAGCTGGCCAATGCCCAAGATTTGAGTGCCTTCGCGTGGCCTTCGCATCGACTTTTTCAGTGTAGAAGAGTTGAGATTTCAGATGTTGCAAACATATCGAAAACCTGTTCTTACATTTCCCGCAACTAGGGAAAGGAGAGAGAGTAGTCCGTCTTAAAGAGGTCGCCGGGCTATTTGAAGAGCTCTCGTCCGATCAATCTTTACCATCTCGGCAGGGACTCATTTGATTGATGAGTACCGGGCACTCACAGTTGTACTGCGAAATCGCAGTGACGCGCCAGTCTCTGACGAACGCCCGGAACTCCCGGTCTATGCTGATGTCATCGCGCCACGGCAGCAGGTACAGCGTCATGCTTATCCGCTCGCGCACCGCGCGCTTCAGAGTGTCACAGCAGCGGAGGCTTGTAACTAGAGCGATCAGCACGTCCATCGGCGTATGGAAAGGGCCTGGCAAGGAGATGCAGTCACCAATTAGCACCACGATTTGTGTAGGTGTCCAGCTGTTAGACGTGCTGAATAACAGGGAAGAGCCATGGGCGTCAGTCGAAGCTTGCGTAGTTAAAGTTGGTCAGTCCGTGGAACCGGTCGAACACTCTTTACTGCCTTTGGGCTTTAAACATATGCCAGATCAATCAACGAGAGAGGATGTATGATGGAAACGCAGCATATCTTCATGTTGAAGCTTACTGCGCCAGCACCAACTACCAAAGCAGTCCGTTCCACATTCGAAAGCATGTTCAACACACTTTCACCTGGCTCACAAAGAGCTTCTGTTCCTGTAAATAAGGCACGCTGCTCACCAACTCCCCCGCTGCCTCCTTTCGTACTGCAGGAATCCAACCGGGCAAAGTAGGGTGGTCGGGGCATGGCCATCCGGCCAGCGATGCACTCAATCTCCTCTCGGTGGGACTCGGGCAGCCGCAGGGTGAGCGCACCTGAGAGCGTAAGGAAGAGTTCAGCATTCCAGTAACTCATAAACAGGTCCTTACTACGCGGACGTTCTGTAAGGGATTGAGAGAAAGGTTCATAGAATTGTGCACATCGATATCGTCGCGATTCATGCAGCTGAGGCCCTCACTTTTTTCCTGAATGCAGAACGGATCATAACACGGCTCACACTGGCAGTAGCGTGCATGTTTACGCCAAGATTCGTCTTGCGGCGCGTTGCATTCATCCCCAAGGCCGCAACTTTGACGAGCTTGCAAGATATTGCTGATTGAATCATCGACATGCACAAACATCTGCTCAGGCCGCAATTCAGGCCAATAAACTCCTTGATTGACTTGCCGTACAACTAAAGTATTCCCTGCGCTAGCAGCTCAAAGTGGTTTGTAACATTCAGCAAAAAGACTTGGGCACGGGAGACATGTTGTCAAGCTCACTAGCAATTAGTAGTCTAGTGAACTTTGATTCAGGATGTTCGTTTAGGGTCCGCTCAAGTGTCCCTGGTACCAAATTGGAGGACTACGCGCGCACGTCACATGGTCACAGATTCTATTTTTGGGACGCGAGTCTAGCAACAAAAGGCTTACTAGTGGGAATTTGGGGAATCCTCTCTCTATGCGACCAGCAAAACCAGCTTCGAAGCACTCAGAGCAATGCAGCGGATCAAGAAGCGTGCGCGATAATTCACCAGACATCCCCGCCTCGCAGATCGTCTGGCAATCTACCGATGTCAGCTCCAACTCCGTCTCGTGCTCCAGCTTCTTCAGGGCTTTCCACCGGCTGTAATGCGTCCTCGCCATAATACGCCTGTACTCCTCGGGGTACTCTACCGGGCGCTCGTCGCGGCCTCGCGGCAGCTGGTGCGCGGGGTGGTTGTTGGTGTCAAACGCCCGGGGGTTGTACTCGACATCGCACAAAGGTATGGTGAAGATGCGGACGTCCATCTTCTCACCGTAAGCGTCCATCAGCGACGAGCTCTTGATTCCTTTCGAAACCTTGCGCGCAATGGCGTCGAACTGATGAAAGAGAACCTACGTATGTTTGTTCAGAAGTAGAGCAGTACAGCAGCTTCGCAGCGGCACTATTTGAAGCAGATACCCTTCAGGAGTTCTGTATTATATTCAGACATGCGATTTGCTTGACATCAATCTCGTGACGTTACGGTAACGTACTGGTTGATCCCGACGGGGGGCTGGCTCGATCGTCCGCTCGCGGCGCCGCGTGCGCGCATGAAATTGAGATGCGCGACCGGGCCGGCGGGGTTTGCAGAGGGTTTGTACTACAGTCTATATATTTTGGACCCCTTAACGAGTGATTCCGAGCAGTCGCTCTGGAGGTCCTGTTGCACAGTGGATAGTGCGTACGCTTCCTAAGCGCAAGGTCGCTGGTTCGATCCCAGCCAGGATCGGACTGGGGCAATCCTTAGAAAGGTCTTGTTGCACAGTGGATAGTGCGTTCGCTTCCGAAGCGAAAGGTCGCTGGTTCGACCCCAGCCAAGATCGCCCTCTGTTTTCTGCATTCTGCGCACTGCACACTGGTCGTCGGCGCATGCTTTCTCTTGCCGCCTTCCCTTTTACTGGTTCGTTCCTCAAAAATTCGCTCATCAAGAACGAGAGCAATCTGGGCGCAACAGGTAAGCTCCAGCTTTAAAGTTAGATGCTTTCTGTGAGCTGCGCTGCTCGATGACAATGGTGGTGGGGGCACCCTTTTCTATTCTCTTTGCCCCCTTATCGAAGAGGGCATCTGATTGCAAAGTGCATCTGATTGAGTAACAAAACTCAGCCCCCAGCAAAGTGGTAGTCAACAAGGGGTGGTGAAGCAAACCTTTACCACTGGCGCTTGCTTGCAGGTAGCCCTATATCTCTTTTCGACCATAAAGCGCTGTGCACACGGCTGCAGAACTCTGACTCGAGCGAAGTTAGGTGTCTTCTCGGACTTTTCAGTTTTAGGGTTTCAATTCTTTCATCCGCTCTATTCGCAATGCTGCGAGCTTTATGTGAAGCTGCTGCCTTCTTCCTCTGTTTCTTCTTCTTGCAGAGTTAGGGCTGAAACAAGATCTGGGCAGGAGGGCGTTGATCAAAAGCACGCTGCTAAGCTGATTTGTTGTCTACCAGAGGCGCTGCAGAAAATTATTGGGAGGAAGCCAGAGCAAGACGGTGAAGTTTAGAAATCACAAGAGAAGCGGGCAGAAATCGATCTTTAGAAGAGTGCTGAAAGGAGGCAGCGCTTGGCCGCGCCAGCGCTTCAAATCAGCGTGTGTTAGAGGCGCACGCCTGGGCTCGCCCTTCTTGGGCGGAGCTGAAGAACCACTGTGCAGTCTTATCAGCGAGCATCCGAAGGTTGAAAGGGTTTTGGAGGGTTTGGGGTTTGGACTATTGGAGGATCGGGGATTGGGGGTTTCAAGCGGCATGTCGTATGACGAGGTGGAGATCGAGGATATGCAGTGGAGCGATGACCTCAGCGCCTTCACCTACCCGTGCCCGTGCGGGGACCTCTTCCAGATCACCCTGGTAAGTTCGGTTGTGCGCTCCAATCCTGCCCTTGGAGATATCATGATGAGCGTGTGGAAAGAGTTTCATTCATCATCAATTGTGGCTTCGAGGTGCTGGTTGCACTGATATCCAACGCTGTGCTTTCCTGAGTTACTGCACAAGTTCGAGTAATGCTGCATCCATAGACTTCTCAAGTGCTTCTACACGTAGCGTGTCGTTCAGCAGATTGCCGCCAGATTGTCATGCCCTGCCAACTTTGTTTGCAGGACGAGCTGAAGACCGGGGAGGAGATTGCCCGGTGTCCAAGCTGCTCTCTGTACATCACAGTCATCTACAACCCGGTCAGTGACAAACCTTGATGGTTACGCTGAGGCCTGCTGTTGCTTTTCATTTTGAGGAGATGTGCTTCGTTTTGCCAACTAGGGGCTTGGTCGGTTGTTTTGTAGAAAGGGTATTACGGTCAGAACATGTTCGCCACTTGTGGGAGATATACCGGTCTGGTTGGCTTGCGGGACGTGTTAGGGAATGATGGGTCGAGGCTTTTTGGGCTGAGCTGATCTGGTCCTTGCAGAAGTATTTCAGTCAAAAGTTCAGGAACGTAGTTTTCACAAAAGGCTTCTGTTCCTTGTCGTGCTTAGCGTCACTAATATGTAGGGCACCAGAACGGATGTCAACAGAACTAGTCGCATGGTCACATATTTCTTTCAGCTCGGGCCAAGTTGCATTTGTGCGCTCTGTCTAATCTCGTTGATTGTCTGTGCTTGTACCTGTACGCTCGAGCAGCTGTTCATATGTTGCGCCATCGCCACCAGAGATTCGGAAGGGAGTTCCGAAAGCCAAAGATGGACTAAAGAAATGAAACAAAAGCTGCTTGCCTTACCTGCCGCTAGTTCGGAGATGCTGAAGTTGTCGTTTCCTCTTGAACGCAGGAGGATTTTGAGGAGCCGCCAGCCACGGAGGACACGAGGATACCCCAGCAAGTAGAGGTATCCTAGATTCTGACATGTGGGCCCCCCGCAGCGACTGCGAATCAATCTGACCGTCAATCTGTCGTCGATGGATATTAAATGCGCGTCATCGTTATCATTCTCCTGGGAGTTCAAGCGGGCGTGGCAAGTGATTCGCTGATCGCCGCAGCAGTGAGTGATCGAGTCATAGGACATTCGTTGTCAGATTCTCATTCGATCAGAGTCAATCGAAAGCCGCTTTGTCATGAGTATGTCGCCGTGGTGGCATGGTAACCGGTTAGCCTGGGATGATAAAAACGTCGGCTACGGAGGGAGCATCTGAAGCGGCAGTTAGTAGTTCGTGAGTAGAGCTTGCAAGCATGCGTAGCAATAGCTTTGTTTCGTAAGGACTTAATCGTTCGATTCCGACAGCCGGTCGCGATCGCACAGGATTGGACTTTCAACGATATGCGAGAATGATTCGAGTTATGAGTTTTTGATCACGCAATCTCAAAGTTTGAGCTGAGTCAGCTAGCCTGGCGGCCCGTGCGATCAGCAACAAGTTTACTTACTGCATGAAAGAGACGATACATGGGTCGAGTAACTTACGATCGAAGCCCTTAACATTGCTCGGAAGCGTTGCAGGTTCTGCCTGTAATCATTCATTATAAGACTCGGACCAGGCTGACATGAAGAGCATGCAACTTAACTTATAAGCTAGGAGACTATAAAGAGTTGGATTGTGGTCGGACCGTTACAACTAGCTGCTTGCAAGTTGGTGACCGTACGGCGCTGCAATTAAAGGCCTCAGTGCAGCTGAGCGGCTGGCCCGCAGATTTCCGTCGGCGCGTGCTACTATAAGTGCGGCATGTGCAGTGCATATGACGGTTGGACTCGATCATACTCATTATATGAGTGCAAAACTGCACCATGCGTAGGATATGGCGCGCGCCGTTCAGCCAGCCTATGGGCCGGCCGCGGTCGGACCGGACCGGACGCGCTTAGTAGAGCATTTTTTGTTTGTAAGGCCACCGCGGATGAGCTGAGCCATGGCCGACGGACCGAGTGACATGCACTGCAAGCACATGTCACTATAGTTCGGCCAGTTGCACGTACAGATTGAACTATGATTATAATCAATATTGGCAGCTATAGCTCCAGAATTCAATGAACATCAACGTACAGTGGTCACTGCGTGCGCCAGCGTATGTGTAGCAGGTCACTAGATAATATAAGACCTGAAGGCCCGCGTCGATACACTCTACACATGGTCTGCCAACGTGCATGATTGCATGCCAGCTTACTTAATCATAATCAGTTGTTGATACGCATGTCAGTCGCAGGCCGCCGGTGAGATCCGACCTGAGCCTGAAGATCCATGCCACATCGGGTATATGGCTTCCGGTAGAGGAAGTACCATGCGTCTACCAATATTGAAGTTGCTGCATGCAGATCGTGCTCAGCTTGGATTGGTATCCACCACGTGCTGCCATGGTCACAAAAGGTGTTTAATTCGTGAGCGCCCGCCGAACACTCCTGCCAACTAAGAGATTGGGTACTTATCTAATTGACAGAATGCATTATTTTTTGACATCAAAGAGACTTTGGAAGGGTCGAAAACACGTCTCAGCTACAATCACTTGAGGCTTTCACAACGCTTGACAATGCTGTACAGTGGGCCTATGAATCGGAGTACCTACTACGCTTTCTCAGGCGAGGCTGCTTGTTGGCTCGGCCCACCTCGACTCCTGCCCAAAGCCTTCATGGACTCACGGGTCATCTCGACGAGTAGCGTTTTCACGTCCCTGCGTGGAAAAGAGACGAGATCTCTCAGTAGAAGGCCATCTTTTCCGGAAGGCTTGAAGGAGAAAATTTTCGAAGCCAGAATTGGCAATTGCGTGTTGACAGTAAGAACATTGTTGAAGCCAGAACTGGCAATCGCGTGTTGACAGTGAGAACACTGTTCGAAGCCAGAGGTGATTGCGCGTTAACAGTGAAACCGTTACATGTCTTCACCTCCTAGCGAACTATATGGGCACAGGCGCACGAAGGGAGTCGACGATTCTCAGATCGTTAGCACTTGAACCGAACGCCTGTCAATACGTTGAGACTCAGTTGTCAAGGTTTTCAGCTGAAAGATTGGCAACAGACACCCGGCGTGAGCAGAGCGTCAGCTAAATTCCAGAGCCAAGCTTCTATAACAAGCCGGACCGCAATTTGGTCGTTGGAAGATGGACGGATGTCGACGGGCACAGACTTGAGCCTGTGGTGCTCCTTGCGAGTACGAGGCCTCTATCTGAGTTCGTCGAAGCGGACAATGAAGTGGGCGCTCAGCACAGAAGACCGAAAGATGGAAAAGTACCCTGGATGCCAGATTGGGACTCTTCTCGATTGTCGTAAATATTCATCCAGCCTCATACTTGAGAGAATCTTATTACAGAGTATCCGAGGAGCTAAAAGCCTGGCTGAAAAGCCTGGCTGGCCAAGGTCTAGATCTTGAGGAAAACGAGATACACGAAGCTTTTTGAGGAAACCAGTCGACAAAATGCGGAACACGAATGGAGACGGAACCGGAAAACTTGACGGATGGTGTGACTCGGCGTGCTCACCCCCGGTCTGCGGCTGGCCGGGTGAATGGCACCCGAAGAGCGAAGCTGGAGCCCCCCTGCTTGACCTGCAGCCTCATGCCTAACCGGTCCAGCTCCAACATCTGGGCACCGTCCAACTGCGGAGAGCAAGCAAGATACTAATTGACTGGAAACGGCTTTTATTTTTCAAAGTCGATGATGAATTCATCGATGTGAAGCAGGAACAGCGATTCTCCAAGCCGTCAGAAGTTTGTGGATCGCTCTCTGCTGGAGGCCCTTGGCTTCAATGGTGCATAACTACGGGCCTGACCGGTGCGCAGGGGATGTTTGCAGTGGGGACAACCGTGAAAAAGATCATGCAGACAAAACGGGCAGTGGTACCCACGGCGACATTGTATGCGGCAATCCTACGCCAGCTATCAGAAGAAGTTCCGGTTTTGTGACAAGAGCTCTTCTTTCATGATGCAGGGTGCCGCTGCGCTGGCCGAGGCGCATGCTCGCACAGTAGAGTCAGGATTCCTTCAAGTATCCAGCGTTCGAATAGAACTCTTGTGACCAGAGAGTAAAAAACCCGGCAGCCCACCTTAGGGGTGCCCACGTAGTGCTCTACCGTCGCCATGAGCGCGTCCGCATGGTCCGCATTCATATGGTCCTGCGCACCCACAAAAAAGATTAGTCCGAATATCATGAACAAGTTTCCTTCGACCAAAAGCGGGCGGCATTTTCCAGAGAGATGCACACTCAAGAGATGCACACTCATTGCACCTTAGCTCTTCTTTCGGACGGACTAAGTTGAAAATTTGGCCAATTGGCTCCATTATCTTAGATTGCACTAGGAGGCATCCCAATAACCCACTTCCTAACCCCAAATTTCAGAAACGAGTCAGATTGTCGCTATCGTGGAGAGGTCCTCTTTTGCGATGGTTGTTTTTTACGACTTTTCAAAACCCGGAATGGGAAGAAACTCAGACCGTATACAAGAGACACTTAGTGACTTACGAAGGGGGCCCCAAGTACGGCAAAAAGTGAAGAAAGCTCCACGGTTATTTGGGAAGGGACACCTAGTCTCAAATCAGTGTGCCACGCGGCTCACCATGATCGGTTTCTCAAACTGAGCGATGGGGTCAGGTTCCGCAGCGGCGAAGTCTTCCGGAGTGAACTGGGTGACAGACGCCCCCATGGCAAAGGTGGCGATGTTTCGGGTCATCCGAATGTGCGTGGGGCGGATCCTCACGAAGCGGAAGTCACCAAAATCAACCTGCAAGAGAACAGTCATCGAAGCTTATTGCTAACCAGTGCAAAAAGAAAGGAAGGCGCCGAAACAAGTCTACAGCCAGATTTCTTACTGTGAAGGTCGTTCACACAGTTGCACAGAGGTCCTACTCTAACCAGCCCGTATATTTGTAAAGCATGGTTGCGGGCGATTGCAGGGACGATTGGTTCGCCAATTTCGACCTGCGACGTCACATGCCCAGTTTCCGACCGTGCTGTCCCACAGCTAAGTGTTTCTGTAAAGCATCCAGGAGAGTCAGCCCTTGCTTCGAGAGAAAGGCTCAAGAGAGTTTTTCCTCAGAATGTGTTTTGAAGTCACGCTACTCTTAAAACAGTAGAAGTGGGACAACCGGACGTTCACCAGAATACTAAACGGGTAAATCGAACACCGACTCTTAGTGACAGCTTAAATGTTTACAAATCCGTTCTCTTCGATGCAGTGCTACCAGGATTCTCAAACAGTAGCGGTGGCATCTACACACCAACGGGAAGAGCATCGCTGGTACGCTCTAATTACAAAAGCAACCTCCTAGACCATTGAAGCACCTCCAATAGAGGCCGAAGGTTGTATGCAGAGGTTTGCATCTTGCCGAACGGCCACATAATACTTGGATCAGATCTGGCCGCAATTCAGATGCTAACCACAGAAAGAAAAGTCCAAAAAGTCTGTAGAAGGAAAGCATTCACGATCCTTACCCAGAAAGCATTTGGATGCTTCTTCAGGTAGGAGTCTCGCACGCTTTGCCGCTCCGCTTCGTCCACAATCTCAGCATTCCCGAGGAGCGTGACCTTAGCGCGGTTCATGCTGTTGAGGTCCCGGGACAAGAAGAAAGAACACTGGGGGTTCCTTTCAAGGTCCTGCTCGTAACAAAGGGCCAGTCAATCTTGAGCCTGTCTTGAAAATGAGAACTATTTCGGGGGGGAGCGAATGTAAGAGAATCTACTTAGGCCTACCTGAGCTGGTAACCAGGGGAGCTGCTAAAGGGAACAGGTTGAGAGAAGAGGGTTTGAAGCAGAGCGCACGAGTTGCTTCTGAAGTTTTGGCTTCTAGCACCCTTCTCTGACCAAGATACTGAAGGATCCCGCTCTCAACAAGCTCACTTCAGATTTGCAAGGCCCGGAAGATCACACGAGGGCGTAAGGTCCGGTAGATCACAAGAGGGGTGTATCGTCCCTTTGGTTTTTTAAAATGTCAGTTGTCCGAACACGACACGCGTTTGGACACCTGAGAAACAAACTCAAGAGAGTACAAGATCTATAATCCGGTCTTGGAGACGGTGGCTACTTCTTAAAGAGGAGAGCTAAACAAACGTCCGCCTATTGTTGTCGGTGGACCAGAACGGATAGAAGGTTGATATATTGACATTGTGCACAGGCATCAGAATATCCTAGAAAGCAATGACAAGGTCAGTCTAGGCAGGGGGCCACCATACCTGGGTATGTGGAGATAAGGAACTGATAGCAAGGATCGGGCTGCCGGCCTCGTCCGTTGCGTACCCCACGAGCGACCCCATTGGATACCCTTCATGCCTGCTTGAGTGCACTGACAACAGGCCCTGCCGGCAAATGTCAAGAATGGTGCGCGCCTCTTCAACTGGTGGTAGCTGGGCGGCAGTTTTCTGGTGCTCTTGGACTCTTTCCATGGCCTCAGCAACAGCGTCCTGCTCCAAGACCTGGGGGTAAAGAAGGTTGAGGTGCAATCTCCGGACATGATTTGGCTTTGTCTTTGCATGGACCCCCACCTTTGAGAATCTTGGGGAAGAATAGTCTGGGAAAACACGGAATGGCAGCTGATCAGAGCCTGTTGAACATTCGATGCATGTAATACGAGAATTCTAAAGAGTTTTGTGGGGTTTTTGTATGAGGACATGCCCCTAGGATTGTAGAACTTACCTCTCACATACCTCTCACGTATTTTCCACGCAATCCTTACAGTTAAGATTGAAAAGTTATGAAACACCAAGATCGGCATTCGGGAGGGCACCGACCACTCATCCATAACTTCACCACTACTTAGCAAATGATCAACTACGCTTGTGGTCAAAAGCTGACTCTGTATTTCCAACGAAGTTTCAATATGCAGCTTGGCAGAATTCTGCATGTTCCACCACTTGTGGCCCAAAGCTCCATTGTATGCACAAAAGGAGTCATTTTCTCAATCTATTCAGCAAAAGAAGCTTTCTGCTCCACTTTTCAAGCACAGCACCCTTTAAACATAGGGTTTCAGAGACCACTTGCTTTTCGCTTCAAGAACTTTGTAGAACACTCCTCTAACCCACGGATCTAACCCACTCAGCATCATTTCCTGTCATATATACAAGTGGGACAGGGCACGTAACTCTGATTTGCAGACTTCCTCATTCATTTGGTCCTGATTCATCAGACCACTACTCGGAAAGTACATTCTGATAAACAAAAAGCGTGACCACAATCCGAAAGAAAGAATCTGAGAATCAGGATCACAACTCTGCTCACCTGCTCTCCAGCCTGATCGGTTGCAGCAGCCATCGTGACAAAGTTGGAATTTCCCCGTGAGAAACCAAATGCTGACACTAAGTCCCTACTCCTGCCTGCAGGGGTGCAACGATCACACTTCCTGAACCAGCGCTGTCCGCAGGAACTTAAAAAGGCGCGCGGCACGACTGAAGGCCGTCTGATCACTGCAGGTACTGAGCAGGTTTGCACAGACTGTAGGACAGCTTGCGCAGCGGACAGGTCGAGCGACTTTGAGGGAAGGCACCGAGAAAGCGCCTTTGCGGTGGAAGCCATCAGAAGCAGACGAGCAACCGATGCTGCAGAGCAAAATGCTGCGATTTCGAAGGACTGCAATCCACTTGGCCGGTAGCCCTGGCAGCAGCCTGGCTGGCCTTGATTGCTTCCCAGACAAAGTGCGTGCGCTTGACTGCTACACGTCGCTACATCATGCATATGCTTGCCTGGTGCAGGCTCCTGGCTCAGTGTGAAAAGGCCGAACTCCTCTTAGTTATCAGCTTGTCATCGAATGGATTGTTTGGTAACCCTGAGATTAGCTTGCCGTACATATCAACATGATCGGGCCGTCTGGCGACGCCGACGGCCGAGGGCTTGCCTCTTCCGAATTATCGAACGGCTGGAAATTAGCACACAGGGACGACCGGGGCCCTGCAATTGAAGCCGGACGGCGGAGTTGGCCGCCCGGGCGGAGATACCGGTATGCTTATTCCGGGCCCATCCGGGGGACGTATACCGGTACCCAGGTCTCAGGCTCCTCCCGACCAGTT